GACAGTTATATATCACTTTCTCTATGACTCTCTCAGTTCCTTAAGGTACTGTGTTAGGTACCTACTAGGTACCTTGAGGGAACCTAGCTCAGTTCTGGGAACTGTCAGCAGAACTGAAACAGTTCCTCGATTTTCAGCTTTTCCAGGAATAATTCATCAGACAGTTATATATCACTTTCTCTATGACTCTCTCAGTTCCTTAAGGTACTGTGTTAGGTACCTACTAGGTACCTTGAGGGAACCTAGCTCAGTTCTGGGAACTGTCAGCAGAACTGAAACAGTTCCTCGATTTTCAGCTTTTCCAGGAATAATTCATCAGACAGTTATATATCACTTTCTCTATGACTCTCTCAGTTCCTTAAGGTACTGTGTTAGGTACCTACTAGGTACCTTGAGGGAACCTAGCTCAGTTCTGGGAACCGTCAGCAGAACTAAGGCAGAGGCTTCGTGTATGTGATTTCATTATTGTTGAATAGAGTCTCACTGGTATGTATGTTCATAGAGAGAGCGAAGTGTGATATGTCTGTATTGAACGTTGTTGTATAGCGGGGTGAGGTCAGTTCCCTGTTAGGGAAATGTCGGTCAGTTCTACTGATTTCCTCAATTCCTTTTGTAGGTATTGTCGTGGCATCAGTTCCTTGGTTATGAACTTGGGAATGGTAGTAGTGACTGTGAATAGGTATTGAGGTGATGTGTGAGAAATAAAGTAATGTGTTAGGAATGGAGGATGGAATTGATAGGGAACTGTGTAGGAAATGAGAGTGAGTTCCCAGTTCTGTAAGGAATTGATTAGTTTTTGCTGTATTTTTTAGGAACTCTAGGAATTCCTAAAGTACGGTACCTTGGACACCCCTCATTCAAGTGGGACGCTTGAATGAATAACCAGTGTGTAGTCTCTATGCTTGTCTGACGATCTCCAAAAACTGATGGAGTATGGTACTAAGACATAATCGCCAGCTGCTAGTGCATCTGACCAATATGTAAATCGTCCACGGGAAGATACGATCCTATGGTGATGTGCGCCGATGATAGGAGGCGATCTTGAGTTATCAACATCACATAAAACAAACGACTGTGTATGGAAACTACGTGTTTTTCTCGCATGACGGTGGTGTATAAGGCTGATTTTGATCATCGATGCTCTACACAGCAAACAAGAAAATGAGTTGTACAATGTCAAATGCATATAGCCGACGTTACTTACTGTGGAACGTGAAATCGATAGCTCAACACATCATCGGTAGACGATCGACTAAATCTTCCTGCTTCACGAACATCAAAGTCACTACTTTTGTATGTGGACACTGTGATCGATGAGAAATATCGAAGGAATCGACTCCATGAGATCCAGAATGCACCTGTTGATCGTCGTGCAGGATTAATCGTTCGAAGTTGTTTTAGGACAGATTCAGTTACTTCATCTTCTCTGTATTCTGAACGAGAATGAGGGTCACGAACAAGCACGAATCGAGATGAACTGTCAACCAACGTGTGTGCTGCAAGTATGGAGAATGCATGGTTACCATGAATATGCACACGAGCATATTCATCTCGACTAATACCAGTTCCACCCGTTGAAGCACCAATCAATAGCCTGCGATAGAGGAATTTTTCAAGATTTCAAACACTTAAAAACTATGCTTACTCAGATTCATATGCGGACAGCAGCTGCCCCCAAACAGTGTCAAGGTAGACTGGATCAGTAGATGATTGCAGATCGATATGCTCACAAGCAGCACCCGTCAGGAGTTGCAGACCTTCAAGCATGGTACCACTTCTCAGACTAGCATATGAGCCAAATACTTTTGCACACGCTTTTTCGATCAATGGCACATAAAACTGGCGTCGTTTTGAATGCGAAAAAACAAGATATTTGTGTTTAGTACATGGAAAATAGTCGTCAACGATGATTGTTTTCCACAGTCCATTGTGACAAATACGAACCATGTAGACACCCTCTTTGTTGACTTCTTTCGTAAGAAGAATATGCTGTAGAAGTTTGGGTTGTTCTGAGATGAGTGCGAGAGCAGCCATAAACCAGCAATTTCCAAGTGCACCTTGTTGGATATCACTGGGCTGTGGAGAAGAGAAGATCGTCAGTGGTAATGATCGATCTTCATGAGCAATGGGAGCAACATCTCCTATGCGTAACCATTCTGCTACATGGTCAAATGATTTCTCTCCAAGAGATCGATTATTTGGTGTGAATTGATCGTCGACAAAGTTAGTTTTATGCTAAAATGCAATAATTTGCATCAGTGGTTGCTTGTAAGGAGTCGAAAGAAAAAAATCTATTCATCATTTGCAATATATTACCGCTTTGCAATATTCGATTACATGTCGAAACATTTTTTCTGCTTCGTTTTCATGTTTTTTTCGTCGATCGCGAACGAGTAATGATGTACTTGTTAATAGCGAAGCATTTGCGGAATTAATCAGTTGTACTTTATTTTCGCTCTAAACGAAAATGAAGAAATTCTCGATCATACACGTTAGAAATTCATGACTTACGGCTGAGGACTTTGCTTGTCCGCAAGCAGTACATCGTTGACTAATCATCAAATTGTCGAATGTACAACGTGGACAACTCCACTTTGTTATAGATAAAGCCGCATCTCCAAAAGGATTGACAATGCTCTGATTGTTGTTTTCGCACATTTCACAAATGGGAAAGTTTGCTATGGGATTGTTGAAAGTACATTGGGAACAAGACCATTGAGATTGATTCAATAAGAATTGCAGATCCAGATCGTCGGTCAATGAGCCAGTTGCCATGATTTCAATTTAATTCTACTTATCTTCAAAAAATGAAAATAAATATAAACTTTAGTGAGAATATTTTAAGTTTTACCAATGAATATTTCCTACTGAAGCTCCTCTGTGAAAAATGATGAAGTAAACACTTAAAGAAGAAAAAAGACGACAATCGCTGAAGCCACTGGGAAAGTTTTTTAACAGAAAAGAGAAAAAACCCATAGTTTAGCGGAAAAAATCACGCAGACATGATAATTGTTCTCACAATAGTTTTTCGGGGAAAAGGCTGATTACGTCACTTTATTCGTCAACACGGTATTTACTGTGTCGAATAAGAAAAATGCATCACATTCCTGCTAATCTACTCTGGTTAACTCGCGATGCAATGTGCACATTTTTACATGAAGTCTTTCTTTCACATGATTCGACAGATCTCACCTTAGTTAACTTACAGTTTCTGCGGTTCAAAGCGACACCACTAGATTGTGCTTTCAAGGTAGACAAGTGCTCTGCTTTTATATTACTTTATTATTCATGTGAAAATGATTTCGTTCTTCTTGCAAAATAATAACAACGTCATTCTCTTCAAATACATTTCGAACAAGAATATTTGTTTTCTGCTATAGGAGACAAACACAGCAATTCACTCAATGGGTCTTGCGTCATCGCTGACTAATAGTTGATAAGCAGTGCTGTGTAAAATTTTTGTTGTAAAAAAGTTCGAGATTGAAATCGTCACGTTTGCTTTCAATCATGAAATCGGTCAGACAAGACGTTATTTATTTCCAAAAATGATCTGACATATTTGCTCTGAAATGATACATTAAAATAGTTTGATGTGAAACTAAAATGGTCGCGGTGAATGAAGATCATGTTGTGCACTGTCAATATCCGGCAGTGATTCACTCGTGCGTGATTCTTGTTTGTATGAACATGAATAACTCAGATAAGTTAATCCATTGTGCTTTTCGGTCCATTCGGTTATGAAAATCAATTGTCGATATCGGGGTGGAACGGAATCGTGAGTATGAAAGGGTAGATCAACGTGACGCGAATGACGAACATTTGTTGCTACATTGACACCAATGTTCACATTTAAATATTGTGTTGATGAAGAATTTTCTGCTACAAATATTTTCATTGCCACCTTACTAGATGTTTTATAGAATGCGACTTCTTTTTCCTGAGAATGACAATGAAGAAAAACAAGAATTATATCCATTTAAAATAATAAGTAGATATTTACTTGTTTTCTCACACCCGTTTTTATTAATGCCGCTATAATACAATCAGCAAGAAACGTAGCTCGCTTGTTCTCAATAGTTAAACTAAGTTGAACGTTAGAATGTATAACAATGGTATAATCGTTATCTTTCTTTGTCTCCCGCCAGAAACTGATTGAAAATGGTATCAGCACATAATAACCAGCACGTAGTGGCCCTGACCAGTACGTTAGTCCTCCACGTTTACATACCAATATACATTCGCGTTCACCAATACTATCTGTTGATCCTGCTTCATTGATATCACAAAGGACAAATGACTGCGTGTGAGAAATAGGCGATGTCCGATCAAGACGATGGTACAAAAGACTGATGTTAATCATCGATGCTCTACACAATAGATTCCACACCGTTTTTTCACAATGTCAACTACGTCCAAGAGATATTACTTACTGTGGAACGTGAAATCGATAGCTCAACACATCATCGGTTGACGACCGACTAAATCTTCCTGCTTCACGAACATCAAAATCACTACTTTTGTATGTGGACACTGTGATCGATGAAAAATATCGAAGAAATCGACTCCATGAGATCCAGAATGCACCTGTTGATCGTTGTGCAGGATTAATCGTTCGAAGTTGTTTCAGGACAGATTCGGTTACTTCATCTTCTCTGTATTCTGAACGAGAATGAGGGTCACGAACAAGCACGAATCGAGATGAACTGTCAACCAACGTGTGTGCTGCAAGTATAGAGAATGCGTGGTTACCATGAATATGCACACGAGCATATTCATCTCGACTAATACCAGTTCCACCTGTCGAAACACCAATCAACAATCTATAACGAAAGTATTTCCTCTCTTTGACAACATTAGATAATCAGGCCTACTTCGATTCGCATGCAGACAAAAGTTTAGCCCAAACAATATCACTATCGAGGATGCCATTTGGTGGGTGTAAATCAATGTGATCACATGGTGCCCCCGTCAGAAGTTGCAGACCTTCACGCATATTGCCACTTCTCAGACTAGCATATGAACCAAATACTTTTGCACACGCTTTTTCGATCAATGGGACAAATAGCTGACGTCGTTTTGCATGAGAAAATACTAGACGTTTATGTTTCGTGCATGGGAAACAGTCGTCAACGATGATAGTTTTCCACAGTCCATTGTGACAAATACGAACCATGTAGACACCCTCTTTGTTGACTTCTTTCGTAAGAAGAATATGCTGTAGAAGCGATGGCTGCTCTGAGATAAGAGCGAGAGCAGCTATAAGCCAACAATTACCAAGTGCTCCTTGTTGGATATCGCTGGGCTGTGGAGAAGAGAAGATGGTCAATGGCAGTGCTCGATCCTTACTAGAGACAGGAGCAACATCTGCTATACGCAGCCATTGTGAAATTTCTACAAACGAATCAGTTCCGATCGAACTCGTTGATGGAATAAAGCTATCATCTACAAAGTTCGTCCTAGCCTAGATACAATGAAGAGACGTATTGCATAAGAAATATTTTGTTCTATAAAAGTAATGTTGCATAGAAAGGAAGTAGCATTTACCTTTTTGCAATAATCGATAATATGCTGAAATATTTGCTCAGCATCTACTTCATCTCGACGTCGACGATCATCAACAGCTAAGGACATAGATGTCGATGATAGCGTAGCGCTTGAATTGATGAGAACGACAGGCGCAGATTTCTAAATTAGAATATACAAATACGTTAGTTCTTATTCAAAAGTCAGAGAAACTATTACACTCTTTTTAGTATAACCACATGCATTACAATGATCATCACTCGTTTCATTGTTCAATGTGCATTGAGGGCATTGCCAGATTGACGTTGAACGCTCAATACCGGACAGATGATGTAGCGAATTGTAATTAGCTGCTTGTTCGCACATGTTGCAACGAGGATATGCTGATAGTGGATTTTCAAAAGAACACGTCGGACATGGCCAAACATTGGTAATCGGAAGTGAAAAGAAGGCCGCACGCGCATTGTGAAGTCCAGTAGTCATTGTCGTAATCTAAAAATTTGCAATTTATACCTGATTAATCATCAAAATTAACTAAAATTAAAAGAAAAATTCCAATAATGACAACTCGATCACCTGATGATGGGATTTGACAGACTATCAACTATTTCCATGCTGTATTTACGTTAACGTCGCCAGTGAAACATCCCACTCATTAATAAAATATATGAATACACGTTGACGAAGGATATTGAATAGAAATTTACTTTCTTCGTTCTTCTTTAAACGTGATTGTGCTATTAAAAAACGTAAATATATCGACAGATTATGGACTAATGATTCATGAAATGTCATCACTCTCAATTGATGTCATATTAAGGGAAAGTCGCATGACCATATGTGATGAATATTCCCTTATTGCTACGTAGGTGAACAACATTCTACGAATAAATAGTTTTATATACTTTGTAAAATTTAGAATATGAATATGTTTTCATATTATGACGCAGAGTTTGGAAAATAGATTTATTTACACTTGTTTATAACATTGTGACATAAACATAATATTGCTGTCGTCTAATTCTTCAAGGATATTTTCATACTTACGCTAATGTACACATATGCTTGATGAAAATCGCCTATTAGACATTCCATTTTTAACTATTATTATTGTTTTTCTATTTTTTCTTAAATATGTGTGACCATGTTGTGATCGCGACATAAATATGTACACTCCGTATGTTGTCTTTTTTTATTCATTCTATTTCTCACATGTATTCAATTTCACGCTATGTCCTTGATCCAGCAATAACTGTACCAGGCGACTAAATTAGAACAAACTAATTTGATATTGTCGATGATAGGCGTTTTTTTGTATCCGAGACCATTCGTGTCCTTGACATCGGAGAAGAACATGAACAGAAAAGTCATGTGAATTTAACATCTACACTTTCACCTGCAAAGATCGAAATAATGATTCTTGGATTTTGATACCTTGAGTTCAATCAAGGATTTGTTTGCTGGAGAAACTGTGAATACATCGAACTTACCTTAATAAACTGAATGATCAACAAAAGTATTGCGAAGGAAGAAAAAAGCAGTCCTATTCCAACCTTTCATATGATAATAAATAAAAAAGAGTAAAAAAGAGATAACAGTTTGTTTCAATATCATTTCGTGAATGACTTTTGTCAAAACAAGATGGTAGTTTAATAGAAGAGATTTATTGTATTTGGAACTTATTTTTCTTTACCAAATCGGTTCTTTCTATTCAATGATTGTAGCATGAACAAACTATTTTTCTCTAATTTTGTCTTCTTCCTTATCGTCACGTGTATATACACTAGCCCACCGACAGAAGATGTTTATGAAGCACTGCGCTCTGTTTGCAAGGGGAAATTTCAAGGTGGCATGTGTCCACATGCAATTGCCTACGATATTGCCACACAACTAGCTGACAATTGGCATAATGGCGATGGAGCAACTGGTTTATGGTCAGACGGTGGACCTGCTATATGGTGGCCAAGTGGAGTCGGCCTATGGACATTGGCGGAATTTTTCCACGCTATGAGTGGTAGAGGTATTGGATTTATAACATAAATTAGAAAGATCAAAGGAAAAAAGAATGATTACTGCTTGTAGCCACGGATAAACTCTATCTGGCCACACGATGGGCCGCAATCGAAACAGCGAAAAAACAAAATAATTATATTCATACTAAATTCACGGATGATCAAGCTTGGTGGGCGAATGGTGCACTGCGTCTTGAGCAATATGTTCGATCGATTGGAGACTCGACAGAAGAGTTACTAAATGCTGCACAAGCTGTGATTAATGATAATATAGCTCACGAAACGGAACAATGTGGTGGCGGGTAAATAGCTCTGTTTAATCTTATTGATCAGGATTTATTCTTTATTGTAAATTGTAAACTTTCGTTATTAGAATCTTTTGGTATTATGGAAAACCACCTCCGTCTGTAACTGATAAAACGACGATCTCGAACGTCCTAACAATCTATACAATGGCAACGATGTATTCCTTCACACATGATCCAAATTTACTTCAAGGAGGTCCACATGGTGGTGCAATTGATATCTATAACTGGTTAGTTTCGACGGATTTACTCAATCCACAAACAGGTTACCAACGAGATACTCTCGACACGGCCGACGGAAAATGTCAATTGCGCGGTGGTGTAAGTGATATCAAATTTCTGTCCTTGTCTTCAACATATTTACTATTGTTGATAGTCTTTAACTTATGAATACGGTGTGCTCGTACAAGCACTCATAGCACTTGCTAATGCAACAGGCAATCAGGAATATATTGCTCATGCAATGACTTATATTCGCAATGGTATTCATCAGTTTACACGAAATAATATCGTTTTTGAGAGTTGCGATGATACGAATACATGTTCAGGTGACCAAATTGCTTTCCGGGGTATTCTATTGAAAATCAAATAGGTGTTTGATTACTTTTTATTCGTATTGTGTCATTATCCTAGGAATATTCTATCTTGGTCTTGCACGTCTGTACGAATATACGCGTGACAACACAATTGCTCAAGTTATCGAAGCGTCCTATTTAGCTATGCTCTCGCGCGTTAGTTCATGTTATCTGTTTATGCGATATTTCTACTATATTCACGTGTCTCTGATTCGTATAGAAAGTCGGTAGTCGTTATCCATTGTCTTTAATCAATAATAATAACAATTTTACTGGTAATGATCTAATCGTTGTCACTATCGGTGATCTTAATCTTGCATCAGCAATGATCAAAGTATACAAGTATAAGTATGCACCACCTGTAGTACCAAATATCGATGCAGCAGTGAATGGATTATTACCATTCAATATCACTCATCAAGGACTAACCGGATGTGTATGCGATGGTATGCTGATGATAGGTCTAACACGATGAAACACTTGATATTGTTTTTGATGTAGATTTCGGTTGTCCAACGGGTCATTATATGCAATGCTTTGTCGATTCAGGACACAAGGATTCTACCGGTGGTCAACATTGGAATGAGAAGGCATCGAAACTTTTTTGTCTATACAAAATTCACAGGTGTCATTGTAGGTATCAGCCATATTAATTGGACCTGGGCATCAAATGATGTTGTTCAAAGCTAAAGGTGCTGGCCATAGTGACTGGTTAAAAACAAGTCTATGGTATGTTGGTGACGAATGGAATGATAAAGTCGATTCGATCAATATCGATTACTGAATAATCGACTTGAAGATCGAGACAACTTTTTTGACATAAAATGAATCAGTACATTTAGTAAATAAGATTGGATTTTATTCTCATAGAAAGACTATAGGAACAATGAACAGAATAACACAACATATAGCACTAAGAAAGAACATACGAGATGTCACTTTAGCTTGATTTATAAGAATTCATGTGAATAATGGTAGCCGAAAACGCTTGGTAAATACAAAAATTCATGTGCTCTGTATGGTGTTAATTCAACAGGACGATCATCCTTGTAGAATGCACAGATACACCAACATGATGAAATAAGTAATATTGTCGATAAATAAACAATAGTTATGCAAACGTTCATTTGTTATAATTTCATCTGAACACACTACGGCGACGACAACGACGACTTTTCTTTCGTTCTTCGATTAAATACGAACAAAGAACAGTGACAATGATCATTTCTCTAACAAATACAAATCGTTTGAATTTTTCTCCTTCACGACTGTGAAGATATCTCGAATAAAAGTTCGACAAGATTTATTTCCATAACTACAAAGCAAGCTCTCAACAGAAAAACTAGTCCGACCAAGGTCGAATACTACAACTAACATTTCTTGCACTGTTATACATGTGCCATTGATTGTTATGATGGTAGAAAACTGTGTCGCTATTGATAATAGCAAATAACTCGGGTCCACGATCTTTTTGTCGAGTCTTTTGATAATAAGATGCTGCCATGTCATATGCATCACCTTCTCGATGAAGTTTTCGTTTCAAATCGTACCATGATGATTCAATACCCTGGGCATAAACGATTGTGCGATCGGCAGTTTTATTGCTGAGAAAAATAAATTCGCAGATTTCTCGCATATTTCGAGCTTCTGCAATGAACAAGAAAATACTTCTGTAAGTAACGATACGATTTTAGAAACTGTCTAACCTGTTATTATCTTTTCCTTCGAAGAAGTTCGTTTCATCCAATGAAACTGTAACATTACTATTTGGTCGTTGTGTTGTTTTCCCGTAGCATAACTAAATGTATAATTTTCAAACGATTCAGTAAGAAAATGTCCATTGGTAGAACCAAATACACTGCTTTTTCTTCCATCTGTGGTGCACAATTGTATTCCTACGATCGTACCATTGTTTGTATACATATTAATTTTATTAATATTCTCGTTCGATTGTAACATAAACGTGTCAGAGAACAGCCTTTCTTCGGGTATGGCTAAATGGGATGATTGATTATTCGAATATAGGAATCGTACCGATTTTAAGGAAATATTTGTCCATTCTAATCGAATACCGATACAGCAATCGGTATAAGATAATAGAAGATCTCTCGCATCATCGAATGATCTGTTTGTCCAGAAAAGTTTATTTCCATACGGTGAACCTTCCTTCATCGTATAAACGAACTCTAATAATTGAACACAATTGTAGATGATTTTAGTGATCGATATATACTTGCCGTGTTGACGCAATGAGGATTGTTCTTCGAAATTTGATTTTCTTAGATGTCTTATCGCACAAAAAGATAATAATAGGAGAATCATTGATAGGATAAAAATAATGATTAATTTCATATACAGTTGATTTGATTTTGAGTAGAGTATTGATCGAACGATTGAAAAACGTTTCTTTATTTTCCGTTCATTAACTGTATACGTTTCCTTAGGCAATGCTATCGTTCTAGATTGTATGTTTCCACATAGTAATTCAGCTACTAGTTCGTCTGAAGACGGTGAACCATTCACAGACATACTATGAGAGTAAGCTAAGGAAAGAAGCGCTAAAAATGAATGTGAAGTTCCGACGTTTTCTGTACCTATCGAACTTTGTATACCATCGTCCGTACAGCTCGGTGAAACTGGCTCAGCAATTGACGTGTGTATCAAACGGGATCTGTATTCTACGAGTAGATGTTCAGATTTCCTATTGAAGAGAAAAAAAAAGATATTCGAGACGAACCATTGAGTTGCTCGACGATGTCAAAACATTGAATTTGTTCGAAAATGTTGATTAAATTATCGAAATTATCGTCAGCAATAAAACCTCGTTCGAAAAGACAATCAAGTAAACGCAGAGTGCCATCCGGTGTACAATCATCTCGGCATTTTCGTGGAATTACTTTTCCAAGTGCAAAATGGAATGCATGACGATTAGCATCAGACAATTGATTCGATATATCAATTAAAATACTGCGGAACTCCATTGCTATTACTGTTTGTCGTACAAAGAGCAGTAAGTAACAGAAATGAAGTTATGTACGTAGAATGATGTGAAATGTCATTCTAAGTAAAAAATGAGTTGTTTATCTGTATCGTTTTATTAGATCTTTTATTCTCGTCGAGAGAAACGAAGAACGAAAATACGAAATCAATTGGCATATATTTTTCGAGACAACAATAGAAGAGATAAAAAAGTATTTGAAAAATTTTGCCAAGTTCGTGATTGTTAATATCATCGATCTATCATAAAAACTAAAAATAGACAATGATTTTTTTGCGTGATTAACATTCTCTGAGGACCAAAAAAGCTGAAAAACTTGGATCCTATTGTTTTCTCCCAGAAAGCACTACAACTACAACCAGAATTTACAACAAATGACTCACTAGGCAGCTCACTTCGCTATGCATAACTGTACATACACTTCTTCATTGTTCCCTAGCGTTTTGTGTGCTAATGAAAACAGGTTTAAAAACAGATAACCTTCGATAAGGTACTAGAAAAGTTGCAATGGAAACACATCGTTCAAAGCTGTGCAATATCGATAGTTTTGCAGGTGATGCAGCAAGACATCTATTAAGTTCTATACAATCAACTATAAGATAATAACATTAAACAAATATAGTATGAGATTTGCATTTATTTGATTGCAAAAGACCGGAGTTAAAAGTTCTTATTAATTTATATTGTATTTATTTGCTGCATGATTACTCCTGCCCTGATGCGGTTGCAATATCTCTGAGAACGTCGATTGTTGCATCTTTGACATCCATTGCTTTTTGTACAAGCACGTGTTTGAAAACAGCTGCTTGATGAAGAAAATCATTTTGTTCATGATGTATTTCCATTCTTGATGTATCCTCTGTCGAATTCGAAGACAGTTGAGTACGAATATAATCACTAGCGGTCTCTAATACGTGTTGTACATTGGCAGCCGTATGCAGAAGAACATCCTTCGTGTCAACACCTAGTTCTTTGACGTGCTCAACAAATTTTACCTCTATGGACTGATCATCATCTGCTTCGACTGCATCTTCTGCAACAAATAATAGCAGAAATTTCTTTTACTTTTACGAATCTCTTCACTGTATATTTACATACCACCAAAGCATGTTACTGTGGTAGTTGTTGTTATCACCTTGTAGATACGATTTGGTTTTCCATTGGCATCTGTCCTATGGTAGATGAATGTATACTAGAACTACGTGGCTTACTAATAAGAGGATTCTTACATTGATTCAATGGTTTTGCCATCAGAACCGATCAAATCGGTTTTTGTTGTTGTGGTGACCGACGGAATATTAAAATCGACTCGAATCGCAGTACTTGAAGATCTTATGGGAGTAAGTGTGGTCATATCCCCTTCTTAAAATTATATCCTAAGTACTCGGTGAGGAGGAGTAAATCTATTTACGACATGTTTACCCGACACATTAATCTTTCTCTCATTTTTCTTCCTCTTTGTCGCACGCTCACTCAACGAAGTTGCATTAATCGGTTTTTTTTCTACAATAAAAGAATTCTGCGCATCCAATACACCAGAGCATCTGCCTGTAACAGATAATTACGAGAAAAAGAACCTTTTATTCACAGTTGAAAGTTTCAATCAGTTCTGTATACATCGAAGAAAACACATATTGGTCAATCTTCGCTATCTTCTATTAACTCCACTTCAATTTCCCATCGACATCCATAATAATGCACACATATGATTCGTAACTTTGTTCCCACACACAATAACGCTTCCTTTTCTTCGCTGTAACTACTCCACTTCCAAATGTTCGCGAGATTGTGCTTCGCCTTTTCACTCGACCTTTCTGTATTCAATATTAAAACTGCATTTCCATCATACACTAGCAATCGATCGATTGTAAATGATAAGAACGAGTTTGTGTAGTAATAACTTCCTTTTCGTTCAATATAATATCGAATTTCAGTGTCACTTAGTTGTAAACCACGATAATAGATTGGTTTAATATTTGTTTGCACTAACGCACGAATCAACGAGCGAAGTTTATTGACATAAATCCAATCGATATCGTCAAAATGAGCACTGAGTAAATTCAGATTGGTTTTCATATAACAATCATTTGTTCGACTGTTCGTGTACGATTTGATCACATCTAGCATATCGTTAGTAAGTTCATGTTCGAGAATGGTATCAGGATATACATGTTGAAAGAAACGATGATAAATATTGTTGGAAAGAAGTTTACAATCGATTGAGTTCGTTTCATGGTTGTAGACGAAATGATCTGTTTCAAAATCTTGTGCAGTCGAAGCGAGTGCTTTTGGTAGATAACGATTGTTACGAACATTGATAAGACAACGTGCCATGCTGTTTTTTTAAGGTAATCGAAGAGAAGAACACATGTCGCACACTCCAGTTAAGTTATTGCACCACACTCGACTAAAAACACATTTGACAAGACAATTCTTGACAATGAAATGACTCATTATGAATCATACAAAGAGTATCTGCTTTGCATGAACCTAAACAGTCTGATCAATGCTCATTCACACACTTTCGACAAAGACGAAGATAAAATTATGCATTTTTTTGTAATGACAACGAATGAATCGGATGACTATTGAACTCAAGACACACAACACGCCGCGTGACTTTCCTCCTGAACTATTAGAAACTTTTCTTTTATTAATTATGAATGTTTAAAGAACTTCTTCTGCTAATCGGATTATCTTTCGATTTATTAAAGAAGAGTCTATATACATTCTATGGGATAAACAGTCGACTTCGAATAGAAACAGAATAGCGAACGTTGAGAACGGATGATAACCAAGGAAATGAATGTGATTAGATAGATCTCAATAGGTTTGTAACAGGATATGTCTATTTTGCTCTTTGTGCGCATCGATGCGTCGAAATATTATTTTCATGTGATAGATCACATTAAAAAACTTATCGTCTTCTTTTTTTCTTTGATGAAATCTCTTTTATTCTCCTCAGAATTGTGTAGAAATCCCCTTTTTACAGTTAGCATAGTATCGATATACAGAACATTGTCGCACAAGTTTTCTTTTCTTGCTTTAGTACAAAAACTTTGAATAGTTAATGATTTGTGGATATGAATAATACAACAAATACTTCTGTAACTCTGCATATCAATTCAATAATTAATGTGGTTTCTTTATTTATGGACTGTGTTGCTTTATTAACTTGTATGATCTATTTGTGTATTATTATTGTTCGTGTTATTCAACTAAAAGTGTACCGTCGTCGACGATATTTCAATATTTCGTTGATTCTTTCAATAAACATCATTAGTGATATATTCGTCAAAGCTCTCCTTCAAACAACCCACGTTAGTTATCCGACGTTTGCCAGAGATTTCCTAATGGTCGATAAAAGTGCCGACAAAACTATCTATCAAATGCGTGCATACATGCTCTGGTCAATAAATGGTGTTGTCTACTGGAGTTATACGCTAGTTGCTTTCTATCGATTCGTTCGAGTTATCTACCCAACGAAAGTATGGTTACAACGTTCGTTTATTTATGTCTATGTTTTGATTCCTGGTGAACATTTAGCTGTATTCAGTGCTATGCTAGTCATACCTTTCGTCTTCGAAAGTATTCGTATATTCCCCGGTGAGGTCTATTGCACTGTTATACCCTTACCTTGCTATTCGATAGTTTACGCGAGCTTTGTTATGTTTAATATTCCGTTTAATATCGTTTGTATTTTCTATTATTTAATCACAAGAAGACTACGACAAACAACAGCAGTTCGACGGGAGCAGGATTTGTATCGACGAGATTTTATTGTCATACGTCGTATGATAGTAAATATGATTCTTCTTATCATCGCTATCATTCCTTATGGTATCGTTGCTCTAAAAGGCTATATTGAGCATAATTTCTATTCATTGACAGAGCGTATTGAATGGTTGTCCTCATCGTTGAGTTCGTGTCTATTTGCATTCACACTTCCATTTATTACGCCGAAATTACGAGAGTTCTTAAAACAAAATCGGATTATGCCAGCTAATAATTAAAATTCAATTAAGTTCTTTTCAAGCAATTACTTTGTATCAGGACCAGAAGCATGAGAATAAAGAATGAAATCGTAATACATCATCACATTCTTCAACGTTTAATTAAAGCGTTGTTCATTTCCAAATAGCTTTGTGAAATGTTACTGTCTGATAGTTTAAATTCTGTTAAGACATAAGATGTGAGTTTGCTGATTTATAGAGCAGAATTATGCAAAAGTGTAAACAGAATTTCTAATTCCTATTTAACGAGAGTATTCTCTTTAATGCAGAAATTTTTAAAATAACTCAATCCGTGACGCATTTCATCGTTTTTCTATTGATGTTACTATCAAGTATCAGAATGAACAATGATAAAATGTGTATAGGATTTCTCTCTAGTTTATTTCAGAAAAGGTTTTTTACTCAGCACTAGTAATTACAAAGTTTATCTATTCTTTCGAATAGATATGAAAAATAAAATATTCAGGATATGTTTTCAGGAAGAACGCGAATGCATAAAGTAACACTCCGAAACCGAACAAACTTCCAACGACTGGCAAAAATCCTCTCCATGGTACAAGTTCCACGTATTTCTCTAGTAACCACACTACAAACATAGTTCCTCCAATAGCTTGAACGAATGGTATTTCTAGCATAGGACCGAAGAACATCGCAGCGAATCCACTGAGAAACATGACAATTTGTAATAACCAAAATATATGTTTCTGTTGTCGCCATGATTTGAATAGTGTCGACGACATTATCAGCATTCCGATGAAGTAAACGAATGTACCCAAAAATAGCATTGGTCGACTGAACGGTACGCTTAAAAAACTTGTATCTTGTTTAAGGTGTAAAATACTTCCGAGCATAATTAGCAGAAATGAAGCGAGCGTTGCAGACGGAACAGCCTTTTCATTTTGAAATCCGATTACTGTGACTAAATGTCCAACAGCAATAGAAAAACCTAAAGCTGATTGTAAAGCCATAATTGCAAGATAGCCTGCTTCTCGATGCTGTTGATAAACAGCGACGAATGTCCAAACAATGAAACATGTCCAGGAGAGTACCAATCCAAGATTGTATTGATCAGAAACATGTTTAGTTACTGAATATGATAATACTCCTACAAATGCTAGACAACCCAAGAAAATCAACCATGAATGACTGACGCATAGCATCAGACCAATCGATACGACATAACCTAAGATCTCCCAGACGACCAGTGGTACTTGAGTTAAGAATGGTCCAAGAAATATACCGATGAATGTAGCTGCTGCAAGCATGACGATAACTCCGGCAAGAATAGCAACAACATTTGAAAATGAAACGATTAATTGCCGTTGTTTCCATGTAAGGAATTCTTCTAAAGTTAGCAGCTCTTTTCGACCAACAAGATCTGATGCATGTCTAATATATAGTCGCTTTTCTTGATCGGCAAGATCGACATTGATAATACCACGTTTTTCCAAATTATTGATAACATCATAATAATGCTTGAGTTCAGTAATTGACTGAGGTAGTTGATCAGAAGACTTTGCTACTGCAGCATACGTTGAAAAACAAGCAATACTTATCGCGAATAGTACTCGTAGGAAATTTGTCATTATTAAAACAACGTTTGTTAATATGTTCTAATCTGCAATATATTTGAATTAAGGAGTCGCGTGTCTTTACATTGTGCAGGATGAAAAATAATATAGTGCGAATGCGAGGTGGTGACGTGGTTGTTTTTCTTCCATATGCCAGCCACATGGATCGAGAGAAAAGAATTGCACCACGATTGCGTCGGTACATATTAGTAATTCGAGTATTGTCGTTTTACGTTGTTTTTTTTTAGAGAAAATGATCAAGATCGTGTTTGATCAAAAATTCATGTGATACTCTAGATTGTATAGATATTAGTAAAACTATCGGATTAGTGAGAACATATATCAACAAGTTGATATCTTTCGGATAAAGCGTAGGAGAGTATTACGATTTAATTAGAATTTATTTTCAAGATGTTTACTTGTTCATTATTCTGTCTAATCAAGTTTGGCCATCTAAAAACGATAAAAACGTATATGTATCTATATCATCGGGCATGACCTTGCTAATAAGAATCTTCGAGAAAAGTTTCCGATTTCCCAGTACGGATCATGATATACTGTAGCCTAGTGAATCCTTCATATATCAATGATATTTCGCTCAAAAACTTGCACATAGTTGAATAGTCAAAACCGAGCTCATAATTCATAGTCCAGCTATAGCTCACTCAGTTCTATTATGAATACTGTATGACAAAGACGTTTAGGAAAACTAAGAGATCAAAATAATGTACAACATCGTTTCGGTGTTGATAAAGATGACGATGGTAATGCTAGTTGCGGTGTATTTGATTTGCACAGAACATTATCCATTCGATAGGATATGGGTGGTAGAAGATCATTGATTTTCTTTTCATCTTGTAATGTAATTGGTGTTTCCCAGGTGGAATCGAATTCCGATTCTAAATACGTTGTTTCTTCTTTCCTTTTTGTCGTGTTTTTGTTCAATGCATTCAATGGCTTGATTTGTTGAAATTCTGTTGCGATAAGATCGATTACTTCGTTATACTTCTGTTCCTCCTTCCATAAACGATGAACATTCGTGTAAATTTTACTTAGCTGATCATATCGATTAATGATAGTATCGAAAAAATAACTATACGCTTTGTTAATTTCAGTCATAGCAACTAAAATCTGTCCGAACAGAATTTCTGGTTGTTCCCATTGAAATAACGAACTTGTCATAAGTTTGGTTCGAGAAAATTGCTTCGATATTTTAACACATTCGTGTGTACCAACTAATTGAACAACCCAAAGATCTTTATCATTCGCCGAATTGAAGATCCGAATGATTTTAAATGTTGGTTGATCAGCTAATTCGAGCTCGAATAGAACTGATACTTCGTTGAACCGACGTGAACAACATTGCAATGATTGACGACGTGCGTCAAGCGGTCGCGTATGTGCTTGAAGATGTACAAATGAATTAAATGACATAAGATTATTCGTATTAGATGCCAACGCGTCAATTAACTCTTTCTTGACGACTGTACCGTAGAAAACTTTCTTTTGCACACTCGTTCGTTGTTCAAGATCACGAATCGATGAACGTAGTTTATAAAGAGTCAACAATGGATCGAACTCAATCTGTCGGTTAATATTTGCAACATCAACTGGTTGCTTCAGAGGTACGGTATCGATTTTTGCTGCCGTTTGCTTTAAAAATTCATACCATAAATACGATTCTAAATTGTTGGTGATCAAACGAACCAATTGTCGTTCAGCGATTGGTTTTATTAGAACATCTTCTAATGCATCTTTTAAGTCTTCAATTGTCGTAAAGAGGCCAATAATACGATCGATTGACTCCTTCATTAGCGATTCGTATGTTTGCCGAGTGAGATTTTGACAAAATATAAACGATTTCATCGAATGACTGTTTGGATTATTAAGAATATCTTTAATCGTATGAAAATCTCCAGTTAAGATCAGCGCTGATACAATGAACTCTGCTTTGGCATTGACGACAATACTTTTGAGAAGATATTTACTATCAGTAAAAAATCGAGGAGTAAAGTTGTAAAGACATTGCTTTAAATTCGAATTATTCGATTTATCCAAGCAGAAAACTAACGGTTTACCAGTATTCATTGTTTTACTCCAAGTTATATGAGAAATAGTGCTACTTGTCTACTCAAAATGATAAAGTTTTTCTCATTTTATTATGAACAATCTGCTCAGAAATATTAAACGACAAATAGACTTTTTATGCTAATATTCTGACGTCAACGACGTGATGGAAAGTGTCACAACTTTAGTACACATGATCTATCACATTTATTGAGATATACGTCGGATTTCTAAGATCTATAGCTATCAATTACATTTATCAAGGTCAAAAGTAACTCTAGTTCAATGACAATATATTGCATTGGTTTCTGAAGAAAATTAAGTAATGAATAGTTGTCTAAAACATTCGAGTGACACTTTCATATGTAAATTTATCTAGAATAATATTTTTCTTTCATATCTCTGTTTTGTGAACAAATGAACGTACTGCACACACTTATTTCTAATGAAAACGTTGTTCTCTTTGGTGGAATGAAACACATCGAAGGTTGATTTCTGTTTTTCCGAGCAAACGTAAATTATATTTGTTTTCTTTTCTACGGATTAATTAGATCGAATTCTGACTTTTATTTGAAGAACATTTGTATGCAAATGAACTATAACAGAGCAATTGTTGTGTTTCACTTGTTGACAAAGACAAGACAGAAAGAAAAAGTTTGTGTGACTTCTGTACATATATTGCTGTTTATAATAATATAGAAAATGAATAATGCAATCTATTAATTTCCCAAGAAGGCAAAGTGTTCCAAATGTGTCATCATCAACGTCAATTCAAGTTATCAAACTATCTCGTCATTTACAACATCCATCACTACAAATTCAAGTTCGATTGTTTCATTGAAATTGTCGATAAACTTCTTCCATATAGGATACCCGTGGGTCCATAAAAGTCAACATTCAATCGAATAATAGTACTCGAAATAAAGTTCCATCGATAATCACTCGAAACAAGAATACGGTTTCTCTATCATCCGTCATAGTTTTCACATGAGTTGTCTTTCTACGTAGATCTCTACTAGAATTCTCGATTCTAACAAAGTTAATCTATTTTATCAACCAATTGCATTTCAACAAAACAGTCATTTGAATACGAATGGAAGAGAAAACTACCACAGACAACTATCGACAACTAGAATACATTCCACTACAGATAACCGAGTAAATTCTCTAAATGCACTAGCTATTGTATTTAGGTGATTTTTTTTGTTCTTCTTTTATTCTTAAAGAGAGTCTCTTTCGACAATCCGAACATTATCGATCATTGTAGAGATATTGTGGTAAGTCATTGTTTTCGTACTTTAAGTATATTCTTTTCAATGAATTGATTTAGTTAATAGAGCAATCGTTAAAAGAAGTAGATGATATCGACAAATATGATCCACAATATCGAAATAAAAAACGAGGGTAAGCGTTCTCATTTATTGCTTTTCGATGTGCTCATTAGAAACAATACTTCACATCTAGATGGTTTCAACAGTGTTGCATACGCTCTTCATTATGGATAATTTTATCACTGGTAACTCTGATCGTCCTTGGAGGAATTATCGCAGCAGCTGTAACGGCTTTGCTATCGACAGAAAAACCATCGACAGCTATAAGAATAAGTAAGATTGCATGAATCCTACTAGATCGGTTATCACTTCATCATAATCAATCTTTAGCGAGTACAACGACGATCACGAGCTCCACTACTACTGAAACAACAACAATCACAGGTAAAGCGGTTGAAGAGAGGACGATTAATACCTAAAAGAAAACATATCGATAGATATCTCATGTTCATCAACATGCAACTCCCAGCAATCATGTATTGATGGAATATGTATCAATGTCGGATATCTTGCCTGTACGTTGACATGGTCGCGACCTGGTGATGGTGATATCGATGTCGAGACTCCCAACAGGAATATAATTTCCTATAAAAACAAAGGTCCTTCCGCGAGTACCGACTACGGTGAATTGGACAGAGACGATCAGGTAAACGAAGGACCAGAGAATGTCTATTGGACAACTAACGGTCCCGTACCACCAACAGGAACTTATCATATTTGTTTTGAACCGTACAAGTTTGACAATCCAAATATTAGTGCAGCTAATCCACTAACGATTATGTATCGTATTGTTCGTCCGTCGAGTCCTACTCTTGTATTTACACGAACCTTTACCTCAACTATTAAAAATTCTTACAATTGTAGTGCAACGGCCAGTACTCTGATAGGCTCATTTACTTATCCATGAGCATAATCTGTAACATATAACTTTTATTATTCTAAATAAAACCGTTTGATTATATCTATAAAAGGAGGGATGCTGCGCTCTGAAAACGAATATAAGGTCGAAATTAATTGTTTCATATACAGTCGGTATATGATGGGTGCGTATCTGAGTCAGTCGGAAATATTTCCGCGATTTTTTGTACGATTCTTTTTTTGTCTGGTATTATATTATAAATATAAGGCGGGAGGAAACAAATTTCTACGTAGCTAACAAACTTTGAGTGCCTAGATAAGACATATTATTATCTATAATAAGAATTAAGGAACGAAAAGTGAAAATCACTCTGACCGATTCTATTTTTGTAGATAAAATACTATTCGCGCATGAGATAACGAACAATTTTCTCGTTCTTCTCAATATATCCACATGAAGACGATCAATATTCGAGTTCCAGTCAAATTGATACGAGTTTTACTTTCTTGAACTACTCGAGTGGTCGTTACCTAGAATTCACGAATCTAATCTTCCTGTTTGTTGATAGGTTTAAATATCAACTGTCATTGTGCCATCCGTAGTTGGTGTAATTTGAATTTCACAACTATTAGGGAAGATACCACGAATCAATTTCTTCAGCTCTGAACGAAACGTTCGTGAAGTAAGTGTGTATAAATAAAACGATGTGACCGGAAACATGTAGAGCACTAACTCTGCCATAAATGCAACAAACCGGTCTACCACAAGACTTGTGCTGCATTGATTTATAATCGCGATTGATATCGTATTGAATATTAAATTGCCCAGTTGAGGTACAATGAATATTATATAGCAGATGATTTGAATGAACAACATTCTTAGCACTTGTTGATCAAGTGATCGCTTTCGACCATCCTTCATTGACAATTGCATACGTCTCTGCTCTTTATGTGCGAGATTTTGATGAATGAGATATGCACATGTAATCATGATCAACGCTGGACATAATCCGCCACCCACAATTACGTAGAAACCATGATACAATGCTGCACCAATGCTGTTTACAATGCCACATAGATCGTCCTTGATCTCATAGAAGATGAGTCTGTGTGAACATATTACGATCCAAACGAGAGTGGCCGTTGCGATGGCTCGCTTTGCTATTTTTCGATTGGCCATATTTCTCAGTGAAACTCGCTCACATGTCAGTACATAACGATCAATACATGCAAATGCAACAAACCAGCGTGAGAGCATGAGACAGATTTGGAAGAAATAGCCTCGAAGTTTGCAGAAAGCTAGTGAGTGTGTTTGTGGATCGGGATGGTTGAGAGAGTAGAGAACAGGCCCAATGCCAACAATCAATGTGAGTAGATGATCGAATGAAGCAGCAAAGAAATCTAAAATGTAAATGAAGAATAGGATAAAGTGTATGGCTGGGAGAGTGAATTTACAGATTGAGAATGAAGTGGTTCGTAGTTGTGGCCGAGAGAAGATGAGAAGATTGAGCAGACAGCCAGTGATGCCAAACACAAGCCAAACTGGATAGACAAAGATAGTCAGTTGTTGTTGAACATCAGTCAGTGTAATACTCGAGGAGGACATCATCGCATATGTAATAAGAGGTTTGTATGGTAAATCTTGTTTATCAATTAAATAATTAAGTAAAAAAGTTTCACTACTTTTTTTCCAATGAATTAATTTGAACTTTAGACGTGTTAATTATGTCCTTGATAAATTATTTTGCTTATAACGGAGTGGGTATATCTAATCTAATAAAAGAAAGAACTAGTCGGCAAGAATTATATTTGTGCGTATCAAGATAAATATTTTTACTCTTATTGAAATAAAGCTCCCTATGTCTAACATCGAGATTTTTTACTCATGAAATAATGAGTATTGCCTGTGTTTCACACGGAATGAAACTATTAAATCTTTTAAATGAAGTTAATTTAACTTTACCAACTGCTATACATGAAGAGTGATGTGTATGACGCTCTGAAGATTAGAATCGTGTGAGCAACTGCCGAACTGTAGTGTCAAAATGGAATCAGAATAAATTATTTAGAGTAGAATTTCTGCCCGTAGATAAAAGAATCTCTGCTTAGCATATTAAGGCCAAAAAAACACTTGTAACTCCTTTAACTATTTTCAATAGCAAACTTGAGAATTTCCTATTTCCTGATGAAAATGGAATAGGTTCTTTTTACGAGTAGCCGGCAAGTTTAGATAATAGAACTTTCAGATAATCTCACACAGTAATCATCGAAAGATTTAGAAATACATTAAGTAAGGCCTAAATTGAAACTGATTTATGTAGAAGATATCTTCGCTAACAGTATTAAACAAAGTAAATCAATGTATTTTCAAATGTATATTAATTAGATATCATGAGGTACTTCACGGAAACCTTCAAATGACAACAATGGAGGTATGTACATGGACAGACAAGTGACAAAATGAGAACGTTGTAAAACTAAACGTGAAATTTCTTGCGAAAATATATGTTCGTCTAGGGAAATAATCAAAGACAAAAGAATGGAAGCTAAATTAGTTAGTTTTGATTGATTCGGCTAACAAGGGCGTTCAGTTGTATGAACTTCATGATATTTCATGATTTCACAGCAGTAGTTCTCATTAAGTTTTAAAAAATTAGAACAAAAATTATATGTTCATGACATATTTTCTTTTTTTTTCAGTAAAGAATCGATACAATATTCGCTTCTGGCAGCGAGGATCATGTACTAAGCGATGGTATACAGAATATTATTAACGAATGTATCATTGATGACCTTGACCTTTAGAAATATTCAAGTTTCAGTCTTATCCAGTTATAAAATCTTTTTTTCCATGGGAATCATATAGCTGAGTACTTGAATTATTTTTTATGAAATGTTTTTTTGCATCACTGTTTGCGTCATTGGAAGATTATGATCGACAGACACGGAAGTTCTTTCTAATTCACAATAATACGATTTAAATAACGTCAAAGAGCAAAACTGCTCTTCATTAACTTCAAACTTCACCCTCAACTTCATAATTGTATCAGGCAATGCAGATTCATCTCACTTGCTATCGCTCTTATTATAACATCCTTGCGAGAATTTTAGTTCCTGTTGCCCTGAAAAGGTTTTCTCCGCATGCATAAGATCCTGCCAATGTGAACTAAACTAAGACCGACACCCTCAACTCTGATGGATTTGACAGATCGTCACTCTAGATTATGAACCTTAACCTTGATCATGAAGAATGTCCACGTGAATGTTAATATCAACGTAAACCGGAAAATAATTCTAATAAAAAATTTATTTTGATTATAATTAATACTAAATGATACATAAAGATGTCAGAGATGGATCTTAAGTCAGCAATCCTGGAATTCGAACACACATATGTTCATCAAGATAATACTCTTAAATGACATATTTCTTTCTACTCATAAATGCAATGACGCACGGCGGATTTACTAACGTTTTTTCTTGATGGTAATGCACTATAAATGATATGAAAAATCTCCTAAGCTACACATAGGGCAAAGCCTGAGTGATAAGATTTTATATGACCGAAATCCATGTCTAGCTCAGTAAGTATGTCGATCATAAATTGCTTGAGAGCTTCCAAAACTTTTCCATATACTTTTCTGAATTCAAAGGTATTTTCTTCCAGATGAACAAGCCATCAGTGTGGAGAGTCGAGGTGAAGAAGTGTCACACAATGAGTTTAGCTGGAAAATGAATAATTGAAGACGATTTATTTGCATTTAGTTTGAGTAGTTCGAGGATGACGAACATAATATACAGCCGAAGGAAGACCATGATGCGTTGTGATTGCTTTGCGAGATAAATGTATGTAGGTGTTGGCAAGTTTTGTACTTTTCGATATCGAGTTGAAATTTGAACTAAAGTTATGAAGAATAAATCAGTCTTCTATCAAATATTATCTCGTAGCTATTTTCACTTTCCGAGAAATTTCCTCGTTACACTAAGAGATCTACCTTGATAGTAATTCAACTAAAATATCTTCTCTTTCAGCGAAAAGTTACAATTTACCAATCGCGATTTGTCTTACATATCCAATTTTCACATGCAGATCTTTGCCATCCAGATCCTTTAGTTTGGTAATGAAAAAGCACATTGCTGACCAAATTAATATAATTAGTTGTAGCTCGTCACTAGAGGAACGCGTTTTAGTTTAAGCGACGCTTGTCACCTACACATGCATGCGTCTACCACCAACCGATTTTCTTATCAGAGAACATTCATGTGTAGGTGTCTCACGCATAAAAAAGCACATCTATTGTGACTAATTAGTTGATTAACTCTGCAAATCTGTACCATAACAACCGTTAGCACTTCCACTAAGTGCTTTGCTCTCCTAGTCGGCATTATTTCAGTTATTGATTTGCCAATCAAAATACATTGCGTCCCGAAAATGATACCAAAAGAAAATAATGACTTTCAATGAACCTTAAAATCGTGTACAAAAGAAAATACTATTGTGATCACTGATGTGAATGTAAATTTATAAATAGTTCTTATTGATATGTCACGTTTCCCTTAGTGTTCATATGCACATTTCGATGTGAGTTGTCGATCACTGTGTATCGAAGGATTTACAACACATTCAGAATCGGATCGTTTATGAATGAAGTGTCCTGGATTTCCTTAGACGAGAAAATTCTCATTTTAAACAGCACAATGAGTTTGTAAAGCACATGGTAAATTGAGATTGATTCACCATGTAAAATGTTGTCCTTTTGTAATAAGTAATTAGAAAATGTTTTCTTTTTTTTTCTTCTGTCATGACTTTATTTCTTAATTAAGATTTCCTCCTCTCGCAACGTTTAAATACCATTTGTCATCTCACTGAATTGTCGACACTATTATTTCAATATATAAACATGTAAGTATTTTGTCATCAGTGGCAACGATACATCCGCTTTTGGTGCTATGCTCTCACTTGTATTTGTAAAACTAAACGATTTGCTTTTTTTTTGTTTTAGTCAATTAACAAACTATCTCCATACTCTTAAATACAGTTACCATGTTTTTTCACACTTGTATAATCGTCGTGTTCTTATTATTCAGTCAAACGATTGCCATGCGAAATAGTTCATTATCTTTGGATAAGTCCTGCAAAGTCAAATACGGTAAACAAGTCCTAAAAGAAGGAAAAGAATTATCAATCAGCGGAAAGCTATACAAAGTCGAAGATTGTCACTTACAACGTGCCTATCAAGCATGCGGTACTCATCTGTGGTTTATGCTCAACATTGTCTGCGGAGCTATTGAATCTCAAAAAGTGAAGCCCAAACGAAGTCTCCTACGCACACGAAGATTCACTCAAGAGAAGTTACTTTCGGATGCTTGTTGTGAAAACTCATGTACTGTCGCCGAGTTAGCACGATATTGTCCATAGGAAAAGGAGTATGAACACATTTTCATTCATGTTGACAAATGCTTTCTGAATATTCACCTCGTTTGAAACTAATAATAAACAGAAGAAAAAAAAACAAGAAGATATGTCGAAATAAGTTAACTTCATTTTATTTTGTTTTATTTTCAAATTGTTTAGTTTTTTTGACTTGTAACTAAACAATTAGTTATATATGTTCTTAAAATCAATGTGAAATAAATGTTTCGTTGTGAAAGAAAATTTAATACTGTAACTTTTGAAGAATGATTTCAACCGGTTCCATGACTGTTCAGCCATCAGATCTTCCCTTTAGACATGCATCAAATTCAATTCTACTAAAATCTTACTATTTCTTTTTATAGTAAAGTTGCTTTCATACGAGAGTTCGAGAACATGATAATTTCGCTCGTCGTGGTTCGTACCCACTGAAATTCGAATTGCAGTCAAATTTAGATCGATAAGTAGATCAGTTTGGCACATATGTACATCTACGCCATCAAATATTCAATGAGTAGGTAAAAATAGACACTTGACATGCGTATATATTCCAGTTTAATTACGTCATGTCTTCTACACGGTAACCGATCAAACTTTCTAAACCTATTCACTCTGTTGCTATTTTTAAACTGATGAGAGAACTAGAATCCTGACGAAGAGAACATTAAAGCTATACATTGTGACGTGTAAATAACCATGTAGAAAGTCACACATGTCACAACATATGGCATCATTTTAGGTGATGAAAATATGGCTTCGACAGTGAAAACTTCTTCAATACAAAAAAGCGTAGTGATTTGTGTACATATATGAACTAATGTTTGACTAATATTGAATAATCTAGTATGAATTACTCGGAGTATAGTCAAATAGTTCTTAGTTCGTATTCTTGACTTTATATCGATCGGTTCTGAAATCAAGTATGAGTGAAATTGCACTCGTAAAGACATTTTTTTATCGGCGCACGAATAATCACATCACACCTTCACTTGCATGATGTTTTGTCGTGATATTGAAATACTATTGATCAACTTTTTTTCGGCAAGAAAAGTACGATTGTCTTATCGGATTTACTGAATTTATGATTGATTTGCGTACATTTTAAAAACACTCAACAATTTCTCTCACCACTGTTACTTTACTCTGGTTGCTACTACAAGTATGAAACAACGCATTCCTCATTTTTATTCAGACAATTCATCTAGAATCGCCCCTTGTGGCCTCTCCATGGTGACACTCTTGCCTGGACTCTTTTCGGAATAAACATTGACTAACAGATGGTTGACGATACGAGTCTCTCGCAGACATTCTACAATTTTTGTAAAATGTAGATGATATAAGAACAAGTTAAAAGTGAATATGTTTGCTCTTTTTGAAAACAAGTCGTCAGTGAATAGGCCTTTCATTTTTACATATATTTCTCACATGCGTCAGTCGATCACATCGTCTTCTTTACAATGATGTCAGCAAGTTTTACTTGTATGTTTTCAATGAATTGGTTTGGTCTTGGTATATCCGATCCACAGGGCGCTGGACCGGACACATATTCAAGTCATTGGAATGCTGACAATCAAGATGGTTGTGTGCCAACAGCTCAACCGAATCGATGTGAAATCGATGGTCAACGTATTATCATCTCGTCAAATTATCGACCGCTTGCTGGTATATACTCATCGAGTGGTTTGAATGCCGAAAGTTTTACTCGAATTGATCTTATGTTAATGACATTGAAACGAGAATGTGGTAATTGTGATCGCGGACATGCTCAATTAAACGCGTGATTTTAATTCAACTCGAATTTATCCAATTATCCTCACGCTATCAACTAAATCCATCAGCCAATATCGAAATTTCATATCAAGCTTACGTTCGTTTTCGAAAACGCGCACAAAATTTTCAATTTTCATCCGATGTTACTACACCTGGTTACGACAGCTCATGGTTATACTCATTCTCAATTTCCTTAGGTCTCGGTCGTTGTGAAAATTCGAATGTAAATAACAGTCTTAATGTATGTTTAAATTCGACGATTACTGATTTTACTGACATTATTTCCGATATTTCTCAGGCAACAAACTATCTCATCAATGGAAAACCTTTGATGTGAATGATCATACATCTGATCGACAGTTCGTCAACATATCTCTTGCGATTTTTATACTGTATGTGCTACGTCTAGTCTACTGACGGCATTCGATGGTGCTGCTCCTTGGATTTATTTAGTCGCTTGGTCAATGACTAACAGTAGTTTACTCTTATATAATCGAACGCTAGGTATGGTTAAAACTTGTTTATGTCCCTCTTTCGTCTTTGAATATGTCTGCAGGTGATCTCGTCATGGACGGATTTGATTCGCGCTCAACTTGATTATTTCTCATCGAATGGTATACGTCATTTGTTTATCTATATTTGGAATGATTGGACTGAAGGAAGTGATTTCGAACTGGATATCACGAATAGTGCACAGTTTTTGCTTCTACGTCGCCGATCTTTGACATCGCTTCACAGTGAAACACAAAATACAGACGATGATGATGCGAAACTCATTTCAACGTGGACAAATTATTTTCAACTGAGAAATTGTGCCTGTCCATTGCCAACAAAAAATCGTAGCCCTCATCATTGTTTCTGTTTTTCTCTTGCAATGCTTCTTGAGTTGTGTTGTGTTCTTTGCTTGAATACAACTCAAATATGTTATATAGAAGTAAGGCAACCTTTTACTTGCCTTTATTAAAAATAATCTTGACAAGAACATTGCCCATTAGGATAGAAATGATGAATTCTGTTGGCGTCGCGAACAATTATCGTACAATTACGAATTCGAGCAAACAATTTTGTTGTTTGATCTACAATTATGAATCAAAGAAGTTATTCCATTCTATTGCATGTTTAATTCTTACGGCAATCACCACAGACACGAAGATTCTTTGTTATCTGAATTCTCGTTGGTTTACGATTTCGAATGAAATGGAAAGCGATTGCTAATTTTTCGCTATGTCCACAAAGTATTGACTGAACTGTTTCATTTTTTCCTATTGTTCGTGTTACCCAACTTTGATCAAACTGATGACCGTGCTCGAGAAGTTCTTTCGTCAGTTCATTCAACTCAGCATAAATTTCTGATGATTCAGCATGTGATCGATCGTGTGCTCGAAATTGCTGAAATCAATACAAGAAATCGTATTTCAATGGAATTCATGTTATACTAACAAAGATCTCCCCATTCAATTCCGTCCATACTAAACCAACTTTCTTCCTTTGACCAGATTGCTGTAGCTGATCTCGAATGACTAATGCTCGATCAAGCTCTCCTGTCGATGCATAAGCATTCGCCAGAAGAACCGAAGCGGATGTTAACGAGTCGACAAGATGAGGGAACGTTCGTTTCATTCGTTCGAACATTTTTTCCGACAAACGCTGATTATTGGCGTTGCGAGCTCCAGAAAGTAATGACACTAAAACAATTCAGATGAATTATCATTGATTTTTATCATATTTCTACTTTGCATCGATATGATTGGCGACTGATTTTGTTCATATTCATCAATGAATGCTAATGCTTGATCAAAAAGTTTCGCTCGACTTAAACAATCGACCTGAATTGGTGATACAATACACAGAAAAGAAAGTGATTATCTTTTACTCACCATTACAGCATGCATTTGCCCAGTTTTGATTGGACTCATTTCAAAGATACGTTGTGCTTCTTGTACCAATCCTGAGTGTGAACACGCATTCAGAACAGATACGTAAGTGGCTTCGTTCATCATATTCGAAGGCATTCGTTGAAATAACTCTATCGCTTCAACTCCCATTCCGTTTAAACCGTAAGAATTAACTAATTTAAATGAAAACGGCAAGTTCATTGGACTTTATCAAACAAAACATCAACTGAACTCATTGTAGTGTAAGCAAACTGATTTGGAGGAGAAATCTGATCAAAAACAGATCTTGCTTCGTCAATGCAAGCAGATTTACCCTAAAAAACGTTTTTGAAAATAAAACTCAATCGTAGTCGACAATAAACTTACAAACATGTGAATCAATGCTGTTTGAATTCGGGGACTAGAAAAAAAACGCTCCGGCATTTTCTTCGCATACGATTGGGAAAGTGAACTAAAGCCCAGTTGAGATAAAGCATTAAACAAACAAAGGTATGTACTGGTAGTTGGCTCAAGTTGATCGTGAATCATTTGAGAGAATAATTGTAAAGTTTTCTGCGGATTTCGTTCCTTATTATATCCATTCATCAGGTTTCCATAAGTAATGACATTTTTTTTAGAATTCAAAAAATACTCTTCTGCGCTCGAACAATCCCGGCATTTAATTAACGCATCGATAAGAGAATTGACCAGTTTTTCATTTGAATGACATGTTAAGGACATTTGCGAAGCGACATGCTTCACGAATTCTAATGCCGAACTACTTTGCACTTGAGCACATGCATTAAACAAAAGAATTAGATTGATTTCATTCGGATTTTCTATCTGTTTGAAAATTTCGATAGCTTTTTCTGGCAGACCATTTCGTATATAGCCTAAATATAATTTGAACGTGACACATCAACGAAGAAATAGAAAGAGAAAACTTACCTTTCATCATAGATCCATAGATGGCAGGATCTTTTTTCTTTGCTCGATGGAAAAATGATTCAGCCAAGTCAATATTACCACAAATCACTGCAATTAGAAGAAAAAGATCGATCGATTAATGAACGTGCTTTTCAATTACTTGCGACTTGGATCAATGACGCAACGATATAACCATCTTTTTTTAACTTCAATGGAAGCATTTGATCGATAGCTAAAGCACGATTCAAATCACGGATACCAACGGACGATATCAATGCTTGAGTTAAGTGATATTTGGATATTTTCAAAAGATCTTTCTCCTTGTGCTCGTCGAATAATTGCAAAGCTTTTTCATATTCTTTGTTATCATTGAATTTTTTCATTGCGTCACCGAGATACCAACTTGATCGAATTGTCAACAATCGATTCTTGCCAGAATTGATTGCACTTATCGGATAATTCAACAAGTTTCTCAACATATTCGCTTATTGTAAGACTAAATGAATGAGCAGTATGTTATGTTTTCTTTTCGATTTTCGATAGGAGATGTTTATTTCCAATACGAGTATAACTCGCGATAAGATGTCGCTGAACTTCGTATTTCACTCAATTTCCTTGACAGCTGACAAGAAAATATGCGCATATGTGCCACTGTAGTCGTATCTTTTGTCAACAGAACCAGACTTTTGAATATTCTCTCACTCTATTACTTTATCGAATCAATATTTAGGTTTCTGAATGTTAAAACACAACGGTACATATGCCTAGATCTATCATTTGTCATAGTTTATTTCCTTCCACAAACAGGAATAAATATATAATGACGTCGGCTTTGCGTCAGTCATCACTATATAACTGGTCGTATTGATTCGAATGTGTTCTCAAAAGCCATGGACACGTATACACTTACTAACAAATCGGACATGGAGTCTGCCAAAGCACTACTACCATCGATCAAAGAGCACGTGAGTGTAGCCTGGTAAACTATCGAGGAGAAGATCTTTCAGCGACTTTGACCGTATTTAGGTTTTGGAGATTCCGAATGATGTGAAACAGGTCATAATCAAAGATTCGAGTATATTTATTGAGAAAAAACGTCGGTGAGTACTGTTGATAAACAATTTTGTATATGAGCTCATGTTTTATTTTAGTCGTCCCCTATTAGGAGTCTGCGCTCGATCTATAATTATACTAAGTTTAACGGCAATGATCATAATAGGAATGTTGATCTCGCAACCAGATTTCACTCGTGCCGTGAAGTCTATCATGAGTAAGTTTTTGCGAATTTCAATCGATACACAGTGTGAAAGCTTTCTTTAGAAAACGAAGTGTTCAGTTTTGTCTGTAACTCGCCAACCAATAGCGATTCGCAAGGTAATTTGATGAGTAAATCCGAATTGATTATATAAGTTTATTCCTGAACACTCTTGTAGGTTCAATGGAGACAATGCCCGTGTATAGCTGGCTCACGAATCCATCAGACTTGCAGATTAAACAACCAGATCATACTATTCTTTACTCCATGCGTAATCCTTTCTCAAGTTTGGGCGATTTTGTAAGAATCTCTTCATTTCACGTTGCACGTGCCGGTCAAACAACTCTGTCATTCAATTTTCCATCTGACATCGGTAAAATATACATTGCCGACGTTTCAGTACAAACTTCAGCTGGAAAAGAACTTCTTGTCAATGGCAATTTCAACGAAAGTAGCCATGGATGGCAAGGCGTGTCCTATGCGCCCCCATGTTATATTGACCTTGAGTATAGATATTGCTACAGTACTGCTTATAAAACAGCAGATAGTCTCTCACAAATATTCAGCACTAAAAAAGGATCTTTTCTTTACATTACTTTCAGACTTCGATGGGAATACCTTCCGTCAAACGATGGTATGAACGTTACAATCAACTAACTATAATTTCCTCAGCAACGTTTTTGAACAAATTCGAAAATCACTTTTCCTGCTTCTATTCTTCTTTGAATGCATTATTAGATTCTATCAATAATAAATTTGCGATTCGTTTCATTTCAAACGGCAGTTTCATGATAAAAAGGTTTTGTGCATAGAATATTGAAGTATGTGATATGCATTTGAATTGCAAGTGCGTCTATATCTGCATTTTCATGAATACTAGCACACTCAATGATTGATATTATACATTTCCAGGTGAATTTTTCTTGATAACTAGGTTCTACCAGCATTTCGTATCCGTTATTTAATCTGAATATTAATATTAGAAAAATCAATAGTAATTAAATCTAATTCAAACTGGTCAATATTAACTTAAATCATGCATCAACAAAGCAAAGCACGAAAATATGAAATAGCTGTTGTTTTTCCTCTTACAAATTTATTCTAATCGTATTTATTCTAACATATCAGCTTTCGAACCGATTCTTCTTTTGTTAGTCTGTTTTGACTAAAAAGACGTTGACATAAAGAGTGGAAGTCAATGACATAATCCCCCGTTAAATATCTTAAACTCAAGTTCCTGTATGTCAGAATCGTTTTAGTTTTTTGTCGAAATAGAGGGTGCGAAAATTTCATCGATCATTCATTCATATGTTGATTTAGCAAACGCCTGATTCATATACGAATATTGACATAAATTAATACGCGTAATCATCGTGATATACTTTTATATATAACTTCTACCAAATCGCGATCTTCAAAAAGAATAGAATTTGACTCGTTTCGGTCGACTCGAAAAGCAAACGTGTGCCACAATGAATCCATACACGATCGAACCATTAAAAGCAGATGCTAATGCGATATCGACAACAGCATCTGCACCAGTGTATTCATCGACGGCGGTTCAATATCCTAGATTAGAAACTGCACCACCAACAACAACACCGGTATCTGTAGGAATAACGGCGCAAATGCCACCTATGTATCAACATCCTCAATCAGATCCTACGACAGTCTCAGCACCGATGACAGCGCCGATGTATATGCCACCTGGCTATCACTATCCCAGGCCAGAGCAGACTGCTGTACCTGCACCGGCGCCTATGGTAGCTTCCGTGTATATGCCACCTGCACAGCACTATCAACAACCTCGAAGTCCGCCTGTTGCTAATACTCAAGTAGATGCGAGCAAAATTCGTGATTGGTTACCATGGTCGATTATTAGTATATTTCTTGGTGGATTCATTCCAGGCATTCTTCCTTTTATCTTCTCTCTGTTGTGTCGTAGTAAGAAGAGAAAAAATGATTTTCAAGGTGCTAAAACAATGAGCACGTTGGCGTTGGTATTTAACATCATCATGACAATATTGGGAATATTAAGTATAATTTTTATTGTGATTTACCTGATTGTTTTCAGTCGAATGAAGAGGAATGAATATATATTCTTATCCAAATAATTCGAACAATGTCAACATCTCAATTATTTTCTTTGAACAATGTTCATATCAGCTACGTGCTTATCATTGTAACAACAAACGACAAAATAAAATTAAAGAAAAAACACATAAGCTTTCAGATATAGAATTCATATTATACTATCCAATCATAATGGTCAACGACAAGTAATATCTGTTAGCGATGTGCGAGATACTAAATGGAAGTTTTATTTGATTGTCTCGAAATATTGAAAGAATCATTTTAAATTACAAAATTAAATCTTCTTTAGATAGAAGAATATGATTATTTCTATGACAATGTATTCCTACACAATTCTCATAGAATCTCTTCCAGCACTTCTATGCATCGTTCAATTTCAGCTACTGTATTGTAATGTACGGCAGAAAGACGAACAACAGCATCATCGAGGTCTAAACCTAAAGCAGCAATTAACCGATATCCATACATATGACCATTACGACATGCTATTTTATGTGCATGAAGATGTTTCACGATTTCACTTGACGATAATCGCGATGATCGAAAACTAATCGTTGGACAACGAAAGTTTGTTGTTGCACTGCCAAGAATAGTAACATCAGATTTCGTTGATAAATATTGAAATAGACGTTCGACTAGAGGTTGTTCTAAATTAGCAAATATACGATATGCTTGTTCGATTGTTTCTCGGACTGGTTGATCAGGTGAAGCCTTGGCAACTCGTTCGAAATATACTTTGATACCCAATATCCCTGCGCATGCTTCATGATTTAAACATCCAATCTCATATTGATAAGACACATTTGATTGAGGAATGAAAAAATGGTTCGGCCCAGCAGAAATATCGATGAAATCTTGCCAAGCACTATTCGATCCATACAAAACCGATAAATGAGGACCATAAACCTAGAACACAACAGTCCACATAAATCCAAATAGACAAAAAAAAGTCTTACCTTGTACAAACTGAAAACGTAAAAATCAACATTCCATTGGCGAACATCAATCGCTCGATGAGGTGCATACGCAACTCCATCAACAATAACGCGTGCTCGAGGCGATCGACTGCGTACAAGTTGAACAATCGTTTCAACATCAAGAATTTCACCAATGAGATTGCTGACATGTGGTAAAGCAACAATTCGGGTACGTTCAGATAACAAAGCAGAAAATTCTTCATAATTGATTCCCTTATGTGCTTGCCACTCAATTATTTTCCCCTGTAATTTGGTCCACGCACCATAATTCGCTTCATGAGCGGTATTACTAACAATAATTTCATCGTCAGGACTTGTAATCAGTTTATCAAAGGCATGTGACAGTGTATGAATCAACTGAGTCGTACTGGCACCTAGCACAACTTCACCAATTCCATTTCCATTCACTAGCTCACGGCAAAAATCATGAGCGAGTTTAACCGTTTGCGTAGCCTCGCTGGATTGATCGTATTCGGCACCAACTTGCACATATGTCCGTGAATAATAATTCGAAATTGAGTTGATTACTGATAAAGGCACTTGACTACCACCAGCGTTCTCTAAAAAGATCCATTCTGGATGTTCACGAAAAAAAGGAAACTCTGAACGCAATTGTTCTTGTTGCTTAATCGACATTTACTTCGTTTGTGCGTGTCTGTGTGAGGAATGTCATAAGACTACCGTTTATTCACGTTATCTTTTTCAATGCAAACCGACTCAACGTTATCTTATGAAAGTGTAGAACTACGTTGATCTTCGAATGATTTTCTTTTATTTCATGGTAAAGTTCGTGACTTGTCGGAAAAAACCATCATTATAAATGTTTTCGTATCATGGAGTAAAGTTTGCAATTCCTCAAGCATGTATAACTTCGACGATTGTTTGTTCGCTTCTAGCAATTTGATCGCTCGTTCGTAGTTGTCCAATGCACGGCTATAATTCTTCTGACTCAGACAACAATCTCCGATGCTTTTATAGATTAAAGTCAAATCCACATGATCGCTTGGTAAATGAGTCAAACTGATTCTTAATGCTTGTTCGAAATGCATCAAAGCCGCAGTATAATCTTCTTGATGTGCATAGTTAGCTCCGAGACCGTTATGTGCACGCACAAGTCGACGAGGTTGACTTAAAATCGATGTATCATTGAGAATTTCGAGGAAAAATTGTTCCACACGTCGATACTCTCCCATTTCCATCAATAGTTTTCCTAAACATGATAGTGGATTGTCATGTTGTTCAGATGTTCGAAACGGTGTTAAAATACGAACTAATTGCGTATTATTCGTATTAATCAAGTGTAGTTTCACACACCAAATCATCAATTCATTGGTAACTATTTGTTTGACCGATTCGATTCGAAAAACACTCGCGGCAGCGAAATAGATTTCTCCGTTTTTTAAATCGTGATTCGCCATTAAAGCATAGGGATGTTCTTCGTCGAATATCAAATGATTCAGATGAATTTGGAAGAGCACGGCTAACCGATCGGGATGCAGTGTTAATCGAAGACGTATGAACTCCATGGATGTTTCCTTGTTCACTGTAGTGCTAAGCAAGTTTCCAAAAGATAAAAGGCCAGAAGAATGGTTCTTCAGGAGCGAATCAAATGCGTCATTCAACATTGTCTTTCCTCGAAAGACAACTGACAAGGTTTGCAAGAAGGATTTATTTTCTTCGTGCAAATGCAACAATTGCGTGTTGAGTTGTTTAGTAAAGAAACCAAGTTTGTAGAGAACATCGATTTCTCGCGTTCTTTTAACACGATTTAATATTCTTGAAATGAAACATGGTCGTCTCAACCAGTCTAATGCAGTATCAGGTCGATAGTGCTTGGCAAACTCTTCGACTAGACCTAATTGTCTTCCGCTATAATGCAAGCGACAAAAATCAATGAAAATAGTCTTTGCATTTCCATCGAATTTCAATCGAGCCATGATTTCATGGAAGATTTGAATAAACACGAATGAAAGGTCTGCTTTGGTCATTTCGTTGGACGAATTCGAAATCGTCGACCAACAGATCTGATCGTGTTCGTACAAGTTAATATCTTGCTGTACTTGCGTGCAAAGATCCGTCATATTAGAAAAAGTATTCGAATGGAGACTATGCCTTCGATCTGGAGAGGACGACGGATCGAAAATATAGATTTTCTCCAGAGATAACAAATGATAGAAGTTTACAATCGATTGATATGTAACCGATGTAATCAGAAACACTCGTTCATCTTTAACATCACGAATATAATCGATGCATGTATCGGCATTGAAAAAAATCTGAAGACCGTAGACAGAACGACGCAGTTGTTCTTTGTCATTGTCGAATTTTCGAGATGGATCATCGAATAACCATAGCACAATACAATTTTCTATGGAACGAGTTGGAGATGGTGTAGAGGGTAAAGTAGACGATGTTTGAATTTGATTAAATGCGATCGTCGATGGTAGGACAACGGAGTCGCAGAGGTGTGAACAGGAACCACCCATTCGTGACGGCAGAGAAATGTTGACTTAATTGTAAACACGCAGCTATGGAAAATTAATACCTCTCTCTCTCTATCTCTCTTTTCTCTTTAGGACTGCCTCGAAATGAACATAATTACTCGCAATAATTGGAAATAATTACATTATTTATAGTTACAGTATATTTTCTTCGGATAGAATGGGATTTAATTTAAAAGACTTTCACTAAATTACTCACCATGAGTGATAATTCAGAATTATTTGTAGATCTTGAAAAGAGCACGCGTATTGTGCACAATTAGAAGAGAAGTTGGTGTTCTGTTTTAGAATAAATCTATTTATAACCTAAAATAGAAGTTTATACTTAACTGGCTTGATTTAGTGCATGCGTCAGAGGAAAATATATCAGGATCATGGGTGACCGTAGATGCCATTAATGTCACGTATGTTTCCTTTTTCTCACTGCTATCGTTTTAATTAAGATATAAAAAAAGAACATATTTTGATGAGTCTTCCGACAGAGGCGACGATATCTCGCAATTTCATACGATAGACAACAAATGTCTTGTGCTTTCAGAAATTTCGTTGAATAGATGCTTATCTTCATCACTGACTTACGCAGAGACGAGAAAGTTGATTCAATACATGATTTATATACACGAGATTGAAAGAATTTATTTAGTTATAATTTGCATTTGTTGAAATGTTAGATAACGTGTCAAGAATTACTTCCGTTTTACTTGAATTGATCTTTCAACTGAATAGAACTATGAGGGTTCAGAGTGCATCTCAATACGTCACAGATCTTCTGATAAAAAGTGCAAAACGTAGTCAAATAACAAACGAATAAAAGATTTTTATTATTAATAACCAGCAAAGCGAATATAATCAACACCGAATTCAGTGTTGTTTTCTTTACATATTGAGTCAATTCGAAGTCGACGTACTAATCCTTGCCAATTCGATTTCATCGGTAAATCCACTACGTATTCTTTCCACTCTCCATTATTTGTCACTTCAATTGACACACTATTCTGATCATCGAACAATCCATGCTGATTTTCACTCCAAAGTAATCGGAAATAAGTATTTAATGGACAGACATTTGCCATATTGACGAATATTTTCTTCACTTTCGATGCATCAAGCATCAATTCAGGACTCCATAACTGTAAATGCTCACCATCTATGGATGACAAAATCCACTTTCCATCTTTTGGACTGCTAAGATCTTGATTCGAAGCAGATTTCGGTGTCCATCCTTCTCTATTGCCATCCTGATTGAATTCATACGATTTCGGATTCTGAGCAGTGTACTGTTTCAAACTGAAGTTTCCTATTTCAATCGTTCCGTTATTTAATCCTGTAACTTCCCAGCCAATATTCATTGCGCCTACATGATACTTTCGCAGATCGGTCGAATGTAAAAAACCACGTTCCACAGCTGCTTGAAGTCCTAGTCGAACGAATGGCATCATATCGCCTGTAACATGAACAATACGTTCTGTATGCACAGACATATTGGCAAAATTGGAAAATGCTGGCGAATATATCAACGAAGCTGTTCCTTTATCACCATTGACATACAGTGGACTCATTAGAACGCGATCATCATAAGGACAAAGGCCTAACCAGAAATATTTTCCATATTCTGGATCACCAGAAATGAAGTTTTGAATGGTCATATAAAGTGGAAATATACCGGCATGTAAACCCGGATCATAACCTGGTTGGATATGTTGATTCATATATAAGAGTTGAACATCTAAATTCCATCGTAATTCTGTCACTTCACTCAATGGTACGGCACCACCAGCAACTCCAATGTCTTGCTGAATAAGGAGATGCACCCAAGGGGCGTCCGGAGCTTTATATTTACCACTATATTCATGATAGCCATTGACTGACATTTGTAAACGACCATCTTGAAAAATAACGAAACGTTTATCTTCGGTTGACCATTGCATACCTCGACTTCGACTATCATTCATAAAGGTGCCATTCAATGAAATATTGGAGTGACTATTCCATTGGACCATTTGCCACGGTGCTGTAGCATTAGGAACGGTGGAAAATGGATTATATATACGACTTCGAGGTGCAGTATTACATTGTGGAGTTGGTGGGCAAGCTGGAATAATACTAAAGCCCTGAGTATAGTTGACATCGGAAAGTAGCTCTGTTCCTTGAAAATAAACTTGCCTTGCTTCAGAAGAAATGAAGAGAATTAAAAATATAAAAAGCATTCTACGACAAACAACTGACAACTGAAGTATCGTCGGGCGATATCACTGTCACTAATAAGATATGCGATGGGAAAAATTGACTTGTGACGTTCTGGACTATTTATTTATTATCATAGGGAAAATGAAGCATTTTACTTTTAAAAATAGAAGAGAAAAAAACAATCCTTCTACCACACGGTACATTTTTTCACTCGACTATTGCCTTGTCCGGGTTTACAATTAAATGCACGATCGAATTCAACAAAATTCGATGTTGGACCGATAACTCTATAATGGAAAAAAACGCATTCACTATGGTTGTTAGTTAAATAGCGTTTGTAATTGGATCACCTGAATTGTCCTAGAGAATGTACATCGGACAGAACACGATCGAGAGCGTACGAGTCAGTCATTTTCGCACACCATGTATGCGCATAATTAATAAAGAACATTTGTGTAGGAGAATATTTAGAAAGGCCAGGAAGGCGTTTATCAGCATTTGGACTAGCTTTAGTAAATTTCTGATAAGCCTATTAAAGGAAAGAGTCAACCATTAGAGATTTGATCAAGATTAAAATCTAATTACAAAGAATGCTTCTCGTAATCCACCGTTATCAGCGATATCTTCACCCTGCGTTTGATTTCCATTAGACTAAAACAATATGAATTCTTTCATAAGAAAACCTTCATATGAATCCAAATATGCTTGCATGAATATTCAAATTTGGTACGGTGTAGTTACTATATTGTTCAACGATACATGATTTGCGTTCGATGAATTTTCTTATAGTCTCGCTAGACCACCATGGAACTCGATTTCCGTCTTTATCAAATTGACGACCACTGTTATCAAAACCGTGTGTTATCTCATGACCAATCACGACTCCGATACCTGGTCAATGAATAAATCAAATAAAAGTGATCAAAGTCTCGCCCATACTCACCACCATAGTTCAAATATCTAGAACAAAACAAACGAATCGAATGAAGACAAAAGTGAAGAATGGAAGTTACTTTGGAGCATCTTTATCAAAAAATGGCATCTGTAGAATACCGGCAGGAAATGCTAGAAAGACAATCAGAGTGAATTGAAAATGTTCTAATAGGACGAAAAAGAGTACATACTAATTTGATTTTTGGATGGCGTATAGAAAGCATTGACTACAGTTGGTGCTGAAAATCCCCATCCTTTACGATCGACATGCTTACGCAGTATTTGAAATTCTTCGCGAGCTTTGATTTGAAGCATTTTCAGTACATTATTCAGAAATGATGAACCAAAAATGTACTAAGAGGAACAAAACCCAACATTCCATTAAAACAGCCTTAAGCGTCACTCACTTCTGCGTACTGCGTTTCTAATTGAGTAGTGTTATCACTGCCTAAGTAATCTGGATAGCCGATTTTTTCATCAATCGCAAGCGCCTAGAAGAAGTCGAGAGAACTTTCTATATTCGCTTGCACACAATCAAACGTCTACTTTTTCTATTGCTCGGCTTTTCGATACATCGTCCATCCACGTTGATTCCTCCAGCATCTCGACAAATGCTTTTCGAATGTTACTGATCATCTCAAAAGACTTCGAATACAAGTAAATAAAGGCATGCCTTGAGAAGAACGAAGCTCAATTACTTGATTTCGTGCATGTTCGTCGAAATATTTCTTTATATAAAGTTTCGACACCGCAAATCCCATGTTACTATTGACATAATTTCCACAAATAACTGTACGCGCTCGTTCTGTTGTAGTACCGCGAAACACATGATCAAACGTTTCTTTGATGCTTCGATATCGTTTCGGCAGATTCTCCAGTCGATGCATCATGAAACGCCATATAACGTAATTTTGTAAGACGCGCGATGAAGTTCGATCGATCAACGATGAAACGTTATAAAGATAATCGATTTCAGCAACGGAAAGAACGTCATCATCGTACAAAGTAACATTTGCGGACAAATAAGCTGAACGAATGTACTTAGTAAAGTCGAACTATAGAAAGTAAAGTATGAGTAGAAATCTCGAGACGGAAATTTGCAGAACGAACATTCGTCTTTAATACTTGTGAAAGATTACCAACAGTTGTACGAATATTTGGTCGAGAACGTCGTTCGTCAGGTGTCCAAACATGCTAGATAATAACCGATTCATATATAGATGTGAAAATCAGAAATAAATTACTTTAGCAATTTCCTTTTCGAATTCATACATGTCATTCACATCGGTCTCGATCATTGCAGTGTCATTGGTTAATGCTGATGCTAAATCGAACATAAATCGACGGTATGCAATCGTTATTTTTGATTCGTTCATATAGTATTGACGTTGACCTAATCCGAGAGCACTTTGACCCACTATAAGATCATATTCTGTCGAATTCTTTTCATCGATCGATGTGCCAATCCCAAATATAATGTCGTTATTGTATTTTCGTAATTTCAACAGAACTTTAAATAGATCAAATGTGGAATTATTCCACGATGTACTTTGAATAATTGGCCAACCGCCAAACTCTATTTGGATCAACGAAAGTATTGTATCGACACCTTCGTCTTCAATTCTCTCCTCATCGATACACGAATGATACAATTTACGAGCATTAATAACCGCTTTTGGCTCAGCGGTGTCATTCGCAGATGGTGGCGTCAGTATATCTTTACGAAAACGAGATGTTTTCAAGAAACATTAACAAATCAATCATACCAACAACATTGTAATCTAGTTGTGTTCGCAAGAGATTGAACGTGTTTGCTACATTCGCTGAAAATGTTCGTAAAAAGAGATTAGCATTGTTCTTCGGAAGACATTGTTACTTTACAATCATCTGGTATTCGATTATTCTTTATCCATGTTCCGCAAACAAAATTATAAAAGTCTTCGCAAGGTTCGACTGTTTCATCAAGACTTTCAATTAAATAATTTGCTAAAAGACCAGCGCATGTCGTACTACCATTTCTTCAAAAACAAACAATGCTACCTGCTTTTACACAATATGGAGTAACACACAGATCATCAGATGCTGGTATAGCTAAACAAACAAATACCATCTGAAACCAGTGTAGAGCAACGCTTCCTACCGGCCGGTTTGCTTTTCATTACTAAAATTATCGATAAAACAATCGTAGAGAGGACAAAGACTCCAATTATAATGCCAAGTATTATAAAAGATCTTCTCGACCGGCTTTCCGACTTTTCATTTACAGCGTATATCCTAATCAAAGAGAAAAGAGAGCCATTTAAGCTTGTTACTTCACCCAATGCTTCATACTCAAGTTGATCTTTTGTGCCTTGACTCATTCGACTAGCCATGTCTCACCACTGGGAAAAAAGTGCGAACTAGTAAGCAATTTTCATATCTTACAGTATTCTTTATATTTCGTTAAGTTGAACTTATGTAAATACACCGATAAGATAAGAATATAAGAGCAACAACATTATGCCCATTGCACTGTGAAAGCAACGTGATTATTGACGAGATATTTTCCAGAAGTACACAATACGAGTTTCGATTGAACAAGACACATTAAGCTTAGCCTAAGTTCATAAGTTTATCCGAGAGGGGGAAAATGTAATGAGATAATGAACACACGTCGACGTCAGTACGTGTTAATTAAGATTTTGTTCTTCTGAGAAAGAAAGACTTTGTTCGAGTCTCGAACGGAAAAGAATATAATAATTATATGAAAATGATAGACGCACTTTCTCGTGAACTATCTTTAGTATGTCTCTGTTCAGATCAGAACCGAGCATTGAATATTGTAGATAAGCAGATTTAATGATACTCAACTAGTCGTACGTCAATTGTGTAAAAAAAAGAATTCCATTCTTAAACGATGACAACTGTGCAACTTGCTTCTATCGGAACAAATTTCACAATTTATGCAGGTTCCGTTCTTTTCTCTCTTGGCTTTTCGGGTAATATCGTAACCATATACATTTTTCGAAAGGCACGCAATACGCCCATTACATTTATATTAATTATGCTTTCGATTGCGAATTGTTTATCATTGATTGTTGGTTTATTAAATCGAATTCTGGTCGCGATAGTTGGTATTGATCCAACTCTGGTTTCACCTATTTGGTGTAAACTACGTGTGTACATTGGTCAAACATCTGTTCTGATTTGTCAGTCGTGCGCTTGCTTAGCATCGGTCAATTGTTTCCTCACAACATCCCGAGATATTCACCGACGTCGACTAGTGTCTCTTACTCGATCTCGTCTGTCTGTTCTTCTAATCGTTATCTTGTGGCTCGTTCATGGTTTATTCAATCCAATATTAACCGAATTAGTCATCATTCCGGGTAAATCATCAACATGCTCCTTAACAAATCTGATCGCAACAACTTATACGGGATTCTTTCTCCGTCCAATTCTAATTGGCGTTTTCCCCATATCTATACTGAGCATCTTCGGAATGTTAACATATCGAAATTTACATCTGATGCATCATCGACGACGCTTCGATCAGCAAATCGTTTGTAAGATGTTACTCTTTCAAATGATAGCATATGTGGTAGGAACGGCACCCTATGCAAGTTTTTATGCTTATCAAACGATTAGTTCAACTCTACGTGTAAAATCAACGATTGAACGTGCACAAGAATCTTTGAGTCTTGACTTTATAAACATTATTTTCTATACACCACAAGCATCGCCTTTCTATGTTTATTATTTGTCATCGGGAATTTTTCGAAAACAAGTCAAAGATCTTTTCACCTTCTGTGCTCACAATCGTGTTACTCCAATTGCCGGAAATGACAATACTGAACCTAAAATATAAAAATAAGATTTTAATGAATTAGTCTGCAGTTTCCTGGCGTGATCTTCTCATTGATATTTTCTTTCTGGAAAACATCTGCGAATGGGTTTATGGTGAATTTTATCGTAAAAATGGTAAAAATATCCTCCGAACATCAACGCTGAATATAAATATACGCATAGTATTCGATGATTGGCAACTCAAGCGCAGAAATGTTGACAGCGATAAAGTTCGAAAATACACACACGCACACACCTCTCGCACCTTCATTGTTATTTTCGACATTTTTTTATTCGACCTGTTTGCACCCAAGCATTAAAAAAGATCGACTTCAGGAGCAGCATATTGTACCGAAAGAAGAAAAAAGGAGAGCAAAGCACTTCACGTGAATAAACAAAAAAACAAAATAATCTTGAGAAAATATCACCAATGAATTATTGTATAAACCATAAACGAAACTATTTTGCCGATAAAACAAATGTTTTTGCATATACTAACATTAGCGGAAAGGATTTGTTTCCCTCGATTGAATGTTTCGAAGGTCGAGTGATAAAGTGCACTGCTTTTTTGTTTATGCTATTTGCTTTACAAAGAAAATGTAACACGTGAATGTCTTCGTAGTCAAAGTACAAGGAGAGAGAAGAAACCAATCACCTAGATATAATATTATTCATAATCATCATATAAAAAGAAGTAAAGAAAACGAAACAATGCTATTCATACGTTGACAACAACAATGAGAAGTGTTCGACCTTTATTTCGCTTTGTGCAGTGTTCAATTCCGTCGCATGGCCAACAGCGTTTTCTCCGTGTGGAAAAATGCAAAGATCATCTGCGTTTGATTGATAAGAATGATACAATGGATTTTCATTATATTTGGCTTCGACATAATTGTCCTGATGTTGGCAAGTCAATACATCCGAAAACTGGCGAACGCATCGTTGATTGTGCGGAAATTCCGTCAACGATTGAACCTGAACATGTTGAACTGACGGACGCCGAACGGAAGCTGAAAGTTGTTTGGTCGAAAGATCACTCGAGTTTCTTTGATATCGCGTTTTTGTTAGCGAACGCTTACGGCAAAAATCGACTCGAAGCACCGAAACCGCAAGCGAAAGTCGAGGATATCGAGTTAATTTACGATAAAACTCAACATGAAACTTATTTGAAAAACTGCTATGATCGCTTGAAGAAATTTGGATTAGTTGTTGTTCGACAACGAGGTTTAGACACGGAAGCAATCATGTAAGTCCATTTAGTCAGCTCACTTCTCGTCATTGATTGCCGGTTGTTTCAGTAAAGATTTTCTTCCGTGCGGTGCATCGGTTGTTGAAACTCATTTCGGTCGTATTGAAGATTTACGAACAGATAATACCACTAATAAAAACAATGATCAATTAGGCTATACGGATGCAGCAATCAACCTGCACACAGATCAACCATTCATTGCCGATCCGCCAGGTTTGTTTCATATACGCATTCAAAACGAATACAAATTCATCGCACGCGTTTAGGCATGCAATTACTGCAATGTATACGTCGGGCGGATACTGGTGGTTCGAATACTTTAGTTAACGCTGCCCATTCAGCACTCTATCTTCGTGAGATTGATCCGAGTGCGTATTATCTCTTAACGAACGTGCCCGTTCGTTTTCATCGAAAACAAAAACAATTCCAGAGTGTACATGTCGGTCCACTTATCGAAACAAATGGTGACGAAATAAAACAAATTCGTCACAGTTATTTTACACTCGCACCGTTCCAGTTTCCTTACTGGTTAACTGTCGCCTATTACAATGCCTATCGCAAATTCGCATCGATTCTGTACGATCCACAATGTCAGTATCGAGTACAATTGGAAAGTGGAGATTTCGTTCTTTATGATAATTTCAAAATGTTACATGCAAGAGATTCATTTACGGGACCAAGACATTTACGTGGAATCTATTTTCGACATACTGATGTGTGGAAAAAGCTAGAAAAGTTTTGTCAACGCAACCAGGGAACATGTCAGAAGTCCCAAAACTGAACATATTGTTCTGTTCAACAATATCCAATAGAATTTTAAACAAAATAAAGGATACATATTTCATAATCAGAGAGATAGACAATATCTAATTGTTTCTTTGTACGCAACAGCTAACTTAATTTGAAATGAACTTGGGTGACGAACTTATTGATAAGATTTTGGTTTTGAACATAAACATTTAGATTATATTTTTATCTTTTCAAATGGAACTGACTAAATACGCCACATCGATTTTCTCACTGTTATTGCAATACATAAACGTACATATACATAGACTTATCTTCATACATATACACCGACATAAAATAAATAATATGACGAAGAAAACAAGAAGAACAACAAACACTGAAAGACACAAAAAGAAAAACTCCCATGGAAAAAATATATGCATCGATATATTGTTAGCAACGCCAAAAAGAATCGCGAGAAACGAAAAAAAAAACGATTTGATTAATATTTTAAAGAGGAGTAAAACCGACTAGAATGAACGAGATTTTGATTTGTATATACGAGAAAGATATGGAAAGAAAACAACGATTATTTTGCGACTGAAGTAATGAGACTTTGATATTGACAGGTTTAAGAATATGAAATAATCTTTCGTGAAGTATTTGGTGGATAATCTGACCATTTGAGCGCAAGAAACTCTCAGATTGAATTATTCCGTTGGTTTCGGTCGACCTGATGAACGAGATCTAGTCAGAAAATGATGGAAAAATGAGTTTGAAATCAAAACTAATCATCGTACCTTATTTGTCCTGCAAGCAAAGGATTAAATGCATAAAGCCAATCATGGACATCCTTTTCCGCCAACGGTTGAATGAGAAAACCACGATACTTGGACACAATTGAGAATGTATTTCGTGCACTCTGAAAGTCAAAGAATTTTTCTGTGTTAAAAAAAGAAAATGTCTTTCTTTCGAGCTCATACTCTTGTTCCATTCGCTATGTCTTCATCGTTAAATTCAATACGAGCAGTTCCAAGATTGATCAATGCCCGTTCCACCGGATCTTTTTCGTGATTATAGATAAATGCGAATGGCCGTCGGACGACCTTTGAAGCATCAAAACAAGAAGTTCATTTGATGAAATGTCAAATGTATAAACGTACCACAAACTTCTTTACCCAACCCATGCCTTTCTCTTCTAAGAAATTCAAATATCCTCGGCGTGACACGACAGGCGATATGCGAACTTCTTCAATCGATGTTATATATTTCAATGCAATGCCCGATGTATTCATAAGACTTTCCATTGAACGAGATTTCGGCATACTTGGCGATATTGAGCCAGTCATGCTACTAATTTGATGCAAATTAGATATCGAATAAGATGGATCGAGATGTTTAAATCTATATAACATGATACAGATGTATTTTTCGTGTTATATTCGTTAATCAGACAATCAATCATTGTTTTACCTGGAAAGATTCGAACTGCTTGATGATGCTTTGATGAATGAGTTGATCATATGCGCTGTGTTGATCAATGGTTGTGTACCAAATGAATAGGTTGATGTTGATTTTAATAATGAAGAAACTGTTCCAAAATCTTCTGCCGTTAAATGATCGCCCATGACCTATTGAAACAAAGCAATGTGAGAGAATCTTTCGTGTTGAAATGAATTCATTACTTCAATTTCGGGCACGGATAATTTCGATGGAATTGGAGGCGGAGGTATCATCATAGATGCACATCGACGCACTAGGTTTTGCTGTCGTATGTCAAGTGTCTTTGATGGATCAATTGGTCGTAAGGCATATTTTAATTGATCAGGAGAGTTATCGCTCGGCGATGTCAACGGATTGTCTCGACGATTTTTCACCAATAGGAAATGTTTTGTTTGTTCGACCTGTATATGAAGAATAGAAATACTGTTCGTTCGAGATAAAGCGAGAAATAAAACATACACATTCGATTTTATATAGTTTCTCTAAGTTTTGTTGATGTTCGATGATTAGAGAGTCACTTCTTGGTCGCCAACCTTCGAGCATTTCTTCACCACGTACATAAATTTTTGATGTATCGACTATTTTTCGTTGTCGACGTTGGAGACCAGGACTGACGGCAGATGGATCATGCATCGCTGCATTCATTGGTGTTGCTCGTCGTACTTTCAATTCATAAACAGCTGAGACACGATTTGAATGTTCATTCGATGATTCTGTCATTGAAGCCAATGTGGAATTGGTGGCCATAAAAAAGTTCTTCAACGATGAACGTATACGCGATGTTGAATCTCCGCCACGAGGATACAAAACGAGACAAAGATCTTTTGTCACAATTGCTGGCTGAAAAGAATTTTCGACTTCTAAATACGATGAGATAGTCAGATACACTGAATTGCCGCTCGATGTACAACGATTGAGTAGCAAGGAATTGTGCAATGACGAATCCCATGCGACTTCGAAATGATAAAATGTTCGTTCATCATGCTGTTTTTGAATGTAACGCGCAGAAATAATATTCAGTGATAAAACTTGACCATCAGATTCATCGAAGACAGAATCACGTTGACCACGTATGCGACCTGTTGTTTACGAAAAACAGACAACAAATATCAATGACGAGCTGTTTTCTTTTGTAAAGATGTTATTTACCAACGACAACTTCTTGAACATCTTTCCAAATAAATTCTGAACCTGACTCGTGACAAAGTGTAATTCCAATACGACGTTGAATACCCTGATGAAGAATAAATCGACCTGAACATGGAACATCATCAGAATGATCAACAGTGACAGCAGCATATCTACATGTACATGTTAATTAATATATATGTGCATATTGTTGAGAAAAAAAAACAACTTACTCTCCAGTAGGAGACAATTCGAAGATTTCATACCAAACAATAAGATCGTGAGTCGCATGAACTTGATTTATCGCACTAAAATGAACAAAAGCACTTCCTTCGAATGTTTTTCAGCAAATCTGAGCTAACCTAGCAGGCGTCACTGGGTTTAACGTTTGAGCAGGAACTGGTTTGGAAAATGCCACTGACGGTGCTGAGAGTGCTGGTGTATTCTTTGACGTCGACGAGCTACAGATTATTTTCCTTTCTACGCAGAAAATCTCTTATTTATTACTACTTTACCTATTCTGTGTCGAATTCGAATGTTCTTGATAATGACCCATAACCTCAAAGATAATCGGTTTAGTTCGCAGATAATCAATAAATGCATGCGTGACAACAACGCTGAACTAAAATGTATGAAGATAAATCGTGCAATGAATGAGAGGATCGAACAGTTGAGTGCATACATTTTGTACATGAAAGAAACCCAATGGCGGTCCTGGCTTGCCTTGATTTTTCAGCGGTTCAGTTGAATAGGCTTCTTGATGTTGATGAAGAAAGTTAAATTGACAAAATATATCGGCGTAATCCGATGATATTTGAGATGCTTCTAGCACTGTCACACGAAATTGGTAGTCGACGCCGAGTTTTTGTAATAACTCATTCGATGGAATGTCACTAGTCGCCATTACATTAGGTTCTTTAACAAATGAGAAGCGGATGAAAAACAAATCGATCGGTTCGATGAAATTTTACTCAAAGGATTAGATGGTGATGGAACATCAGGTGTCGATTTTTGTTGTAAAGCATCACTTAGACCATGCTGCGATCGGCCCTCAACGAAACGAAGATTCGGATCCAATGAGTCGCATGATTTAATCAAGTCAATTGATGATGGACTTTTCATCGCCTAGAAGTAGCACAAAATAGAAAAGAAAATTCTACTGAAAAACTTACTTGAAAATAAGTTTCATCGTCAAACGCAATTTTCGTCATTCCACTAGCATTTCTATATGTTTTCATCAGTTTGATCTGTTCGTCTGCTGTATCCGATGTTTGCAATTGCTGCACTGCTATTTTCAAGTAACCTTTAACTTCACCACATTCGGAAACAATAGCAACATTTTGTACCAATGGTATCCCATATAAAAGATTCGTCAAGTAGACAAATGCTCTGCAAGAAGCAATCATGCGTTTAAAATATATACACGATGGAAACCGTATCTTACCTTCCAATAGGTCGAAACCATGGAAAACGATCATAGAATGGATCAGTCTGGAGAGCAATGACTTTTGCATCGCTATTAGCCAAAAGCTCTTGCGCTCGATCGGGTGAAGTCGGTGATGTATCAGCAGCGTTGGTATACATTTCACGCATTAATTCCAATCGTTGTCTATTCAAAAGAGATACACACGTGAGAACAAATTCGATTATTTCCTTGAAGCATAAAATAGTTGCTGGAGGTAGGTATATATGTGCGGGGATATTAATACGAGACGAATGAAGTGTACAACATGCACAAACCTTGCTTTGGATGAAAAGTCAAATTGCCCTTTGACAGTCGGAGTTGGAATCGAATCATCGAAACTTGAATGTCGAGTGTCTGATGATGTAAGAACATTTTGCGATGGTGAATCGCTCATGTCGTTGCAACTGACTGCCCGTGAGATTGAAACTTGTTCACAATTGTATATTTGACGCATGGTTTCCAAACGTGATCTACACATGAGTGTAGGTGTAAATTTAGATAGTAAATAGATATCAGTGATTCTCATGCAAATCTTGTTTTAGAAAGTAAGAATCGATTAGCTTAGAGTTCTGTAACGTCTACTAATTTCATACACATACACACACACACACACACACTATCATTCATGTGATAATCATACAGCGATGAGAAATGGCTAGAGGGATTCGTAATCGGAAAGTAGGTAGAAGAAACTTTAATTTACCGAAATTTTTCTAACGTCCAATAATGTACAGCCCCGTTCTTTAAATCTTGTACTTCAACCGCAACGATCGTACGTTGTGATGACGATGGTGACGAACAGAGATCCGCAGGTAATGGCGAGTAGAGTGTATCAGTTAAAAGAATAAATTGAAATTGAACACGCTTATGTAATTCAACGCTGATAGCATTCGCTTCTTTAAGATAAACACTGTTACCCCATAGAAGATCCTGGAATGTAAGTAAGACACATCATTAGTAAGAAGAGACTTCGATGAAAGTGATTGCAAAGCTTTTCATCGATCTGTTTTGCATAAAACAAAGATTTCAATAAGAAACGACTTCTTCTGTGCGGAGTAAACTCTCAGACAACATCAATCGACAAACAAATAGAAATTATACCTTAATCAACCAAATAGGTTGAATACGATTCGAATAATCCTGTTGTAAGTTAACAATTAATATTTATACTCTGAAGAAACTCTTTCGAGCGGAGAAACTTACCCTTAATGATGTTAATTGATGATATCGCCATTTCTTCCATGCCCACCAAGCTAATTGATAATCCTGTTCGGACCACGAACAATCTGAAATGCAAAGAAAATATGTAAATGACATCCTGTCTGACAATTTGGTTAATTCTCGCTTACAACTAAGTGTATCATTGTCGTTTTCGTACGAATCTTGTTGAAATGGCTGTTGCATAAATGTTGACGTATCAACCAAACCTGAGGATGACAATATTGATGATAACATCGATTGACTCATGGATGTTTCCATCACTTGTTTTTGCAATTCAACTATTTTCGTCTCGTATTCAAGTTTTTGTTCACGTAACAAACGATCCGCTTCTTCTTTCTCTCGTTTAAATGCTTCCTCCATTGTCATTAATCTGTACAGAAGGCAAACGAACACTTCATTCGATTTCAACGCAATATATTTACTTCTTCTCCATTTCCTGTTTAATATCGATACCCTGCTTCTCCATCAATTCTTGTATTGCACTGTTCCAATCTGTAGGTTCTACACAAATTGAAACAGTGTTATATTTAAAGTGCGAAGTGAAATGAATTGACGTACCACCAGTAGTTTCTCCTTTTGTGTTCTTCTTTCGTGCTTGTTCCGGATTGAGAAAACGAAAAACATGAGATTTACCAAAGATGACACGTGAACCCGATGTTAATTCGACTGTACTATTGAAATCAACTTTTTTTCCATTGACATAGCACATCGCTGTTTTGCTACATGGTTTTAAGTGAACAACATTCTGAGAATTCGTAATTATACAGTGTTCAGATTCGATATGAGAACCAGACAAGCAGATATCTTGATGAGTGGGAGCATCGGGACGACCAACGCTAAATACAAAAAGCATGTAATGTCGAACGTATTTTTACAATTTCTATCGAATATTTTCTTACCATGTTGTACCATCTTTTATGAAGTACATCAGACATTCCGACATTAATGGATCTTCGTTCAAGTTCACCAAATGAGGAGACTAAATCAATGATATGAGAGAGAATATTTGTCGTTTTATGGAAACTTACATTTTTGGGTGAAAAGATGCCAACGGCATTTCCATCATTTTTCGAATAAACCCCAAGTTCATGAAATGCTGCTTCTCTGGAAAAACAAAGAAAGAAAATCACATTAGACTATACATATAAATCATATCGATTAAGAGCTTACCGTTCTGCCATAATCTTTTCTGTTTTCTTCAATTTCTCTTCGTATGACATACATAATGAGTCCATCAGTTTCTGGTTCTCTTTCAAACGTTCCAGCGCATCTTCGCTACTTTGCGAGGAAGAACGCTTCAACCATTCATGTTTTGATGTAGTAGTTGTTGTCGTTGCAGGCGTTGATAAAATTGATGTTGATGCCCCATCAGGTGAAATATCAATACCAGCTTCGATTTTCAATAACTCTCGTAATTTCACGATCTCCTCTTTCAAATCACGTATCAGTTTAGCATTCGCATCTTCGTTAATAACAGCCTTGCAAACAATAGCTTTGGCCCGATCAGCATATCGAAGTGTCGATAAAGTTTCCTCATAGTTAATGTCAGCTGGTGAGATAGCAGCGATCATGGCTGTTTTCGAATTACCCCCTAGATGAACAAAGAGAAATTTCAATTTTACATTCGTTGCTGATTGTCTCGAAAAGTGCTTCCGTATCCTCTTTCGATTCGTTTTTAAAATAGTTGTCGCGTAAACAACCAACAGACTATGTTAATTCTTTTCATCATTTCTCAAAGAAAGATCGACATGAGACCCTATAGGAAGTCTGTGAATGTAGTATTTCCTGCAAATTAAATGAACGTGTTTTGCATGACAATCGGAAACTATAACGAAGAGCGGAGTAAAGTAGAACTGCTTGGTGCTATTATCATCACAATGGCCTAGTGATTAATAGCTATGAAACAAAAGATAAATCAGCATATTCACCGAGATTTTCTTTTAATAGCCAGGTCAAAACGGAATCTCGATATGGTATGAAGTCAGATTTCTTGTCTGAACGTGGTTTGCGACTTTTTGAACTCTAAAAATACAGAAATGAATTGTTTTTGTTAGTAATTTTTCTGTGTCAATCGTAACACAAACCATTTCTGCCAAAGCTGCAATGACTTTTCCTAGCGTTGTTAAAGATTTGTTGATATTTGCACCTTCCTTCAAGCGATCACCCGTTGCGCCTGTGGCATCGGCACGTTCGCTGCCAGCCAGATCGACTAAAGAAATTTTCGATTGCTTTTCAGCTGTTAAGTCAGTCATTTCATCATGTGTCGATTGTGAAAATAAAATCGTGAATACAGCATGCGATCGACTTGATGTTTCATTCATATTTGTTGCTGCCACTGTACGAGCCTTATTTCCTTCGTCAATCAATCGCGATATATCGTCATAAGATGTAACAAGTAAACGAGAAAGATCTTCGACATATGGACCCATGATTGGATGCTCTCGAACACGTAAATTATGCGAACTACCCACGTTAGTTGATTGACTTTTCTTTGGTGAAAGTAAATCACGTACACGTTCACAATAAATTTCCATGTAGGAAACTTCGACAGTGTAGCGGGGTTTAATACGTGCTGATGTTGTCGGTGACGTTGATGCCGTAATACGTTCAAATAGTTCTCCACATAAACGTGGAATAATCCCTTGTTGTTCGGATTCATTCTTTCCCATCATGGTAAACGATTTCCCTGCCCCAGTTTGTCCATAAGCAAATATACAAACGTTATACCCCTCGAAGGCATGTTGTAGCATTTCAATACCCAAATCTTGATAAACTTGTTGCTGTGTTGCAAATTTTTGGTTATTAACATTTTCGTCACATGACCAATATGAATAATCGTATTTGTAATGTTTAACTGAATCATCAATTGGATTCCGTATGAATGTAGTTTGTTCACGTTGATCCATTCGAATAATACACTTGGCTTGCCGTGCTCGTTCACGTGCATTGAATGGGCGAACACGAACGGCCACTTTGACCGACGTCATCTTCTCTAGATGGCGAACGATCTGAAAGAAACTAGAGTATATGAAGGTTTGATCGAAAGAGAAGGAATGTGATTGAACACTATTGTTCTGTTTGATAGTGTAAGCAAGAAAACCCGCACGAATAAAAGGAAAATATGAAGAGAAAGAAAAAGAAAAAGACAGAAGAACGAAGAGGAAAAATGGATCGTCATTACGTTCGCTTGCCGTTTGTTGACAAAGATTTATCAATTGTGTTGACACATCACAATAACAACCAAAAGGAAGGGATAGAAAGAGGAAAAACATTGAACATAACCTATCTTGATCTTGAACATTGTTGATTCGAATTGAACCGAAAATCTTCCAAGTGATTATCGCGAAAATATTTGAAACGCAGCAATCGATTGTTTCTCTTTCGTCATGTACGTAAACGCTAAAGCAGAAAGAAAAACAATAACCTTGCATGAGGAATTCCTATTTAATCAAGCATGATGTGTTCTTTGATTGGGCTCTTTTGCTTTTGACACATTTCTAATTATTTGCGTGGTCGACAAGCCTTATGAGAAAACGACTTTATACATGGATAGTCATTACAACAACATTCCACAAAGTTTTGTGAAAAAGGAATACTTTAACAGATGTTTTTTCTCAAATACGCAGAAAAGATTTATCTGGATTAAATATACAGAATAGAAAATTCACGACAGATCGTGTGCGACAAGTTCCTGATCGAAATTAGAAGATCGCAATGAAGCTCTTTTGCAAAGGAATATATCTTACATAAAGATCATGTTTATGCTGAATTGTAGGTTTTACGTCATAAAATAAGATGATTAGATTTGACCCGATGGGAGTAGCGTCAGCTTTCGTATTAATTATAAGTCATTCGATGTCGATTTAAAGGTGTTTTTCTCTGTTTTCTCTCGTCCTTTGTCACATCGAAGTATAGCGTGATCACAAATATTAACCTTGAGAAACCATGAAAAACTCTAATTGAAGAATCGTTGCACATTATCATGTCCCAAGCGATTGTCGACTTACAAACTTTGAATCGTTGGGTGAACTTTTACTTTGCAAAATGTTTTGTTGGACTGTATATAAAGAAAAATGTTATTGATTCTAATAAATCAGCTGAGTGACATGTGTGGTCAGCACGTGCAATGTCATTCTTCTAAGAAAATGTGTCTAGACCAAAGGCGGATAACTCGCTAAGAAAAGGTAAAAATAATCGATTAAAACTGAATGTTTTTTATCAGTAGAAATACTGTATCTTTCATATATTCTCAAGATACTAAGATCATTATTCATTGAATTGAAATCAAAATTTTATTCTTAAAAAGTCAAACAGTCACTTCACAAATTTCGCACTGTTAATGCGTTGCTTTTTCGCAAATAAACTTACTGATTTAAAGATTTTCGAAAACGTTCTTCGTCCATTCTTGTACTGATTTCAGAAATAATTCTGTATCGTCCTTTTCTTCGTAACCAACTAGAAAACAAACGAAATATCTACCACAATACTACCAAAGCCATCGATTCAACCAGTCATTCGTTGTTCAGGTTTCTTCATGTGTTCGACTGGAGTATGTTCAATTGGTTTTTCCAACGATCGTGTTGAGTCGATTTGATGCAAACTGATCTTTTCATATTGAGATGACAAATACGATAGTTTCTCTAAGCGAACAATGAATTCGTTCCATTGCTGATTAAGTACAACGAATCTGATGGGATTCATGACGAAAAATTTTGACTCGTTCGAAAAAGAGAAGAGAACACGAGCGCGCTTATTGGAAAAGCGTGTATATAGAGCGGAACGGGGATGTCTTCCGGTTGTATGATTGAATTTTGACAGTTGCCATCCATGCGCAGGTGTTCATGTCCTCTACGGAATTCTTTTCGAAAGAAACCATTTCACAAATGATTTTAATGATAAACACGCATCGATTCCTCTTTGTTTTCACGAACATGAATTTTTCCGACAAGACAAAGTGCATTGATGCATTGATATGTGCATCGACCTACCAATAGAGAATCGTTCACAAACTTCCTGTCCTGTCTGTCTGTCTATGGAAAGAAAAGAACAGTTGACTCGTTGTTTTCTCTGCACGCCAAACGGATGAAAATGTTTTTAATTAAATTAAGTGTCCACCAGGCATAGAATAGACTTGATTAAATTGAATGAGAAAATAGATATTTTTAGATAATCTTGAGATCCAATGAAATTCCCGAGTTGTTTCTACAATGGATTATTAAAAATACAAGCACGTGATACGTTGCTTGTTTTTTTTAGATCTATCCGACATTGCGAGCGAAGGCGTGCGATTACTTTTATTCATTTTCTTTATTAGATATGTCACATACAATTCTTCTTCTTCAATCAACAACGAAACTTGATTCTCGAACTTATTCGGATTACGAATCTGTCGATGAATGTCTCGATGGTATTGACTCGAAGAAAATCATATTGTTTAATATGCAATTGTTTTTGTTCGTTTTAGCTATTTGCAAAGTATTTGAAGAGCATTTGAAAAAACGAAATCCAACATCGCCATCGATAACATATGATATTTCTGAATTGTTCGAATTTATCAATGAAATCGCTGATTTAAGTTGTCTAGTTTTTCAGAAACCAACAGGTCAATACAAACCTCATAACAAAGAATGGATTAAACAGGAAATTTTTCAATTATTACGCAAACAAGCTGCTGGTGGACGCTGAAAAAACTGAATTTCTATACTTATTCGATATATTATGTTTGTTTTCATCTTCATTGAAGTGAATTGTGGGTTTTCTGTTATCTCATAATCATTGTAGAACGAAAATAAATAAAGCTAAAAAAAAAGAGCACGGTGATTATTAATCAAGGGAAAGTCTGGTAACAAGGTTAGAAAAGTCTGGCAAAGGTCATTCTGTAAATCATCGGAGACATAGGTGTCAAATCCGTCATAGTTCGATCTTTTGCAAATCCTTATACTCAGATGGCAAGGATTACGAAGAGGAACAAGAACATATGAGCTTACCGGGCTTTTTTTTCATTTCTCAAATATCTCCTTGTATGCTATATAAACATCAGATCATTTTTTTTCGTAGGGAATGATGAGAAACTTCGATGAATGGTAAATATCGAGTATAAACGTCGAGATACTTATTAGTAAGTGGTCATAGGTCGATGTACTTTTAGAGTACACTGCAGATGAAAAGGAATGAGATGAATTCTACTGGGTTGTGTGGCATATCGTGATGTAATTATCAATACGATGTTCTGCTGTTTGAGCTCGGTATCCTACAGTTTCATTAGACTTTCACATGATTGTATCGCGAGAGTTTGACGTCACCCATCTGATTAGCGGTATTGATGCTTAGTGAATATCATTTACTTCTTAGTATTAGTTCTAATATTTATCGTCGGTTGGACAAAATTTCATTTGTGCAATACACAGATTACCTCCGAATAAATTCATTGACGTTTCTTCGAGACTACTCGTGAAGTCAAAGGAAATCAACCTCGACGGCGTTTTATTTAGTTTCTAACTAACTAGCTAACCATCATTTGTCGCTCAGAGGAGACAGACCCCAAACGAGCATAAAAAATGTAATGGCAAGAAAAAGAAGAAATCCTTCATCGTAAACTTAGCGTGTGACAATCGTTATTCGCAATTTTTTTGGATAAAATGCAAGTAGCAGCTTCTAACGATAAGATAAGTCAAACCGCGAACATGTTTTCGTAAAGACGAGTTCATAGTCATCCCAATAAAACTGGAATTCCATTCGTCGTGATCGTAGCTGAGGTATAGAATTTGTGAAAAACGTAAGGAGATTTGTATCTTTCTGCTCAGACGGACCAAATTAACATCAGAGATGTTTATCGTCCGCAGAAATTTTCCCATTTGTAAAAAGTAAATGACAGTGTTAGTTTCTATTAGACGAGGCAATTCATTTGCAGCTTAATTATTTCAATCATGTCGAGCTCGATGAGCTCAGCCCACGAGTAGCGAAAACACTGTCTAGTAGATACCCAGATGGCAAATATATCGCATTTACTTCCGAAGAAAATAGAAAGAGAAAATTTCCATTGGGATTATAATTGATTCTCTGCAAGAATCCGAGAATTTCGGGGTCGATCTACTCATTTGAATATAAACAAACCGGCAAACTTCTTCTTTTGTAAACGATTTTTATCTTCCCGGTAACATTCATTACATTGGCGCAAATCACGCGCATCGATTACCTTCTTGACGCGATTCTCAGCGGCGACACGTTAATCATAGTATTTATAGCTCATCCGGGATATTCGTGCTTCGTTAACTCTGACTTGTTTGTGTTTTTCTATTGCTTAGGCAAATGTAATTATAATAGCTCAAGCACGATCCGTCTATTTTCATTCTCGCCTCCTCAATTAGTTTTTCTTCGATTAAGAAAAAGATAAAATAAATACCAATAAACATATTCGAAAAATTCCTCGCACGCTTATCCAGCTGAGTTAGTTGTTCAAAAAGAAAACTCGATGAATGTCTTTTTTTATTCATAGAAACGTTTATCTAAGGAAAAGCGTGTCGGTTTTCATGAGCCGAATCAAAACAACTACAATCGATATGCTTGATCTTGTGTCGGAGATTTTCTCGCGCTATTGTTTAATAATGTTACTCGTCCTGGGTACTATTGGTTTAACATTCAATACACTGATATTTACTCGTCAAACATTTCGGCAAACTTCGTGCGTACATTACTTTCTAGCGTCAACAGTTGCCAATTATTTCGTTGTATTCTTTATTCTACCATCACGAATTCTGTCTGATGGATTCAGCATCGATCCAGGTCAATATAACCTATTCTATTGTAAAATACGATTTTACACATATTTCACTGCGAAATCACTATCATCTTGGTTTATTGTTCTCGCATGCTTTGACCGACGGATGTCAAGCTCGCAGAACGTTCATCTACGAGCATTTGCACGTCCATCCGTGTCACGTTTGACAATAGTGATAACGACATTCATCGGTCTTATTTTCTACGCGTACGTCCTGTACTTCTATGAAATTGGCCCCAATCGAAGCTGTGATTCGCGTCCAGGCTTCTACAGTGTATTCAACGATAGTGTCTATCTCATTGGATACAGTATAACTCCACCTTTACTAATGCTAATATTCGGTATCTGGACAATAACAAATACCAGACGTCTTCGTCGAATAGCTCCTCGTGGTCGACGCATCTCGATTCTAAATAAACGCGATCATACATTGATGCTAATGCTCTTTCTTCAAGTTATTTTCATAACTGTAACCACTGTACCGCATGCAGTACAAAAGTTGTACTCCACATTAACGATTGATGTACCAAAAGATGACTATACTAAAGCAGCTGATAATGTTTTCATAGTTGTTGTTCGGGCCGTGTCGTTTTTCAACCATTCCTGTACATTCTATATCTTAACTTTAAGTGGGAAAATGTTCCGAGAAGAATTATATCGAATTTTAAGGAAGATGACATGTCGAAGACCGTTGCAAGCAACTCGCAATAATCAACATTTGAGAACGTTAACACATGCGATCAAATGTACGGCTGCCGATCGTCCAGTGCAAGTCAAAGAACGAACAGCAAAACAAAACGTACCATAATCAAAGATTCAATGGTAGACTTTACTTACGAAGTCGAAGTTCACTCGAACAAAAAAAAATAGTTGGATAGTTTTAATTCGAATATAACATAAAAGAGAAGAAAATCATGTACAAGTGTTATATTACAGTGGGTTCAGAGAGTTTGTTTAGAATATATCGTGATTTGTTGTTTCCTATATTTAATATTCATTCATAATTCTCTACTGCAATTGCCTTTTCGTGTCGATATTAAAAGAATAATTGAACGCCTTTGATTTATTATGCTGAATTCCTTTGATGTGAGTTAAAAGATATTTTTCATCCGCGCAGTTACTTCAAAAGATTCTGTGTCTGAAGAAAACTACTAAAGAAGAAACGAATTGTGCTACTCGGTATACTTGGTTCGATTACTGTAATAAAATGATGTTTCTTCTTACTCTTCTGTTCTTCTTCTTCTTGGGTGTTCCAGCTATTTTTGGCTCGTTTCAAATTGGATTCATCAAGAATACCTCGATAAGAACTAATACAACGTTCGTTTCTTCACATGATTCAAAATGTTTCGATTGTCTCTGTGATTGTTTGTATAACAAGATACAAAATTCTTCGAAAAAAACTCCTTGCTATGGAATAAACTGTTTCCCGTCTAATCATACATGTCAACGCATTGAACAATTGTGGATTCAAGAATCTGATCTAGTTTCTATGAACACTTCGGATAGATTTATTATAACGCACAGTATCAACTTCTGCTCGTGTTATTCTCCACAGAATCTGTTGAATCAATACACAAATGTCACTCCAATTGCAATCTCACATCCATTTGCTCGTTATGTATTGTATAATCCGTATGATAATACACTAATTGTACTTGGAGATAATCTAATTGGTCAATATTACGTATCGAATTTAACTCGATTTCGAACTTTATCAGTAACTATTACACCTTTAGCTGCTGTAGTTGATTCGAACAGTATTTATGTAGCATTTGGTGACAACATGAGCGTGAGCAAATATGATATGAAGCTAACGTTCAATCGTTCAGTATCTATACCAACAACATCATCCTCTAGTTTCTGCTATGGCCTGGCTCTATGGAAAAATGGCTTATTTGTTACTGATGATCAGAAGAACTTGATTTGGTTCATTGATTCAACTACAATGAACATATCATTGTACCTAAAATTGACAAATTACAGCATCGAGCCATTTAGCATTGTTGTTTATAATAATGTTCTTTATATTTCGCAGTTGTCATCTGCAGTAATCTATGTTTATGATCTAGTTTCTAAATCAATGCGCAGTTTAACATTTCCTAATTCAACTGCACTGTATCGTTTAGGTATGGATCCATACTGTAACCGAATTTGGTTTGGTACGCAATCCACAACATTTAGCTCAGTGCCAGTGATTGATCTTGCATCGCATGAACCAGCTGTTTATTACGCAAGAGGTGCTTTAACGACTGGGCCAACTTACAAAATTGAATTTGATTCGAATTATGCAATGTATACTGTGGCAGTGCATGGAAACTATTTTTACAAATACCCGATGTCCGCAATATTCTGTGATAAGAACTAATGAGTTCGAGCGCATGTTTGTTTTTTGTTAGGTGAAGAAAAATTGTTTGATTGATGTGTCTTCGCCAGATTTATTAAAATAAAAATGCTTATGGATTTGCATATTCTGCTTTTCACTGAAAACCACTTTTTCGGCTTCAACACATGCGAAAAAGTATTTTCTCTCACGACAAAGTTCACGCGGAAGCGTCCGGTTACGAGCCCTGCAGAACATTTCATCAACGCGAAGTTTCTCAGTTAATTTCACATTACGATAAAGGACTTACGAGAGCAATTGGTTATATCTCATGGTGATTTGTAGTGTTTGTTTCTGACGATACAATCTGTGCCTATCAATCAGAACAAAAGAAACAAATACTTACAAGTGAGAATTGTTTTTCATCTGAGTAAGAAATTATATTTGTTAGTTTCAACAATCGGATTTCGACGAGCGATGACACGACAACGCAATGCGAGAATATCAACAGATCGATCGCAGCAGACAATTGGCAATGTGAAGATAGCGTTTCCGGGTTTCAATCAGCGTCGTGCTGATCCTGCCAAGCGATTTAATCGCGTGTCGGTTCAGTGTGTTACCAATCATTCCACAGCACCATCAAGGTTTTTTAATGAGTATATGACGATTGAAAAAGAAAAAGCAGCTCAAACAGGACGATGGATATTGAATGTTATCTCTGCTCAAGAAGCGTATCAAAACGATTGGAATGTGTCAGAACAACAAGTACCTAATGTAAGATAAGCGAGAGGAATGATTGTGTTATCAAATCTTGCGCTTTTCTAGAAGACAAAACACAGTCTTCAATCGAGAAAATCTAGTAGAGTTGAACCAGTAGAAGTACGCTCGATGAAGTCAAAATTCAAATTTAGTTGTTGTTTGTTTGTAAATTAAGAATTCAACAGGTCGGTGTTTCCATGTCCCACTTCCTCAAACCCAAATGAGACCAAGTCAAAATCAATTGCTACCACAGCCGCAATTCATTTCGACAGCAACTGAGAATACTCGTGCGCATCGTTTATCCGAACTTTCCGATATGACATCGATTGAAGATGTTCATACAACAAACATTTCTGATCAAACCTCACACATAAAATCGGTCGATTATTCTACAGATGATTTCGAGAACGAGTGAGTAAACTCCTAGAGCAAAAATTAAACAATGGATTCGATTGTGTCTATCTATAGTGATGATAGTGCTTGTATATCAAAGCGAATGTTGATTATTTTTTCGGTAATCGGAGCGATTGTTGTTGGTGCGATCATTATTGGTGTTTTTGTGACAGTATTCGTTGCTGGGAAATAAGTAAAGTTATATGATTTGATGTTATATTTTCAATGTTTACGCTATTCTTACAAGTGCTTGATGTAAATTTTAAATTAAACTTGTTTAATAATATACATATTTCTTAATACAAACATAGACAAAAATACTATAACGGACGTGCGTATACAAGAAATGGAAGAGATCTTGGACAGCAGATATGCGTGTGTATTCCGCTCACAGATTCAATCTGAATATATATTTGTGGAATGTTAACCCTTTACGACCGGATGTTGCCATTTGGCAATATGTTGACAAACAGTTCTGTGTTAGTTCTTTGAACTTGCGGATGGAATACGGTAGCATCCATATATAAATATAAAAGATGCAGAATATGCAGTATTAATATTTCTTTCTAGTTGTCTTCTGCGAACCGGTCGGCAAGGGTTAAAATCGAAGTTATGCAATCTTTGTTGAAAGTAGCCGATCGTGTAAAATAAAAGACATACAAAGTCAAAAGTCGTAAATAAAGCAATGTAATTCAATGAAGAGTCGAAGAAGTCTTTTATGCTCTCCCACACAATTTTTCTAAGAATACTCGAAGTTGGTATTCTTTTGGATCCGTTATGTCCTTCAGGGCTGTTATTTCTGTCTTGAGATTTTTCTTCTGCGTGGCGATGTCTTCAGGTTCATCATCAGCATCGTCGAATCGACACACAAGTTCGCCGTCGCGGAAGAAGAGGAACGTTGGACAACTTTGAACCTTATGCTTCTTTTCTACTGAGTCAATTGCCGAGGACATGAATAGAGATTTGTAGAAGTGAACATCATCTCTATATTCGTATATGGCCTGACAATAATTCAGATGAGTTTCCACAGTTTCTCCTTTAGCGTACCTATCATTATAAAATACATATAAAATATTTGCGATTAGGTATCATTATTACCGTTCATTGAACAGGATAACGACAAGTTTATTTTTTTGGATTGCATGATTGATTTCATCAGCTGTGAAAAGCTCTTTGGGCGCGGCACCAGCAAATCTACTCCTAGTAGCCATCGCACAACACTAAAACACGGGAAAATGACGAATGTGTTCTTTCATCACAACAAAAAGACACTTATAAATCGAAGAAAAAATTTTAAGGGAAAAAATGTAAAAAGTCGAGTCACCATGGTTGCTGTTGTTGTTGTTGCACCTTGAATAGGAAGATGAATGAAAGAAAATTGCAGAACTGTATTACATTGTATAAATGTGGTGTACATTTTTTTTTCTAGAAACAAAACGCTCTACGATCATCTTTCAGAGATGTCTGCTAATCGAGTGAAGACTATAAATGAAAACCAATCGCAGACAATGCTGGATATGGAACAGCAGAAACCAAAATGGGTACATTTGGTTTCTGATGCGATAAAGAGCGAAAATTGGAAAAGTAAAACATGCCGTGCCTACTCGAGTAATTATCCAGAAATGAGTAATCAGATGGAACCGTGTCTTTGTGGTCGGTTACCACGCGCTCATAGTTTCGATGGTACGCCAAATGAAGACTTACTCAAGAACAAAAAATTTAAGAGACAAAAATTCCTTGTTGAAAAGGAGCTGACTGTCTATGGACAGATTAGCAATGGCGCTAAAGTACGTATCATACTCAACACATTTTTTTAATGAATATATAAGGTTTACAGCATTTGTGAATGAGCACACAGTCCCTTAGGAGTCTTGATTTTAATGTATCAGCACATTTTTTGAGAAGCTTGGGTAACGTCTAGTTTTTTTCCATGCGTATTATCATAAAAATGAAAACGTATGAATTCTGAAGCGCAACTCTCACGTCTCAATTCTAGTCATAACGAAAAGGGAAAGGGTATCGAACGATCAAGTGCATGATCATTCGTTAGTATCAGAAGATATCAACTGTGTTCCTCAATGCGGTTTTATCAACTCTGTGCTAATGGTATGTCATATGTGATTTTATAGTTTATCCGATGGAATGTGGATACAACAACTCGATTTAAAACATTGAGCAAGATCATCAAAGAAAATGTTGGTATGAAGCCTCACTTACTCATTAGCTGTTTCGGTGGAGCCGAAAATTTCGTTATGACTGACACGCTGGAAAAAGAGTTTATGATTGGTATCGCACAAGCGGCAGTTACAGAACGTATACTATAGTCTCAATTCAGAAATTCCTCTATCTTTACTGATCAATATAGATGTGTGGCTTCTAACAACTGGCTTGAACAGCGGCGTTTCAAAACTAATTGGACAATATGTGCATCGCTATAGACTGCTGAACAAATCCTCGATTGTGCCAACCCTAATCGGAATGACCGGTTGGGGAACAGTAACAAAGAATACGAGAGAAGTGCTCGAAAAGGTACAGCTGTTTAGTTACTCAATCGCTATCCATTATTTGTGTGTCTGGCGTTTTCTTTTAGGCGGCCTACAAATTACGGTATAATATGTACGCCAGTTTAAATGACTCAAGCGATTTAGGGACACTGGACTATGATGAAAACAAAACACTTGATAGAAATCATTCACATTTCATTTTATTGGATGACGGAAGCATAGGCGATTTCATCGATGATGCTCCACGTTCGGATTTTGTCGATGATGTACGTGACATGCTAGGATGTCAGGCTATAACTATCATTGTTGAGGGTGGTCTCAATACTATCGAAGTGATTCAAAATGATCTAAAGAAGGGACAACCTGTAATTGTCATACACCGAAGTGGTCGCATAGCAAACGTCATTGGCACTTTACTGGAATCATTGGGTGTAGAAGCGCAACCGACGTACGAGAAATTTTCATTCAAATGAGTAGTTGGTGTACAATAGAGCTTTTATTTAGAGAGAACGATGTGATAAAACTGCTCGATCATTTTTGTTACAAACAGTGGTCAGAATATGACGAAAATGTTAGCAATGTGAGTGACTTTTTTTACTTGAGGATGTTTTTTCTTTTTACATTCACACACTTTCTATTTCAGATTGATGAAGCGGAAATTAGGGTAAGATCACAGTGGCGAGCCAGCTGAGAATACACAATATATGTACCATCACACTTAATTTTCTTTAAAATATTTTTGATGTTAAGAAACGTAAAAAGGGCAAATCGGACATCGTTACTGGCATCATACGCTTGTTTCAATCCAATTATCGCAAATACTTAAGTCTATTTGATCTCGAACGTGATTCAAGTCTTACTGACAGCATTTTCAAAGCAGTGGACTCTGGTTGGTCTCTCTGTACACATTCCAAATTGTGACATAACACGAGAATTTGTTTTCTAGTTCAATCTGCCTCAAGCCAGCAAGAAGAAAGCTTTCTCGAATTAGCCATCAATTGGAATTATGCAATTCGTGCAGAGGCAATGTCTAAATCTCTCGCGGTACGTGTCTTGAATTTATTCCAGAGTTCAATGTCACTGTTCATGAACATATTTATAAAATTTTTAGTACGATCAAAAATTATATTCGAAATTATTTGAACAAGCGCTGATGAAAAATCGGCCGACTCTGGTTGATTATTTTCTCAGACGAAATCATAATCCTTTTCTAACGGATGCATTTAATAAGCTTTCTGAAAATGGCAAACATATTCAGGATACTAGAAATCCGTCTGAAAACAGAACATCTACAAATCAAACAGGACCTCAAAACCAAGTGCAGTTTGAGGAGTCAACACAAGTCAAATGTGCTATCAAATTCATCCTTGAGAAGCTCTACAGGTCGCTTGACAGCCAAAAATTTCACGTGAGACATATTCATGTAAAGCAGATGTATTCTTCTTACTTTTGAGTTGTTCTTCTAGGGTTATAGCGTGCCGACAACATTGGAGGAACTTGATGCAAATCATAGCCGACTAATTGGACCATATACCGATTCATTCTATTTTGCGGAAAGGAAGAACAGTCAGCTTGCTCAGAACTTTAAACTTTTAACTGCTCGTTGTTGGACGTGTGAAGATAATAACATGCCACCGCCGAATAGTGCAGTTGAGAGAGCATGCACTAAACCGTTCGGTACTCAAGAAATGTTACGCGAACTTTTCTTGTGGAGCGTTTATGCTGGATATAAAGATATGGCTTTCATTCTTCTACTACAAATAGAAACACGAATGATAGCAGCGTTGATTGCAGCTTGCATAGCCCAACATCTGTCCCAAGCTGCTGATACTTTAGATGTGCAGCATAAATATAAAGAACATGCAAAAGAATACGAAGCCTATGCTACAGAATGTGTGAAAGAATGTTACGAGCACAATGAGCGACTTGCTTGTCAGTTGATGCTACGTGAAAATCAAATCTTTGGGAATATGACCTGTATGCAAGTAAGACGAATCGACTAGTTTCTACTATACATGGACTATGACCTTCATTGAAGGTAGCTATCTCGTCACGTATTACAACCTTTGTCAACACAAATTGTTTTAACGAAGTTTTACAGCGACAATGGTTTGGCCAATTACCACGTTCTACAAGTGAAACTTTATCTAGCAAAGTGAAGTTTATTGCTAGCTTGGTAACACTCGGACTCATTCCACATAGATTGCGAAAATATCAGAAAGAAGACCAAGTTATTCATACTTCACAGAAAAACGTGAGTTTATTTTAACGTTGCTTAGATCTCGTCACTCTAGCATTACCTTTGGTTTTCTAGGTTGAAAAACAAGAAAACACTCCTCGTGGAATATACGATAGGTACTGAATTGCCTCTCCTTCACTCAACAAACATGAACAGATTGAATTTGTTTTTCTAGATGGAAGGGAGTCAAAGAGCACACCATTGAATCTCCTACTTACTTCCAAAAATTATACTATTTCCATTCAACTCCTGCTGTCAAGATGTTCTACCATTTCGTAAGTTAACACTTCTCTCAGGTATTACTACAAAGGATAGACGTGTCTTGCTATAGTTGGTCTATGTATGGTTTCTACTTGTCTTCAGTTACATGATGTTATTTGAGATGAACGTAGATGTACCGAAAATTCGCTGGACAAGAATCTATCTGATTATAACTGTGTCGGCTATGCTTATCGAAGACGTTCGTTGGGTGAGTACGATCATCTGTGTAGCACGATTATCCTTCTACTATGAATATAGCTTATCATTGATTATTATACGCGAATGTTGGAGAGATGGCATTGGTCGAATGTATGGATGGTTTCTGTGAATATTATGCCTTACGTTCTTTTCTACATTGGTATTATACTCTATTTCCAATCGGAGGGCCAGCCAACGATCTTTACCGCTGCAAGGTAATTGAAAGATCTGAATTTTGACTGTTGTAAATATAAAAATATGATTGTTCATAGAATTATCCTCGCCATTGATCTTGAAATTTGGTATCTATTCTCGTTACGTTTCGTCAGTGCTATTAAATTATTAGGGCCAAAGCTTTTTATGATACGGAATATGGTAAATGCCTCTGAATGAAATTTTCTGAATATATGTTTTCACTCGTTTCATAGTTACGTTGTTTGGCTGCTTTCATGTACATAATTTTTGTTTGCATTGCTGCCTATGGTGTGGTATCCCGAGCTTTGATTATGTACAACGACATAGAATTCACAGCTAAAAGTGTCTTTCAAGCTGTGTTTTATCAACCATATTGGTTTTTGTATTCAATTGTTGATGATGAGAAGAATACGCTTGACAGTAAAAAGAATTCCGTTGATTTATATATCCTATTCTGTGTTTCGCATAGGTATCATATCTAATGCAACATCATCGCCCGAGCTGGTAGCAGAAGCCACAGTGACTCACGTATTATTGGCTGCACATATGATCTTCATCAATATTTTGATTCTCAATCTATTAATCGCTGTCTTCAAGTATACGCTCGCATTTAAACATTTTCATATTACAAGTTCTATTGTATCTCTAGCTATACAATCAACGATGTGCAAGATCAGTATGAATACTTTTGGCGCTACCAACGATATGGACTTATTCGAGAATATTTTGAAAAACCACTCTTTGCCTTTCCACCTCTTTCACTCATCGCATATATTGCTTGGCTTTTAAACCTGGCGAGGTCTAATGGAACAATTTTTCGAATTCTTAGTAGGTCCCTCGACTCTCGTAAATGGTTTCAGTATGCACATGTCTCTAACACATTCCATGTTCTTAACTTCTTCGTCGCTTCGAATTAACACGCTACAACATAATACTGAGACACTCTAACGCTCGAATTTTGATTGGTAGAACTTTACTACATGGTATCTGTTTTAGAACGTCGTTGTCTCTCGCCGGAGATGAATGCTGGATGGACAGAATTTGAGAACGCTGCTACCTATGAGTATGCACGTAAATTTGTCGAAAAGAATTATCGACCGAAAACTGAAGATGATAAGTCAAAGTGAGTGGACCGTATTTTATTGTCAGTTAACAATTATTCTAACATATTGTTCATAGACTAGACACACAATTGGATTCAATGAAAAGCACTGTTGATAGTTTGAAGAAGCAGATAGAAGATTTGAGAAAAGCCAATGAGACATTTCAAAGTGAAACGAAAGCACAAACAGAAAGAGTATGTTTCCATGTTCGTTCATGTTGCATAATCTTTCATAACCACCTTCTGGATAGATGTTCGTTAATATGAAGTGGATCATGTCAGCAATGGATCGAGTCAAAATGTCCAACGTTTCATTGGCAGATTTCGAGAAATCAACCAACAGTGAAATCCCAGAATAAATATTGATTTTGAATCTTTCATATACTTGATTCATTTTTATTACTACATTTTTAAATTGACAATTTCATTTCGTGATTTAATCAGCAAAACTACAGACAACTACTTATCTCACTTCGACTTTTGAAAATACATAAATCAGATACTATCTAGGAATAATATTATTTTGCATGATTGCTATCCATTCTTTTATTAAATAGTTTACAATTGATGAACAGGTTATAATGTTCGACTGACCTTGAGAAAGTCGTTATATAATCCTTTCGATCTTCTAATTGATTTCATGAAAAAGCATCTCTGTCAACAATTAATAAATCCGAGGCAGACAGTATATTACCACGCATTGCATGCAATGTACCATATAACGCCCGGTTAATGTTTTCTCAGCAGCGCACATCTCATCTGATATGTTAAAAATAGAAAAACCATACGCATAATCGATTGTATGACTCATTGGATTTACTTGGTATACTCCTGTGTTGTCAATGCTATAAAAATAAATACTTTCTCTTTGTTAGTAATCAAACTGTACTTTATCGATTGTTCTTTTTTCTGTATTAACGAAAAAAATATAACGTGAGTTGAGATGAAATGATTGTAAAACAATTCTCTCGATGATACTATCTATCGCGAACGTTCCCTCACAACCTTTCCTATTTATATGCCACAACATGACGTCAACCAGTTCTCGGCATAGATCCAATTTCCCGATGTGATGAATGTTGTCAGTAGTTATTTACATTCGTTTTCTTTCCTTCGTCGTAGTTCTTCGCTAGTGTGAATCTTCTATACTAAGAAAAAATATAAAGAGAGAGAGAGAGAGGGAGAAAGAAAAGAAGTACTCTCTATATCTCTACATCGCCATCATCATTCGTTCGTCGACACGAGTTTCTCGATACAAACAGATATACTCAATACACCCGTCTCCAAAGCAACGATAATATGGCAGCAATTATTAACGCTTTGTTTGGTACATATCCTGAACCTGAACAACAAAATGCAACAACAAATCAAATCACCGTTGAAGGTACCAACGGTGTAACAACAGAACGCTTAACAACATCTGCTGTTGCTGACGACGTTCAAGTTAAATCAGTAATATCAAGTGAAACCCAAGCAAATGCAACAATAAATTCAAAACTTAACATTAATAATTTATTATCACAATTGAACACAACACATTCACAAGTCGATCAATATTCACGTGCACGCACCGCCGAAATCAACGAACAAGTAAATACATTATTTCACATCTTTCGAACGTCAAATTTCATCCTTGTATACTAGGTTCAAAAATCAATTGCTGATGTTCTTGCAAATACTCAACATTTACAAGAAGAACTCATTACTGATGCTAATCGTCGCCATTTAGTTATTGATAATGATTACAAACTTCAATTGCAAAAAGCAGTCGAAGCATTGGACGCTGTTAAAGCGAAGACTTTAGCTGATTTAGAACGTGAATTACAAGTCAAACAACAAACCATCTTGGCTGATGCTAAACGTCAGATCGATGTTTTGAATGAGCAAGCGAATGCTGCAAAACTACATGCTTTAGTCGAAGCCCAAGAACAAGCTAAACAGAATATTTCCGATCTTGCTGATCAAGTTGCTATATTAGGTCAACAGGATACTCAACATTTATTGGAATCAAAAACAACTACAATTATAACTTCACAAGCACAAGCTGCAGGACAAGTCGAATCGGTGATTGCTATTCAGCCAGCTACAGAAACAACGATAACAACAAAAGAAACAAAAGTAACAGTCACAGAGTAAGTTGAAAAGACGTTTCATTTCGAATCAATCATCCAATAAACCTTTAGTACAAATGATGCAGTGGTCGCTGAGTGTGCTTCCGAGGCAACGACTGTGTAAGTAGACCTTTAGCGTAATAAATAAATTAAAATATCTATTGAAATTATTTATTTCTATATAGAGCATCTGAACACAAACGAAACCGACGTCATAAGTAATTTCTATGTTGAAAGATAACACAACTTTTGATATCTTAATTTTACTATATTTAATTCTGCTCTTATTTGTATACATAGTTGTTATGTTCTGCTATGATTTGTATTTAAACTCGCGTAATAAAATACATTTGTTCTAGTCGAATATTTGTTGAATTCAGATCTGTCACCTGATGACATTTGAAAACGAGAACAATCGTATTGTTTTCTTGCAATACTATTCAATACTATTATCTACAAAGAACGAAATCTGTCGCTATAAGTTCACCTTTTTCTTGTAACATCGTGATCGTCATGAAATTTCGTATGTCCAAAGTTGAATGACATCGATTTGTTAAATAGATGATTTGAGATCGATAAAAATGATAAACATATCTTAATCACATTCGTGACAGCGTGTGAATTACATTCAAATAATCTTTCCTCTTTCATGTGCTTTCACCAGGTAAATTGATTACCAACGAACATCACTACCGCTTTTGAATTTTTATAATAACCTATTACTAATATTTATCCAGTATACTTCGATATAATTATTCTCAGTCGTCAACTATATTTTTTCAATCTTGCGAAAGAGAAAACGAATTCAAATGCAGATTACTAAAGCGAAACTTTGTTTTTTTTAACGCGTTGTCCTCTACGCACATATTTTATTCAAATGAATTTCATTTCTCATTGCATGCGCACCGAATGAAGGCGATGGAAAGGAAAAAATGCCAATCGTATATTATATCAAGTACACACGCTTCAATGAAATCGACTAGAAAGTTGAATGACAAAATTCTAATTACATAAGAACAAAAAAAAACGAATCTCAATAAGTAAAATCGTAAATAAGAAATGCAGGGAAACGTCTGATTATTTAAAACCATGATTACATAACAAACAAAGGTATTCAGATAGAAAATTGATTATTTCAAAGTGTCTTATCAGAATTAGATAAAACATTCGAAGTATAAAATCGACTTGGTTCACTAGTTCTCCCACTCTTCAACAATCAATTTTAATCCATTGTATTGGTGATTGAACTAATGAAGCGTGATACCGTGCAGACAGATTACTCGTATACCTATATCCATTTAAATACTATTCTCAATCTTCTTTCCTTCTCATTTGTTTAAGCAATGGCACACACCTACCTTCGAACACACTCATTCATCATCTGGTTTGCCTCCTAAGTCACTTACATAACATGACCAGTGTGTGTGTATATAAAATCTGTCAATTATTCTTTTTCTATCGATCACGATCATTGTTATCGATTATGAAGAAGTTACACGTGTGTAACAATATGTTCCAACCATAGCCTTGACAAATCGTTTCAGTTCAAATGTTCCGTTTTAATTTGTATGTATATTCACACGAGAAAGAATGCCAACATGAGTAGAGTTTTTTGCGATAGAAAAAAAAGAAATATATCCGATGGAGTCAGTCGAAATTCTTGTGCATCACATGCTCGCCTCATTTCTCAATATAGAATAAAAGAAGAGAAAAACGAAAGATTGAATATCAATGTAAATACACATTGCTCGATGTACGAACGCGGTAGCTTGAGGCATCACTTAGTGTAACAGAAACCGAGCAAATGCTGATGGCAATGATGACAATGTGAAAAAGAGACCCAATTGCAGACACACTCAAATGAATGAATAAGTAGAACAAGTGAGACATTGTCAAAAGTGCCAGATGTTACATGAAATAAACTTACGATGAAGTTTAAATATTAGTAAGTAATATCGAACAATGATTTCAATTCTTCTGTTACGTATTAACACCTTTCTAAAGCATCATTCTTTGTCTTGTAAGAGATCGTGTACATGTCCTTGAGTGTCAGAAGTGATACACTCAATTCAATATTAATAGATATTCTCTCATAAAGATTAGAAGCTCTTTTTTCTGTTCGTTGAATTTTCCTTTTGATCACCAACCGAAAAATGTATGTCGTCGGGAGCCAACAGACATGAAATATGCATGTGTCATATTCTTTTATTTCATTAGCTCGTTTACACCTGTTTGTATGTATAACAACAAGACAAGTGTCCACTCTTGTTGTTCTTACTCTAATATATGGATATTTCAACATCAAACAACACCTGAACATTTGAAATTCATCTCTCGAGCATAATGAATTGTTCACTCAGTTCCATCAGCATATTTGAAAAGAAATCTTTCGTCTGTTGTTTGTAGATGAAATGAAGAAGAAAATCGTCTAGATAATGAATAATAAAAAGAAATCGGAATAGTTGAATACTTTATCATTAATACCTTTCGCGTCTTTTTCCTTCTGTGTACTTTTTGTTGACATTGAACAGCGATAGTTCCTCGTCTCTTTCTCACACACACACACTCTCTCTCTCGCATTGATACGAACATAAGTATCAGTTAAATATTCATTACAAAAAAATGGTTCAGATACTGAATTCTAGTTTTTTTTCATCCCGTGTACTTCTGTGTAGACATCGAAACTGCCAAGGTAATACGTAATCATATTATAAATGCGCACACACATTTCGAAAATCATTAACGAATAATTATATAGTGTGTGTATAACATCAATCATCGTATAAGGAAACAAAAGAGCTGGAAGAATGAGGAAAAAGAAAGGAACAAGTGGACATTTCTTTCTTTTTTTCTTGTACAAGGCAAAATGAAACATTGATAAATAAGAAGCGTTTGAGGTGTTAACACTTCTTAGTATAACTGTTCACTAGAATGAGATATTGACATACAAAATCATTCGCACAAATGATAATAGCAACAGTTAGATTTATAATTGATACTAATCTACCGACAATTTAAGTTCAGTCAGGTATGTAGAGAAAAGTGCACACATATACACATCAATTGATCGATCGATTGATCGGAAGAGAAAAAGTATGCATTAATGGGGGATAGAGAGAGAGAGAGAGAGAGAAAGAAAAGAGCTATGGTAATCTCGTAAAGATTAGAGAAGAGATCATGTATTTTCTTTTTTCATGATGATCATAATCGATCTTAACTTAAATTGAGTACAACGATAAAAATAACGTTAATACTTTTATTTATATGTAGGAGAACATTCTTAATCGACGGTAATGTTTTTCGAACGACGAGAGGAGAAAACTAAATCAGAATGCACTTGAAAGTGCACAATAGTTATTTATGTATCAATATAGAAGATTATTTCATATCATTGAATACTCACGAGTAAGTGTCAAATGCTCTTTCATCAAAGTCAAAAATAATTTTCTTTCTCCTTGAAATCGACTGTTTACCGAGAATACATAATCTCTCATAGACATACAATATCCGACTCATTTTCTTTCTATATTTGTCAGGAAGAGTACTATTTAAGTGACATTGAAGATACTGAAGATCATTAAATAATTACCACTTTTTTTGCGGCTTTTTTTTATGACATTTCATGAATATATAAAATCATCATAATAAAAAAAGAATGAGGAAAAAAATAACAACGCTCTCTTTCTTTTTTTCTTCATTACTTCACTCGGTTAGAGTGTCTCACTCGCATGCACGCGCTCTCTTCCATTCTCAATGATGCGCGCCGAGTGACAGACATTCTTGTTCTTCTTCTTCGAACAGTTTTGTCCATTCTTTCCCTTTTGAATTTTTTTCTCTTTTGATCAACCTATATCCCTTTCAGATATTTGATTCTCTTGTTCTTACTTGGTAACACGCCGCAATGGTGTGTTGTCTATGCAATGGTGATTGTGTTTCTCGTTTTACTCTACATCCATACGGTACGCTGCCAATCGACCATTGTCACACCGACTTTCGTTTCCAACTGTTCGTTTTCAAATAGCACTTACCTATCCAACGCTGCCGTCTCCGATCAATTTCTATTTATCAATCGTACTTCGATCACACTGATTGCGAGTTACGCGTTTACTATATCGTCCACATTCGAACTTGGTCTCATCTATCCGTTTTCCTCTTCGAATTATCTTGTACCATTTCCTATTATATTCAATTGTGCAGCAATTGTTAATTCGTGCCAATTAAAAACAATGATAGTTGCATCGGTATCGACACGCGATTCCGAGACAATACCTGTGGAATTAACATCGTTCAACTATACTAAAACAACGACAAACATGTTATTCAATCAAATGAGTATATTCTTACGGCAAGGGCGATATCAATTAAGTAACTGTTCGTTGAATAACGGACAAGAAATGACTGATCCACAAACGATATTTGATATTCAAATTCTGTACGAAAAATCTGTTGGTAAGTAACGCGAAGAAACAGGAAGAGATTTGTTTTCTAATTACAAATTTTGAAGTAAACGGAAATAGTCTAGAGACATTGGCATGCGCCAACACATTTGCCTGTGGAGCGAGCACGTATTATGTATTTTCCAGTCTTTTAATAAATATTAGAGAATAATGAGAAAAAAAAGACTATTGATTGAGTCAGTTTAATTACATCATTTCAAATAGTAATTGAATAGATAATCATTGTTGAGTGCAAAAAGATAAAATTTTTGATGTTCGCAAATTAAACACTGATCGAACGAGATGATAAAAGAGATATCGAACGATAACATATTTGTCTATATTTAGGTACTTTATGTGACCCGTCGACGACAATATGTGGTTCACCTTCTTTGACCACCTGTTCTTCATCAAAATGTGCATGTCGATCGTCGTCGAGTTCGATTGTCTCCTACTCGGGTTCGCTCTACTGTGCTGATGCAATGAATATCTCCGATTGTCACATATTCCCTTCACGTTGTATATTCTGGTGTAATCAAACGAGTAATTATCTATGCATTTGTCCAAGCGATACACGTCGAAATCAACTCAATCATGTCTATGTTTGTGAATTACTGAATTCAACTAATTGTTCACTTGATGATGATATTCGACGATGTCCATCGGGACAATGTTGTATCAATGGACGATGCACAGATTGTGCACCGGCAACAACGATAACAACATCGAAAATGCTGAATATTCAAGAGTGAGAAAGTTTTTTTCTTTCTGAACAAACTTTTTGCTAAATAAATTTCTTTGCTTTGGCAGGAATTCCGTTGACGATCGTCTTCGCATCGCTCTTGGTGTAATTGCTGGTTTACTTGTCACGTCCGTAATCATTCTTCTAGGCGCATTCTGTTGGCTACGTCGTCGACAAAAAATGTGTCGATTATCAGCTGAGAAATCACTCGAATCATCATCGTCATCTTCACTCTATATCTCACCTATCCAACAACAAGGCAAATATACTTCTTCAGTCTCGCCGATCTATCAGTTATCTTACAATAATTTCAACAAAACAAATACTTTCTATCGTACGGACTCGTTTCGTCAAGCCGTTGGCTTAGGTCAGCACGATAAGCAATTCACTGAACATGTTTCGACAAAACGTGATAGTTTTGTACAAGAGAAAGACGGTTGGTCATCACCAACATCCAGTACATTAGAGTACGTTGTACCTACGATCAACAACGAAAATACGAATAACAATAACAATAATCAGCATCAGCGATCAAACTGTTCGTCGCCTTCAATACTTACTTACGCTGTATAGATTTGATAACAGTGAATCGAATTAAGTTTCAAGTTTTTTTTCTCCTTTTTCTTTGTCAAATTTTTTCAATTATTATGCATACAAAATAGATTTCAATGAATCAAATAAACTCATACGTTCTTTTGTTGTCTTCAGAGTAGAATCAAACCACGACCTTCAAATCAAATTAGATGATTGTTTAATCAGAAAATCAAGACAGTAAACAATTGCGAAATCGAAACAAACGACTCGAAGGTGAAAATCTCCATAAAAAGTACTTCATCGCTGTCAATCAAAATCAATTTCATATTTACCAAGGTCTTCAAGACAATTGTTTTTCCTTTTAGAGAAAAAAAATCATTGATTAACCATACTCATATGATTTTTACGCACGACTATTGCAATTATTAATAGAAAGCATGTCTGTCTATTCGACCATCAAATCATCTGCGGGGAAATGTTCTTCAATCTACTAATGAAAACTGAATATTCGCTGAAGTGTTGAGATATAACATAGATTGCCATGTGTAATTACTTTAAAATCTTTGACTCTCATAACGTCATATCGAGTCATCTATCGATATCGTTCTCATTTGTCAGTCAGTTGATAATCTTTGGATGGTAGATTCGTTCATTTATTGCAAAGATGACGATGGATGTTGAGATCGCTTTAAATCCTAACTTTGTTTATTTACTCGATCAAATTCGGGCAAATTTTCTGACCGGTGCTGATCATGAAGCAACGACAGAAACACCGCGTGCTCATGCATGGCTTTTAACGACATTAGCTATTTACGGCGAAGATTTATCCATTCTAATCGAATTGTATCGTGTCTTTCGTGAACAAAATTCTTACAGTCTATTGTCTTTCATTATCGAACACATTCTCCAACACCACAGCAATGAAATTGACAAAATCGACTATCTACAACAAGAATTTCAATCTATCTTTGGGAAATCGTCAGACAAGTATGTGGAAATCTCTGTTCAACAAGAAAATATAATGGTGATTGTTTTTCTTCTAGTACATTTTCATATTCTCGTCTGAATTCCATTTTATCGTTAAAAGCACGAGAGTTGATTTCTGCGTTTTTAATACGTAAATGGTACCATGAATTGGAGAAACATCTTCTATTGTCTTCGACATCGGTTGAATCATTAAATCATTGTCGGGAAAAATCACTTGCATGTTTATCCTTATCCTCAACATCAGTTTCTTCAATTTTCGACTTAATTCTCAGCAGTGAAGACAAAATCGGCTTCAACACTAAATTCACATCGTTAAACCTTCTTCGTTGTCTATTCGTTCAAGATCTCTTACCAGTCGTTCTCGAAAATCGACAGCAATACGGCGCACAAGCACACTCATGCCACAAGTGGTTAATCTGTGCTATAGAATTTTATCTTGAATACGCTGTGAAATGTCGAAATAATGATCGAAATCAAGTTCTACTAGAAGGAAATTTACATCGGACATTTCAATGCAAAGATCCTATTGAACAATTTGAAAAGCTGCTGAACTTAGCGATAAATATGCAAGAGAATTTCAATTGGCAGCAGTTCATCATTCACCAAGGTAATCAAAGTGGTTCACTAAATCGTCGTCAAAAACTACTAGAATTACGAATTCTCGTTGATCGTGCTCACAATTCGTCGATTCGATGTCCATTGGAATGCCTTTTATTTTGTACATCGTTTCCTATTTATGTTCAATCGGTACTTAACCTTTCAATGTTGCTAAATAAAGAACCATATAGAGATTATATATTCATATATGGAACAGCGTCGATAGCAGCACTAGTGAAGAAATCGAATGAGACTTACAACTTGGAACTGACTGAGAATTTCTCGCTATTTGTTGATTGTTTAAATTTATTACAACAATCACAAACGAGTTCGTGTGTAAAAATTTATCAAGAAACTATTGATAAGATTCAATTAAATGCCAATATACCGAATTATCAACGATTATTGCGAATATTTTACGTTTATTATGCGATACAACAGTCTAAAGGTGGAAAAGAAGGAACCAATGAAAACAAACCAATAGTTATTGAGTATGTTTTCGAAGTTTTCGATTTCAGTTCTGATTCTTTTCCTTCTAGTGATACTCCACAAAGCCCAACAATGCAAGATGAGACTAACAGTGAAACGAGTTCACCATCAGTCACCAGTCCATTACTTGCTCCTAATATCGAGAGTTTGATTCAACAACTGAACGATGATTCTCTTGAATCTCGTCTTCAACTTTGCTCACTCTATTCAATCGCTCATTCCACAGCTCAAATTCGTTCCACAGTTTCGTTTTGCATCGACACACTCATCTACTTACATGAGCGTTCCACTTCTTACGACCAACAACAAACTCTATTACCTCTTTCATCGGATTACTGCTTAATCCCACGATCCTACAAAATCTTCTTCGATTATATCATAGATATACTTCTTCAATACCTTCCTTCGACATTAGTTCTTCTTCAGCTTGGCCATCAGCGTTCGTCGTCCATGTATCCCAAAGATCTACTACAGACTATCTCTCCACCATTTCTACGTTATATTTATGATCAAAAATTACTCGGACAGTTGATAAAATATATTCAAACAACAACAGCAAGTGAACGACGTTGGACAGCGAACACGAACAAACGAAAACATAATAACGACGAAACAAATAAACTAACCGATGAACAATTCATCGAAAAGATTATCCAACATGCCAGCAGCATCGCTCAATGGACAGATGAACAACGACGTTCGGCAATTTACTCTTATTTAATCGAAGAGCGTCAAGTGCTACTTCAAGCTTTGTAAATTGAAACATATCAAGCATTTCAATAAAAGAACGGCTGAAGCCCATTCTATTCCACTTTTCAACATATTCCTTCTTCTTAGTTATTCAGCAACAGTTGCCTCATTACTAGACATGTCATGTTTTGCGTGCATTGAACGTGACGCATTTACTCCATGAAAAGAACAATTGTAAAAATAAAAGAATTCAAAAAGATAAGGAGAGGACAATGGCAAAAAGTAGCGAACGGGGGTGGAGCTCAAAACACTTAGTATATATAAAAGCATCAGATGTTACGATCTATCTTTCCTGACAGCTAATACATTCATCTTCTCAGCTAAGTCAAGCAGATACAGAAAGTCTTTTTCTATTTTAACTCTTCTTCTTTCTCTCTTCACGTCGTGTCTTACATTATCAACCAAGAAGATACATTTGAATTTAGAAACATGCATCGAAACTGCTATTTAGTCGGACTATTCTTAGCCTTAACTTTTGTCGTCCTACAGTAAGCTATATGGTTGATTTAATTTCGAAGAAAATCTTCATTTGTACGCGTTTTTCAGTGCACGAAATGTCCCATACGATCTGATCGAACAAATCGATGATGAACCTAACAGCAATACTGATGAACAACGACGAGAGATCTTCTTTGATCGTATACCTTCGAAATCAGCATCCAATTCCAAGAAACTTATCATCCATATCGGAAATGAACACAACTATCCATACGAAGCCGATCGTTCAATGGCATTTGCTCGTCGTGCCAAAGCGATCGTCAAAGGTGATCCAAGAGAATTCATGGGATAAATCATCATCAAGATTTGCATTTTCAAAACAAACAAAGATCCTCTATAACTAGATGTACACTTATATGTTTTTTTTTCATAGAAACGTCAAATGAATGGAAAAGAAAGAAAACATTATCGTCGAACATTTTTGAAATAAAAATCCACTTGAATTCTCATGACACTCTTTCCCCCCATCAAAATACGTAAATTCCTAAGTGAATACCTTGACATTCACTTAACTCCTGTGAACATCCTTTTTACCACCCACGTAGATCCATAATGTAGAAATTATCACTTGATAGAACGACATGATAATCATATACGCTGCTTTTTATTAGTAATAGAATATACAGAAGAGAGTAATGTCAGATTTTTCTAATGCTACTCAGTACAATGTCAAAGATCGATACAGATTTCAAACTCTGTGCATAGTAACACCTTGTATGGTCGATATCGCTAATAAATCTGTACCAAAAAGAGTCGCACAGTAAGGCGCAGGGCTGTAATGATTTACTGATTTGACTTTACCATCCATGGTTAATTGAAATAGACGTGAAGTGTTACCATCTGCGATTAACCATTGATCGTAGTTTAATAGACAGCAACTGAAAACTTTGCCTTGATAATTTATATCCAATTGTACTGCCCATAAGCGATCGAGTCTTGCGGATGATCGTAATTCTGCTCGGATGCGACCTGTGGTTGAGTTTTCAATTAATAGAAATAGCGTTCCTTTGTTGCAAATCATATCGTGAATACGCTCATCCTCGGAGCATGTATCGGGTGGATCCCATCGTTTCGCTGCTTGTAAAGAATTCAAAAGATTGAATTCGCAAATTGATGAACCATTTTCATTCGTTGATAAGAACAATGAGGAATCTGAACATGTACAAGAAAGCCAACGTAGCTTTTGTGTTGTATCAACGCGTTCAACAGTCGAATTGGCTGCGTCGACTATATAGATTTGATTGAGTGTAATGAGGAAAAACTTCGATAGAGCTGCTGACCAACACATGTCAACTATCTGTCCATGATTCCAGGCGATTTGCTTGAGAATTTTCACATGCCGATCAACCAAACATAAGTACGGTTCGCGATGGACTAATAAAAACTGATTATTACTGGCAATGGGATAAATACCTTGTCGAGGATAATCAATTGATTTATAAACGGGTGAAATCGATGCGACATCGAATTCTTCGAAAATTAATTCTTCGATTTGGATTAAACTTTTATCGAGAAGTAACGGAGTGGTTTGAATTAGCAGATGTTTCTGATCGATGTCGATCATTTCATTTTCAATTGAACGAATGTTATTGGTGAGAGATTCGATCACTTCCAACGTCATCTTATGTTTTTGCGTGATATCGAGCATAGTTTTGCGAACTTGTTCAATATTCTCGCGTTTTTGATTGATAACTTTCATTAAACTTTGCTCGATTTCGCGATATTTTTGATCGCAATATTGATCGATTGCTTTGTAGCTTTCCACGCGCCATTGATGAATTCGATCATTCGAGTTTTGTATATATTTCTTCAAATCAACTCCCAGTAGTTGTCTATCAAACGAATCGATTTCGTCAGCTAGAATGGTTAATTTCGAATTCAAATAATCATGTTCATTATAATGATTTCGACAGAGATTTTCTTTACAACAATAACACAGAACATTCGCTGGACGACCACATCCAGTAATGATACAATATAACGCTGTAGGTGTGCCTTCGGCGGCGGGCATTTTGCGCAAATACACACACGGCCACTAATGTTAATAGTCACGAATGTAAAAAAATATTTTCGGTCTTCTAGCCTTTTTTTTTTCTTCTTTATACACATCATTTGTCGTTGACGAAAGGCAAAGAGAGAGAGAGAGAGGAAAGAGGAAAAACGATGAAGATGAAGACGAAATATGTCTACAACCTTCAACAATCATGCGGAATAAAGAGCACTTGTGTGGTTATTTTTCTTTGTACTTATTTGCGATTCGATCTGTATATATGCTGGTTGTAAAAGGGAAAAGAGTATTTATGAATAATATAAAGTTTAAATAATGCATCACATTGACTACGAAAATAAAATGTATTTTTGATGAAACATTATCCTTGAGGTGTTATTGATGTTATGTTCTTTTCGAAAATAGAGAGAGAGAGTGTGTGTGAGAAAAATTTGGACAATTTTCATTCGGTTTCGACGTCATTTTATCTTAATGACTTTTTTATGATCTGAGATATGACGAAGTGCGGCAAGTAAAAAACGTACAAACGTTGATAATTTTTTATGTCCTTATTCACATTCGCGATCGTTCTCCGTTTTCTAATGTGCGGAACCAGGTTTGTTGTCCTTGAAAAGAACGTTCTTATGAAACCTTACGCGTTCAGTAAGGGAATACGACGAGTTGATTGATTTGCCTTCTCAATTTCCACGTGAACTAGTCACATCTCGTGTGTTGCTTAACATTTGCGGACAGGTCAAATGCAGGGTTTAGGAAGATGCTTTCGTTAGATGACATCTTAATTATATACTTTTCAAGGATTTTAAAGTATATCTAATAAAAAAACGAAACTATTCTACATACAAATATATGTATTCTGCCAGATTATTCAAGGACTGTTGATTTTTCTACTGTCAATACAAGTCTGTGATGCTTAATTCCATCTCAGCAGGTCTATTCTGAAAATTCAATGCAAAAAAATCATGTGCTGCCTTTTAGTTGGTTTTTTCAAAGAGACATATTTGCTATCATCAATGATCAACCTTGAGATTGTTCTTCTGAAAGTGTTTTCAACTAGCAGAAATCAGAAATGCAAGTTTTTTTAAAAATATATTACAAAACTTTTAATATCGTACATCGGGAAAAACCGAGTGCAAAAGAATTAATCAACATTCTCCTATTTTTGTACACATTCAACTCGATCACAATGTGTGCCGAAGATTCGATCGAAAATGCGCGTTTGTTTACCATAATTCATTCCACTTTTGCCATATCGATGATGCAAATCATGATCTTCAATACAGATTTCCATGCCAAATGGTTTTAAAACTTCGTATAAAATAACATGTGGCCAATAAGCACGTATACCAGAATGGCCACCTGCTTCCATATAGATCAATACACACTGAGCAATCCAAAACTCATGTGCTGTTAAAGGCATAATCATTGAAGCAGCAAATGGAACAAGAAAAATTTCAATTAATTCTTGAATATCACCAGCTAGAATCGATTGCAGCGCAGTTGGATGTTTGGTACAATGGTGTAAACTATGAATTCTCCAAAGAAATGGAACGATATGAACAATACGATGGTAGCAATAGAAGAAGAAATCTAATGCGATTAGCCACAGGCCAACTTTAACAACAAAAAACCATGAAATAGTATGACCAAGTGATGGTGGAGTATTACGATCGTAACCACCAAGAATTAAACCACCAGCAGTACGTGCCATCATGTAGATATTCACACTCATTACCAAACGAGTTACTAGCTTGTCTGGAACATAGTCCCGTGGTCGATTTTCTTCATCGAATGTTCCGTAATAGTTCATGTAATACTGACTGCGTTTGGCGACTTGTGTAATGAAAACAAAGAATGCAATGTAATAGAAAAGGAATGCAAACAGTGGATGCCATGCATGAAAATAGCTGGTTTCGGATACAAGATAATACCAAAGTCTTTGAATAATAAGTGCAGGAGGAATGGTATAACACAGCCAAAAGCGCTCAATCCAAATATTATGTATCGGTGGTGGCTTGGGATTTTTTGGTTGAACTTCATAATTTCTCTTATTTGCTAATTCTATACTCGCAACCTTTTCGAAAAAGTTACGTTCCTTAAAAGGCTTGCTAACCCATTTCGATGATGCGCGAAGCCTGTATGCAAGCGGTTGTTCGTAGATAGCTTCGATTTCGCTAAGAAATTCAGTTGTTTCTGTTTTGGTAAGTGTTGTCATCGTTCTTCTAGACGAAAATAATTTTGCGAGAACACAAATATATCTACACCGATATTTATAGTGTTATCGAAGACATACCACGCGTCATTTCTACGACGAACCTTCTCTCTGCAAGTCCGTACTCTTATCACATTTTGCTTTCGAAGTACATTGTTGCATTGTTTTGTTTGGCCTATGTTATATCAATCTCTTTAAAGTGTCAAATATAAAAGTTTCTTACGTACGTACTATCCCGTTTGTAATTACTGAGACTCGTTCATTCTCAAATAACTCAAAGTGTTTTTGACACTTCAATTTGCACATATTATCAAGCGATCGACCTAATTTGTGATCTTTCATAGATTGTTGAACAGACATAAGATCGTCTCATGAGAATGGCTTTCACAGTTTGATCTCATTGAACTTATTCATACCATTACAATAATTGTACATATAAATTTAATTTCAGAAGTATCGACCGACGTTTCAGTAACACATAGAAGCTTCAATAACCAAAATAGTCAAGCCGTCGAGCAAATGATCATTATTTGTATTTTTTCTGACTAAAATAATCTTCTTCCAGACATTCAATTTAACTGACACGACATGTAGATTTCCTGCTGTTCGCACATTGTCAATGTTTTCATTAAGCTTTCTGTTACGATATCGGCTTTGTTTATTTCATCTTGAAGAAAATAGTCTTAGCTTGTTAATCAACCATAAAAGACGAGCAAGGCTTGATGTAGCAAGGTTTTTTCCTCGCAAACGTGTCAATTGCTCGATTTCATAATAATCCTTGTTTATGTCACGAGTGTCATTTGCGTTTTTCTTTCTTTCTTTTTTTCTTAAGAAAAAGTCAACTTCATTTTCAAGCGCTCATGTTTTCTCCTCATTTAGACTACAAACAACCTATTTTCCATTCTCTTTGACTTTGTTCTAAAAATTATGCGCATTTCACATAAATAAGCATAATCTAACATTCATGCACATGAACATATACGAATGTAAGTATTGCTTGTCGATTTAGATGCGAAAAAAGAGAGTGTGCGAGGGAAAAAAGAATCCGATCATATACACGCAACATGTTTGCACTAACACAATTGCCTTTGTTAACAATAGAAAGAGAACGATATATAAAAAAAGAGAGAGGCTCTGTTACGGGATGTAGTAGATGATGCTTCTTCACTCTTCACAAACCCGACAAAACAACAGATAGAAATGAGAGAGAAAGAGAGAAGGAAAAACAGAGAAAGCAAAAAAATCATATTTTATATCTTTGATTGTTTTATCGTCATCGTCGTCTGCTTCATTGTCGTCGACATCCGTTCGTCTAACACGCTCATCGCATGAATCCAATTGAGACACATGAAATACGAGAGAAAAAATACGACTGTTTCATTGATGTTATTAAACAAAAGAAGAAGAGCTACTATTACTACTAGTGATCATTCAATCGTACCGAATACATATACACATTGCGATATTCTATAGAAAGAAAAGAACAAAAAGCGGAGAAAAAGTCGAAAAGCTATATATGCATCAATCAATCAATAACCATAATCATAATAATAATCATATATATGCGATTCTTCTTACTTTCAGTGTTCAACTAATCTTCTCCTATTTCACGATTACATGCGTACAACAACTCGACGCATTACCATTCTTCATTAGAACATTGTGAACAAAAAATCCCTACGTTACTACAGTCATATTTTCAACATATATACGCATGGTGTTTAGTTAAACGCACGCAAGCAATATGTTGTTAATTGTAAGTGAACGTCTGCAATAGTGGAAAAATGAGAGAGAGAGAGAGAGAGAGAGAGAGTTTCATTCCCTTCAAATTCTACCCGTACAATAACGTAGGAAAAGAAACTCTTGTTGATTATTTAGAGTTCAAAAGTATTAACAAGTTCGCCAACGCCAACTGGAAGCAATCGAATTACTAACACTCCAACAACAAATACGAGTTCAACAACAACACTTCTGACAAAAACGAATCTTCTTACTTTTCATCATCTTCAACATCAATTTGATGATACATCAACCAATTCGGTAGGAATATTATATATACATTCAGACTGAAATATGACTTCCGGCCACATGCTCGCACACTGACACCATTACTAAAGTCATTCTTATTCGTAGCCAATTCATGCACCATCATCATCATCATCTTTTATGCTTTCATTCCTTTTCTTTCACCGCTCTAATTGGATGAGTATGTGTTTGGTGGAGAAACACAGATAAGAAAGAAGAAGAGAAAGACGAGGAATATGTATAAATATATGTGTGGTCGTAGAAATAGATATACGAAAAGAGAAGAGTTCGGTCAACGCTCAACAGGCGTGCTTGTAAACTTGATTGATTGATTGAAGAGAACAACTGAGTGTAAAGTAAGCATCTGTTTGAGTATATCAATGTTCTCTAGTGAAAAGCAATCGCAATTAGTCCGTCACTGACTCGTCGCAATTGTCTGTTTGTTCTATTTGTCTTGGGATCGAGTAGGGAAAAGTAGCGAAACGGAAGTCATTGTAAAACAACAGACAACATTCTTGTCTTTCACAAGATCAAACTCGCTAATGAAAGAAATCCCTTTTGATCTCGCGTCCACGACAAGAAAAGCATAACAATGAGCAATGTTTATAAAAAGGAATGAATAATGACTAAAGTTCGAAAAAGTGAATGTTTGAGATATTACAAATATACAATACACAAAATACAGATTTGTTTCTCGAAAATTTGTTGGCATGTATATATAAACGAGTGGCAGATGATAACGAGCGTACGTGGTATTTGGTTGGCTAACGGAGGAGAAAAACGGCGTGATATCTATGTATTAGTAGAGAGAAAGAGAAAAGAAATGCACTGACAATGTTGAGTATTCGGCTAATATGTGTTTGCAACGATGATGGATGGAAGGATAGATAGACAGAGGAGAGTATCAGAAAGGAAAACGAGTACAGCTACTAGCAGCATCATCATCATCAATATTTCTACATATCCTTCTCTTTCTCTTGCTCTCTTCCAGACGTTTAATTATACATTGCCCATCTCTCATGTATATTTGGCTAAAAGATAGATAGATTAGATCGAAGAATAGCACATCTCTTTCTCTTATTTTCTCTCTTTAACAGTTGTTTATATTCGTTCTCTTGCCTTCTCATTAATGAACGAGAAACATTGACCGAATTTTTTCTTTCTCGTATGTTGTGCCAGTATTGATGGCACTACTATCTTTTCTTTCTCTATCGATCTCTATTTCTTATTCTATTTTCCTAATATAGATCGTTCTTCCTTTTTCTCTTCTCTCTCTCTCTTTTTCATATTTCTCTGATAGCAATGAGAAATACAAGAATATTCTTCTGTTGATCTTTATACAAGAATTTTTCTTGGTGCTGTATACAATTATACAAAGATGCTTTATTCATTTCTACCATCCGATAATTATTTGGCTTTGAACGTAAGTTTTTGTTTCCGAGTGAAAACACGTCTCCGAGCATATGGAGAACAAATACCTTTCGAAAAAAGAAGCTTCGCATTTAAAGTGTAGTCATACCCACAATTCATTACTGTGTTTTTTTTCTTTCTAATTTTAGCCTTTAGTACCAACATTATTAGCAGCAGCGGCTGCCTCTTCGTCTTCGAATTCGAATTCAGCAACAAACAACAATGGTACAACGACCGTAACGGGTGTAACACCAACGCCAACGATAGCTGCGCCAGCAACTATCAATCACTCTCATCTAGTTCATCCAGGATCCTATGTGACATCTTCGTCTGCAACAGATTCATCATCTAGTCAACATCATCCATATGCATATACAAATATGGCAGCAGCCGCGCAAACGACTAAACTATCGAATACACCAGCAAACCTTCTTGTCGACTCAACTTCACATTTGCCAGAAATAATTAATGTGCCCTCATCCTCATCAATTATGGAAGTTCCGAATAGTAATTCTCAGCCAATCTCCACAAACGAATTGATAAATAATGATAATGTATGTGAAAGCAAAGAAAATACTTGTTTAGATGTTCTTGAACAAAAAACAATGTCTTTCTTAAGGCTCAATCAAACTCTTCTTCATCTTATTCACCACAATCGACTAGTACGGTAACTCCCAACGGAACTTCCTCCACAACTGGTAGTACAACGTCTGCAACGACACAGAAACGTCTGCATGTCTCCAATATTCCATTTCGATTTCGAGATGAAGACCTCAAAGCAATGTTTGAAGTTCGTAGACATTGAAGAATGACGAAATTTTAGGAAAAAAATTAACACGATATGCATCTTTCTTTTGTAGCAATTCGGGGAAATTGTTGATACAGAAATTATCTTCAACGAACGCGGATCGAAGGTACGATTATCTAATCGAAACGAAGGCCTCATCCCTTATTACCATCAACAGAATCTATATTTTACATGAGTTGTTGAAATGTGTCTTCATTCCTCAAGTTCTCTCTTTCTTACAAGGAAAACGAATGGACTACTGAAAGCATTAGCTTTTATCGCAATCAATTGATTGATTAGAACGGAATATGTCACAGACGCATTGCTTTTCTGCCATCATTAGATAATTAAAACTAGATGAATTCAGAAACTCTCCAATGAGGAAGAAATAGACGAGTATAGATGCTAACAGACTTGCAGAAAACATTTCAGCCTTGTATTATCGACTGTTTGCATTGGTAATTCAATAAACAACTATGTAGGCGAATGCCGGTCGACCTCTCTAATATTCTCGTCTTTTCAGGGTTTTGGCTTTGTAACATTTGCCTCGAGTGATGATGCAGATGCTGCTCGTGAGAAACTTCATGGTGCCGTTGTCGAAGGACGTAAAATTGAGGTATGTACAGACATGGAGTACATCTAGATATCAATGTTAATCTTTGTTTTAAAAAAAAAACGACCTCTTCTTCTAGTTCTCTTTCACATTAATTGCGAATCAATGTTAACAGAAGAAATCGCTGACGCGATAGGAGGTAGACATAACGATATAAACAAAAAAAGGCAACCAAATATCTATCTATCTCTTTCGTTCTATTTCTGACTTCCAACAACTGTTTTCGTTGCATGCCTGTTCGTGGCTGCTTGTTCGTCTCTTTCAATATTGATCCATTGTTATATATTTCTTATGTTTTTCTTATGTGTATTGATATTAGTCAGAGAAATGATTCGTATTCCATTCGGGGGCATGATGAAATTCAATCACATTTTTATACATTGATCTATGTACACATCAAGATGCAAGTTTAACCTTAGATTTACATTTAGATGATATACTTAGCTCAATTTGTGTCTTACATTGTTGTCTGTTGCCTCTCAATTTTGACACTTTTTTTCGCTGCTCTTTCCCTGGTTTTCTCTTACCCATTTTCGAACTCCAAAACGAAACCGAATTGTAGACTCCTCTGTGTAAATATTTCAATAAAACCGTGTCCGAACGATTTAGCAAACCGAAAGAATCTCAAATCTTAGATTCTTAGCGCATGATGTCAATGTCTGCATGATTGTTCGTTATTTAACAAATCAAAAACCAATTCATTGATATAGAATACAAGTGCGAACGAACGGGTTTATTCGCTCGCATGTATCTTTCTTTTTCTCACCGTGCACACAAGTCGTTAACTGATCTCGGATAGTTTCGATTGAACTAGTATATCAACTTCCAATTCAACTCGTGTCTTCCTTTCTCGGTTATTGATTTATATATTTGTCGTAGTACATCATGCACACTTTTTTTTTACACATTACACATGTATTTGAATGGCTCGAACGTTCGATCTCGCGAGATTTTCGTTGTTTTCTCTTTGCTTTTTGTCAGTGGATGTCTGGCTCTCTTTTCTCTTCCTTCAACTTCTCTTCGAATTCTCTCTTCCATGTTTGATAACAAAATCTATTTGTGAATCTTTTCATTCAACTAGGTCAACATGGCAACGGCTCGATCACAGCCCAAGCCAAAACAAATGGTGACCAATCCATTTGGTAAGTTCGCTCGACAGTCATGTTTTACATGGAAAAACATTTTCCTCTAGGTTTAATGATGAATACACGGCACCGTCCGACGCTAATTCAAGCAACACGTGGAGCAACAGCATTCACAGCTGGTCTTGCTCTACCCGGTGGATATACGTATGTAGTCAATTGGATATGAACGATATCTCAGCTTAAATATGGTTTCATATTTTTCTAGAATATATCCAGACCAACTGGCTGCATTAAGTGGACTAACAGCATACCCAATAGCTGCCCAACCACAGGCAGGTGTCCGATATATAACAACTACTGCACCACATGGTCTTGCTGCAGCAGGACAACCCACCGGAGCTTACACCATTGGGTAAGATAAGATAAGATAGCATAACATAAATGCTTCATGATCATTTATTCTCTTCCTAAAAAGTGTACTCTTCGTTTGGAAATTCTTTATTGAATCTGACTAAACCCTTTTTCTTTCTTATTAGTGTATTACCAATGAGTAATGGTGTGGGAGCACCAACAGGCTACATAATCAATGGCCCACCGACTACTAATATGTCTTCAGCTACTGCTCAAATAGGGTATGTTAGAAGTAAAACTACAGCTCTCATTGTTTTTTATGTGTGTTTTGTGTGCCCATATGGGGTTTTTTGTTGTCGTATGTACTTATCCTTCGTTCCTAGTCCATTAAATCCCTCAGCAGCAGTTGGATCATCGTTACCAATATATCGAACCATGTTTTCTTCTACTATTCCCACTCAGTTGGTATGCTCCTCTCCTACACTGATCATCAGACTACATATTTTTATATGCGTATCATGAGACAGACAAATCATTATTTTTTCTATCCTAGTTGAGCATGCTGCATGAGTTTGTTGGAGACGATGATGAAATTAAAGTCATATGTATATGTAATGCGTGCATGTCTGGTCAATATAATGTCTTCTATTAGCTTTTCAGCTTTGAATGCCTAGTTGCTTCTTCGAGTTCTTATCTTAACGAAGGCTTGGTTTTTTCTTCTAGTCATGCATATCCGGAAACTACATATATCGCTGCAGCGCCCACTGGCACAATCGGCCCTATTACCGTAAGTTAGTTAACATCTAAATACGTATGATTCCGACGTTCTATAAACAGGGTATGCGTAATAATGTTCGTTATGCACCTTATTGAAGCTTTTGTTGCCATCTCGTTCATCGTATCCTGATTATCGAACAGTAAATCACAACGATTGTTTTATAATGAAAAGAAATAAACCAAGCAACTTCTCCGTGTTTCACTTCAAACTTCTCTTTCGTTTTCTTACAATATTCATTTTCATTTGATGTACATATATGTGCTTCCCACTCTTTGCTTCTACATGCATACAGTGAAGGTTAGTTTTTGTTGATCTGTCCATAACTGATAATCAAAAGGTACGAAGAAGAAAAAAAACCAAAGCCTAATAATCATCTGTTTTCTCTTCGCTTCTCTCGCTTTTTTTGCTCAATTTGTGCAATGTTATCTTCTTCTTCTCCTTCCTTTCTGTTTTATTTATGAACTTGTGTGATCTTGCATTTATACATACATGTACGTCATCGATCAAAACAACGATAGAAAACAAAACCGTGTGTCTGTTTGTGTGGTGCTATTATTTCCTTTTTCTTTCGCTGTCATTGCATACTGTACGAAGAATCATCAATATTTTGGGAACACAAATGAAGAAGAGTCATTGCCGAGTGGATTTGATGATCTATATTATATTCAAGTTTTTGTTTGTTTGTTTTCTTTTCTTTTGTTGTTATCATTTATTACTAGTTTGACAATATCTTACTATTTTATAAGGAGATATTCACGAACTAAAAATCCTCGGAATTCTTTTTTTTGTTATCTGAACTTTCCTCTCGTATGATCATGTTCGATTGTATGGAAACGGTTTATATATATATAAATATATACATATACATATATTTCAATGCGATGTTCTTCTCTGATATAACTGTGTCGATATGAAAATTAAGTGTGGAAGTCTTGAGGCGACGCATGTACCACTAGATATTGTGTATACGCACAAATACTCATCATAAATTCAATCAAACACACAAATCCTTTTGTGTTTTCCTCTCCTTTGTACTATTTATCCTGCATCTAAACCGTCACATTCCTTGGAATAACAGAAGAGGAAGTCAAGATTTCATACGGAGCCAGAACAACGAACATAATTAATGTAAAAAACACCCTAATTTCAATGTTAATATCGAGAGTATCATTCCTGTTAACCTTTGCATTCATGTTCTCACAAATTAAAACTTAATGCACATCTTTTTTTAGAAACACTATGCAGAGAATTTTTTTTTTCGACATGCTATAGATATATATTTAGAGCATCGTTAACGAGATACATTCTATATATGCCTAAGTGTCACACTTAAAAGAGATATTAACGAGAGTTGCTTTCAAAGGGAGTGTTTTACTGAAACTTGCATTTTTCTCTCTTTTTCTCGAGTTCAACCATGATAATCTTTCCAGAACACGACAATTGGCTTTCTGTAGACAATTGATTCACCTGTCATTTTTCTCCTCACACTTGGCAGAAAAAAAGGAAGAAAACCTTCTATTTGCATTTGATAAAGCAGAATTGACGCAATCTATTAGCTTTTTGTCTAAATATCATGCATACGCATACCATGTCATATATTTTCTCGACGTTAGCAGTCACATCTGTCTAAATCAATAGCAAAGCTCATACACAGGTTATTGATGAACATGGGACATGAAAACTCGAAACATTTTAACGAGAAAATCGTTCTAAAAGATAGTTTAGCACTATCTTCTGATCAAGTTCGATTTATATGCCAGCAAACGAATTTAGTCGATAGAGAAGTTCGCCGACGACATGCTCAATTTATCAATTTAATCAAAGATGGTCAAATGACAGAAAAACAATTTACTATGGTTCTGCAGAACATCTGGCCAAGAGGTAACGTGCAGAAACTTGCCAATTATCTGTTTAATCGATGGTAACCACAAAGAGATTTGTATCGACAGATTTTACGTGTCTGTTTTTATTTAGTGACAAGTATAAAAGAGGATTTATTGAGGCTACTGAGTTTATTATAATTCATTATCAATTGAATGATGGTAAGTAGATCGATTCTTGCTAATGAAGTCTATATGCGTCTTTTAATTAGATAAATCTTATCTTGGTTTTCTATTCGATATGCTCGACACTCGCCGCAAAGGGTTAGTCTACCAAATTGTATCACTGAAAGTTTTATTTTGATGAATCAACTAGATATCTACTGCGAGATGCCATTGAACCATTGTTCGGCTTACTATTTGAACTCATCGGACATCCAATAGATGAGCAAAATGGTGTTAATATATCTCAAATGCATATTGCCCATCTGATTGAATTGATAGAAACAAATGACAACAAACGACTATTGCGTGAACACTTCATTAATATTGGAAATGTTGAATGGGTCGACGAGGACAATGGAGCTGGCGCTTTGTTCATTGAACAATCATGTTGAGGTATTTTAAAGAAACATTGTCATTTTCGAATTCAACAAATCTACGTTTGTATTTGTCAAAGCGAGATTTTTACAGATAATAAAATGTTCCGAAAAAGTGTTTGTCTTGAAAAACAGACTGGATATCGAACTGTGTCGCTATTTATCCTATGTTTATTAATGAAGAAACTCAGATGTGTGCTTAACATTACTTAGCTTGAAGATAGGAAGATGAGCATTTCTATTATTCCAGTACTCATATTTGAGTCAAATGCGTTTTTTTCATCTTTATCATGATTCACCCGAAGTAAGAACAATTAAAAATAGACAGAAAGTAGAACTATCATATATTTTAATGAATAAATGAGTTTTCAGTTAAGAGATAAATTCAAGACGAAGCCTAGTAATCAAAAGAGCTTTTTAATTTCATAGGAATTATTAGAGCTTCTAAGCATGCTCTAGACATTAGCATGAAACAAAATGCGATGCCTTGTTAAACAAATCCTCTAGCATTGATTTTCGCCTTCCCCACAAAATAACTGCGTACTTCCTTGGTTTTTAATTCGCTTAGATTTTGCCCCGAAAAAGTATCGACCAGCTCGATAACACACAAATGTATAGAATTGCGTATTTACATTTCGGTACATTTATTCCTGAGTCGTCTGACTTTTGGTTATATTTCATTAGTGAATATCGACGTCACTGAGAAATTTCGTCAGAGCTTTTACAAGACAGAAGAAAAACAACATGTTTTTCATTCTGTCGATAATAACTTTAGAAACAACGCGACCGAAGACATTCTAGAAGGAATAAAACTAAATAGGCAATCCGATTGGTGTTTCCACATAACAACGCAATTCGCATTACTTCAGTTTTATGGTGTCATCAGTCTATCGATAGAGACAACGCCTACCTCCCCAAGTAAAAAAAAAAGGAGGCAGAACAGAGTAAACGATAGACACACACACACACACACACATACACGCATCTATACATTTTAGGTTTATCTGCGTTTGTTTCTTTCATGTTATCGTTCTTCACGTGCACAGAACGAAATTAAATCTTTTTGCGTATATACATTTCTCATTTGGCGAAAATAAAGGTTTCATCCGTATCGTCAAAATATGAATTCCAATTTAGCTGAATCAGTACCAATCTCAACGAAAAATAAAGTCGGTCGACGCGTGTCCAAGCAAAGTATATGTTTGGTGTGTGGTGATGTCGCTCGAATTATCAACTACGGTGCACTTTGTTGCCAGGCGTGCAAAACCTTCTTCCGTCGAAACGTGTCGCATGTAAATATTTGAAAAGTCAATATTTTCTCGTGTGACTTCTCTTTTTTTTCATACGATAGGGAAAACAAGTATGTCGATATAATGGATGTTGCGAAATAACGAAATTTACACGATTGGGTTGTACAGCTTGTCGATTGAAGAAATGCTTTGCTTGTGGAATGAATCCCGAATTCATACGTGTAACAGACCAACATACAAATCATACACCAGTGAAACGACAAAACAAGGAAACTAATGATGATGATGTTGATGTCAATAATGCGAAAAAGCCGAACATAGTATGTAAAAGCGTCTTAGCATAGCCAAATTTTAATCATGTATTCTTTCAAATTAGGACCCATCTCCTCCGAAATTGCAAACTCTCGATCTATTGGAAAGTGATCGTTCATCTTTAAGTCACTTCGAATGGACATTGCTTTCCAATGTTATTCATGCTTACGATAGATTCGAAGCTTCATCGAATATATCCACTAGTACGAACTATTTAGTTCACTTACCAGCTGAAACTCTATTTCGCAATACCCATACATATAATCTATTCAAAACGTATTACACAACAGCACAATTGTTTGTTGCATCGTCAGCCGATTACAAAATTCTGACTTCCGCTGAGCAATGTTCATTATTAAAACGGAATTTAAATGGTCTCTTTATATTCTGCGCTGAGGTCGTTTGTCGAGACTTAAAAATGCTTGAACATCCTGTCTGGTTCAATACCTTAACTTACACCTTAGGGTCTGTTATGGTCGGACGAAAAAGGTATCTTAACAAGAAGCTTGAACATGATAATACGCTGATTAAATTAATGCTGATTATTCTTGCGTTCTCTTCCAATTGTTGCATGTTAGACGAACGAGATGGCATATTTCAAGATCATCTACTTATCGGAACGTTTCGTTTATTCGGCAGTCAAAACGTATTCGTTGAAATTCTTTGGAAATATATGCTCTATCGGTACGGCTACCGAGATACAGTGCGTCGATTTTCGGGATTAGTCAAGCAAACGCTCGATCTCATATCGCTAGTTGTCAATATGTATCGGAGTGACCGAATGCATCAATACTTTCTCGATGAAGCAATCAAATTAGCAACATCATCGGTAAAAATTGGTGAAAACGATTCTATTCCCCTATGGGGCAAAACTCCGCTTGACTCGATTGAATCAACTCCAATGACTTTTGGATATTATTGTACATAATTTTGGTTTGCGGGAAAAGTAACGTAATTATATTTTATTTACAAAAAAAAACAAATTTAATTGCTAAATCCCCAAAAAGAACTTGGTAAATCATGCACATCTCTAGCTCGTTTCACTGCTGACGTAAATGATGACACACAATTACCGATGAAATAATCCGCGTGAGCTAACATAGCTACATCCATGACAGGTAACCATGGATCGAGATGTTTAACTTTTACTCGTTGTGCTGCGAGGTACTCTTCGATTTCGTTGATCATAGGTCTTTTGTCCGTAGCTACATAAATGTTATGTATACGTGTACGAAGGACGACATTTTTCAATAAACGAAGAATTTCGTCGTCGGAAGGATAACAAATCTTATGAGTAACATAAGTTTGTGTTGACGATGGTAAATCAAAACATTGAGGTGAAGCCATGTAGGAACGCGTCTTGTACGATTCAACATCTTTACAAGAATTTTTCCAATCGATATCATTCCGTAGATGAATTCCTATAAAGTGAAATGGAGTACTTCACTGCAAACTTGTCCAAGGTATTCATTACATACCAATATACGGTTCATTGTTGAACAATGTCTTTTGGTTATGTCGAACTTCGTTGAGGATTCGATCTGACCAAGTCATATATTTTTGTAAGTGACGATGTTCAGCTAACATGGGAAACGATGCCGGTGCTCCTTTCAAAGCTAAAACAGGATATTTATCTGCAGGAAATAACCGATGCCATTGTTCAGTTGAATATTCGTCATAGCCAAGTTGATAGGTAGCCGTATCAGTAAAGCTGACGTTTAACTCGTTCCAAAAGGCACCAAATGGATTGCCTTCCTTCATTTGACATTCCGATTTCGGTCGATCCGCCGATAACCAGCAAAATCCAATACGAGATTCAGGTGGCCATACTTTTGGTGCCAAATTTTTCATAAAATCTTCCGCATCAACGACGCGATGATATGCACGAAGAGATTCAATTTGAAACCACTCAGAATATGGAATATTTTTATACGTACGCCACTAAACAAAATTGGGCTAATCAGCTCAAAGATTAACAAAACTAAATCAGGTTTTCTTTTTGTCATTCATCGTCTATCTTCGCACTGCCGCTCTTTAAAATTTAATCTCGAATAAATGCTCAAATTCGGAGTCAGTCTCTTATGATTTAATTGAAAAATGACCTACGTACAGGTGGCACAATTAACGTTCGATTGATTGATTTAGCAAATGCCAAGCCTCCCAGAAAATGTTCTGCTTGATTACCAAATCGACCCATACATAAACAAAAAATGATATAACCATTTGGATCAATGTCTTCTTCTGTTCGAATATGAAGAATAAAACTGATGAAAATGGCAACACCAAACAGATCGAACTTCATCTAAACGAGACTCCGTCAAATGAAATGAAACAATGTATATTTCTCTTTTCTTGTCACATCTAGACAAGAATTTTATTTAAACAATTTCAAGTAAACAAATAAGGTCATCTCTCTCTCTTTTTTTCACACACACTCGTCAATAAATACGTATATATGTTTCAAATGCTGATATTTGTTGATAAAAGTGGCAAACGGACGATTAATTTTCAATTGACACGTATTTAATCTGATTCTTTTTCATCCAACCCACAAATGACAATTCGATTGAAATACGTCCTTTCTTCACCTGTCGACAGTGACATCTTTGCCTTTGAAAATAAAGAAAACTTAAATATGACAGGCCGAACACACTTAAAGGTGGTTGCTAGCAACCGCAATGAGGTTACTGTTTAAATGGTTGATAATAAAAATATTCGAATATAATTAAAAGCAAAGAAACGACTATTTCCTGTTCATACAACATATCGACTAGAAGAGCAGATATCGTTCGTTCTTTTTTCGAATGAAATATTGTACAATAGAAATAAATTTTCGCTTGTTTTTCGATTAGATTTACATAGAGATCGATCTACGAGTCAATCATGTCGGACGATCGTCAATCGCCCGATAATACTAGCACTGATCCAGGCGCTCCGGGCTCGGCTATGCCTGATGTCGATAGTTCGAAAAAATCAGCTATGGTCCGCACAGCTTTCGATGATGGTGCATTGAAAGTAATGGAAGACGAATTCCAGGTATGTGTCCGTTTTCTATTCGTAAGAAAAACAAAGAGCTGAAGTTGATATGAACGTTTGTTTAGACGGTATTGAATGAACTTGTCGCTGGTGATCGAAGTTTGGATAAATTCCGAAGTGAATATGAGAAACTTCATCGAGCATTACTGAAATCTCACGAGAGCGAGAAGCGTTTGATGCAAAAATGTCGCGAGTTGAATTCGGAATTGGTCACCAATTCGGCCAAGGTTCAATCGGCCATGAAATTAAGCGAAGAAGACAAAAGTGCTATCAATTCACTACGAAAAGAAATCGAAAAAGCTTGGAAAATGGTCGATGCAGCTCATGAAAAAGAACAGCGAGCAAAGGAAACTGTGCAAAGTCTCCGACTTGAAATCAACAACTTAACCAACTTAGTCGAACAAGGAGCAGGTATGATCGAAGTCATTCTTTGAATTACAGTACCTTTACTTTTATGACTGTTGTTTGGACGAACGTCTCATATTACTTTATTACTCGAGAAGCTTTCTCATCTATTGACACATTTCATATCTGTTACAGATCATTCGCAAGTCGGTAGAGAAATGAAAAACAAATCTTTTCGACATTTGTATCACTGATAGTCTGTCAACGATTGAATAAGTTGCACTAAATGAGATAAAAAAAAGATCCCATCCGACTCTGAATTGAATACATACTCGTTCGAAATACGTCGTACATGTCTACAATTGCATATCAACTAATCATCTGTCTTAACTACCTTTACACATGTAACTCGCAAATAGTTCTTATCAGTTCCGTTAGTTACAGGACAGATAAAACATTTTCATACTTTCAAACACAAATTCCTTTCTCATGGACGAAGTCATGTCGTTTTTAGGTATGAATGTTGGTCAAGAACAAGATGTCAGTGATCTGATGAATGTCCGAGCGGAATTAACACAAGAACGTGATAAATTGTTGGGTGATATCACACAATTACGTCGTGAGCTCGACGATGGTTCTTTGAAACAGACCGATCTCGAAAAAAAAATCCATGAGTCCAATGAGCAAATCGTCACTTTGCAGGAAAAGATCACTCAAGCGAAGAACGAAAACATGAAAGAAACGAAGAAACGAGTTAGTTTCTTGATCTCAATTGACATTTGTTTTCTTTGATGAAAAGCTCGCTTTTCTAGGAACAAGTTGAATTGGAATTGAAAACAAGTAAACAAAATTTGGATCTCAAAAATGCCGAATTTAAATCACAGGCGGCTCAATTGGAAACTCAACAGCAAGAATTGAAGAAATCTCAACAACATTTGCGACAACTAAAAGACGACAATGTTCGTTTAACCAAAGAGAACCAAATCCTTCAAGTTCGTTTAGACAATTCTCGTACTCAATTTACTGAACTTGTAACAACAAATGAAAAACTTGCGAATGACTGTGCACACCGTGTTACTGAGCTAAAGGAGAAAGAAGATGAGTTAGTTCAATTGCGCAAAGAACGGGACAGTGAGCAGAAGAAAAAAGATCATGTGGAAAAACGCCTTCGGACGGTGGAAGATCAAATTGGTGAAGCTGAACAAAAACGTGAAGCTCTACGTTCAGTAATTGCATCGTTGGAACACGAAATCGAGCGCTTCAAAAAGAATCAAGAAGATAATCGACGACAGATCGAAAGTTTAACACGCGAACGGGAACAATTGAATAAAACATGTCAGAAGTTAATTGCTGATAATCAAAAGCAAACCGATCAGGTGAAAACGTTCGATCAATCGAAGAAGACTTTGGAACAAGACATCACGAATTATAAAGATGAAGCGGGTAAACAACGAAAGATTATTCTTAAGATGGAAAAAGAAAGAGATCGGTAAGAAAAGACATTTTCCGATCGAAATCTAACATTTTTCTTTTTCGATTAGTTATATCACTGAAGCTGGCCAGTTGACAAATCAAGTTCTTGCTTTGATGGAAGAAGTGAAAAAGAAAGAGTTGGAACTGTTTGATCAAAAGAAGAAAATTGCTGAACTGGAAACTCGACTCAAACAACAACAAAACTTATACGAAGCGGTTCGATCGGATCGGAATTTATATTCGAAGAACTTGATCGAGACACATGATGAAATTAGTGAGATGAAACGCAAATTGAAAATCATGAACCATCAAATCGATCAGTTGAAAGAAGAAATTCAAGGCAAAGAGCAGGATCTCGTCCGTGCACAAGCTGAGCATGATAAAGTAAAGAAAGAAAAAGAACAACTGATGGTCAATGTAGAACAGCTGAAAAAAGAAGCAACGAAAAAAGAAGAAGCATATGCCAACCAAAAATCGGAATTCGAACGATTAAATAAACAACTATCCGAAGCAACTGATGAAAGAAAAAAACAACTCAAGCAACTGCAACAAGTATTGCGAATAGCACTACGATATTCTTTCGTTTTTACATCGATATTTTAGGTAATTGCCGAACGTGATGTTCTTGGTACACAACTCGTCCGTCGAAATGACGAACTTGCGCTTCTTTACGAAAAATTGAAAATCCAACAATCGACTTTGAACAAAGGCGAATTGCAATACAAAGGTCGTTTAGAAGATTTACGTTTGTTGAAACTGGAATTGAAGAAATTACGTCACGAGAAAGGCACTTTACAAGATAAAGTCGCCAATACCGATGATCTCAAACGCGAAGTGTTCCAAGTTCAACGAGAATTACTACGAGAACGTACACGTTGCCGAGCATTGGAAGAAGAACTGGAAAATCCGATGAATGTTCATCGATGGAGAAAATTAGAAGGTAGTGATCCATCAACCTACGAATTAATACAAAAAATTCAATTGTTACAAAAACGACTAATACAAAAAACAGAGGAAGTCGTACAAAAAGAATTATTAATTCAAGAAAAAGAAAAATTGTATGCAGAATTGAAGCGTATCTTAGGTAAGTGACGATTGTTTGTCAAATTCAGTGCTTGAAGTCGGTTGTTTTAGCTCGTCAACCGGGTCCTGAAGTAGCTGAACAGTTATCGATTTACCAGGAAACGCTGAAAGCTAAAACCAAGCAATTGAAATCGTTGGCTAGTGAAGTAAACATGTACGAGAATCAAATTGATGATTACAAATACGAAACTGACAAGTTAAATCGGCAATTGGCCGAAGTTCGACAGAAATATTTCTTACAGAAGAAACGAGAAGCTATGGCACGTGAACGTGATCGTCTTTCTCAAACGCAACAACAACTCACCACAACAGTTAATGGAATTACTTTACAACAACCAGCACCTGATCTCATTCAACCAAATCGATCGAGGTAACAACGTTTTTGACGAAAAAGAAAAAAAAAAACTTTCGTATTGTTTCAGTGATCAACCTCGTTTCACCGGCGGTGGTTTCAATCTTCGAGCAACATCCCGAACTCCTGTTGTCAATGCCTAACCATTATCTTCAACTTTACATTTAAAATAAAATAACAAGGACTTATTTTTATGTAATATATATATTCACAAAACTATATAGATGAACACGATTGCAATCGTTTTTTTTTTCGAATTCTGTCTTCATTTCAATCTTTTCGAAAATGCTTGTGAACGAAAAGTATCACGGCAAAGTCTCGTCTTCTTTAATAATTGCTGAGATATTTAGTTATGTGAATATTGTTGATAAAAAACGTCCGCTAATCTCGTATATCCATGTGCCGACGGATGAAATCCATCGTAAGATATGTATTCAGGATGTGTAGCTAATTCTTTCCAATGAGCGAACAAATCAACTAGTTCGCATTGATTTTTCTGTACAATATCCCGAATGGCGTCATTCCATAGTGCAACTTGGGCACTTAGAAACTGCTTCGATATACCAAAGGCTGTATAAATATTCACTTGCGCTAGATCGGGGATATTTCCTACTAAAATTCGTGTGTCTTTGCTGGATTTTGATCGAAGTTGAGATAACATATCGTTTAAATTGGCTTTATAACTTGTTAATATCGAAGGATTGAATATTTGCTGATTGAAATCATTCACTGCTAACCAAATCGTGATGACATGGGCATTTTGTTCTAGTGCTCTTGGTAATTGCTGACGAAGAGCATCGGCAAGAGTCGAGCCACTTCGTCCGAGATTTACGGTTTGTTGTGCATTAATTAACGAAGCGAATTTCGGTACCCAGCCATCTTTCGACGGCTGAGACGTGCCAACACCTACACCATCCGATGCACACAACGCGACGTATGTAAGAAGAAAGTTAGATGTCGAGCCCATTGGACCTAACAGATATAAAAATATGAAGAAAATCATCGGCAGAAGAAAGAGTAAAACGCACTTTGGAAAAAAGAAATTTCACCGGCTGTGAAAAACTAATAGTATGAACGACGCCAGTCTTTCCGCCACGTATTTATATCGTCATGAATGATGTGTAACACGTTCTCCATCCTTCTCTTCTTGTTATTTGCACTGAATGACTTCTAATAAATCGTTCGTGTCCTGTTTTTTCCTCGTCTCTATCATTCTTTGACAGAAAAGCAAAAGAATATGAGATTATGACTCAGTTACTTGTCCAATAGTAAGAGATACATATTTTTGTGACAAATGCTAAGTTGAAGTACTGAAGAAAATCAGTAGTCATTCGTACGATATTATTTGGTTCTTGGATTGAAACTCTATACAAAATAATTGATACGCCGAGTCTATGTTTGTTTCGAAGGCCAAATGAGAGTGAAAATATGTGATTATGTCGTTTCTATTTAATGTACTTTTAGCTGAGAGTACATGAGGTAGATTATTTGCACAACAAGAATCCGTAGAAAAAAGAACAGAACGAAACTACTATCGATTTCAATTTTCTGGAGTCGTTTGTTTTAGTGTTCGAAGAATGAACAAAGACTGAAAAAGAACATGACATATTATGTATGAAGTCCTCTAAGACATTGTGTGTACCAAAAATATTCGATTGACGTAGAATTATGTAGACGCATGAATTCACGGATTTGCGAATAGTTTTCTCGCATTTTCTTTCGATAAGCCAACAGACATAATTGTAACAAATCGCCACATATACATGGATGAATTGCGTTCGTGATGTACCGTTGATTCAACACAAAGGTCGGTATGTCTCAGCTAGTACTTGGGGTAGAGCGTCTACGTAGATTCATCACGCGTCTCTATGACACATTTGTTTTTCACAACAAACATAGACAGAACGTTTTTCTCTTCTTCTTCTCATTTGGTGATTAGCGCTTTTTGTTTTCACTTGCAATCCAAATAAATGTTCGTTTTTCCAGAAAGAAGTTTCCTACCTTGGCTTCATCATCGATAAATCTGGAAAACGTCCAGATCCTACTCGAGTCACTGCAATTTCAAATATGCCGGTTCCATCTAATGTCAAAGAGGTGGAGGCTTTCGTCGGAAAAGTCAATATCCGACGCTTATCTGCAGATTGAATTAGATAATCAGAGGAAGCAACTCGTTGTTATATCAACACTCCATCGGGTTTATATCGTTACAACAGAATGCCATTCGATATCTCCAACGCTCCGGCAATTTTTCAGCGCATCATCGACCAGGTGATGAATGTACGTAGACGCTCTACACTTAGCAAATGTTTTCTTGAATACTCTTTAGGTTCTATTCAATCTACCAAACAATTATAAAGCGTTTTTTCGCTGCTGTGCTTCTGAAATAATTTCTCAATGAAAATGTGAAAACTCATGTGTCGTACCAGCACAGGTCGATATACATTTCGGTCAATTTTGGTCACGTCCGATTGAGTTCAGAGAATATTTTACCAGCACATGAATCTCTTCTATTTTCCGTAGATTACATTTATTTCTTTTTAACTCAAAGATACTTTTAGGCGTTTCCTAGTCTTTTTTAACGGTTTAGGGCGATGAAGAGACTTCTCTGCGTGTATTATGGACTTACCGTATAATATACAAGGTGGTCCGAGGGTCACGCTGTAAAAGCCTTTTATTTATATAGATACAGCTAAGTACAGTATCGATTAATTTAATTCACCCTAGTGACTTAAAGGAAAAGAAATCTTACTTTTCATGTATAAAAATCCCAAGTATAATGTAAAGAAAGGAAAGTACTTTCGGAAAGTGACCAATATTTTAAAGCCAATGTCCGAAGTATTTATCTTCTGCTCTGATATACATCCCGCAACGCTTGGCTACAGAATGACAAATTGTCTTTTTTTGTATATGTAAAACAAGATTTTTTTATTCAACTCAACAGGGTTAATTACATTAACAGCAGGTGTACTTACCTGTATCTATATGAATAAAAACCTTTTATATGGCTCTAGCACTAATGAAAAAATCAACTCATTTGCTTAAGCTTTAATGAAAATATTTAATTTTTATCCTTGTTAGCGCGTGACTCTTGGACTACCTTGTACTTTACCTAGTATGGTCAACTTCGCAGAAAGTTTTCGGTTTCTTTAGAAATAACCTATTCATGTCTAAGCAATTAGTTTTTCTCTCAATTGCATCAATATTAATATTCATTTCGGCATACTTTTATTTATCCGATTCTTATTCAAAACTATTACCATCATTTGCCATACACCAACAAAGTTCTACTATACAAAGTATAATCAGATCAACGCCTGTGATCGATACTGATGAAGATTCAATTCTATTTTCTAAATCTCAATACTTGAATCAAACCTCAAATGTAAGATCAATCGCAACCTTCCTTTCGTCCTACGTCCTTCTCTTCTGTACTTTCAGCATTCACTCGATGTTATTCTTTTTCTTGTCGCAAGCTACTCCGGCGATGTTCGCACTGCTTTCAATCCCTATCCAAGGTTACACAAGAGAATTGCTCAACTCAGCCAACGTCTCAACGACAGCAACGTCACCGACATCATCATCTTTCACACCGGCTATCCATTTCGATCGGACTATGTTCCGATTTTCGATGTCACTCCTCGTCACGTCGAGTTCGTGAATATCGATCATTTGTTCAACAAGTTTCCACGAGGATTCGAACCTCATCGTCGCGAACCGACATGGTCGCAGCGAGGTAAGTGGAACTATCATCACATGTGTTACTTTTGGTTCAAACAAGTATTCGAACTGAAGATCGTCCATCGATATCGATACATGATGCGACTCGACGATGATTCTCAGCTACTAGGTAAATTCGAGAATAGGTAAAAGACGTGGACGAGTATGTGTTTGTTTTCAGAACCGTGGCCAAATGTGTTTGAGATAATGGCTAAAGAACGAGCGGTATACGTGGCAAATCACAAAGTATTCGATTATGAATATGTAGTGCCTGGTATATTACGCATTCGTAACTTCACTACGGAATACATACGGCAAAATAAGATAGCACCTCAAAATCCCACAATGATAGCGGATATGTTTACTAAACCACAGGACATACCGGTCATATATAATAATTTTGAAATCGTGGAAACATCTTTCATGCGACGAAATGATGTTCGACATTTTATTAATGCTGTTGACGAAACACAATATATATTTCTCTATCGTTGGGGTGATGGACCTCTCAGATATGTAACGGTAGCGCTTTTTATTAACTCAACAAAAATATTATATCGAGAGCATCTCCGTCTTGGATATTGTCATCCGTGTTGAATAAGACTGGAATTGTTGTCTTCTTCTTTCTTAGCAATGAAATCAAAGACAAATCGCCAATCAGTACTTATCGATTGATACAGATGTACATATGACATTTCATCATCACCGACGATCATTGCGAAGTGGTTGCATGCTGAATATGCGCTAGCAATACAAACTTTATCTGATGACCGATTTATGAAATATGACCATGACTGTTGAGAAATATAAATTCCGCGATAAAATACATTTGAAAAAGTGAAGTATCGTTCTCTCGGGGAGAAAGGTATACAAACATAAAGAAATCACTTGAAACCTTATAGAAATATTGGTTGATGAGAAATACCTTAAGAAACGAAACTCAACTATTCATGTGTGTATATTATTTCAAACAATTAAATTAATTTTTTTTCTACAAGCATAAAAACTTCATGCCATTTCTACGTTATGTGCAAGGAAAACTATAAGAGATTCTCGCGTAGTTTTCTCTAAGCTTGTTATATATTCCGTAGATTCGTTTGGGTTGTATTACGTGCAAAAAATTTTAACTAACTAATAGCAACGCTGCTCTTTCATGGAAATCATACGTTTCAAGTACGTTATACTCCTTGCGGGTAGTAAAATGAAGTTATAGCTTAGCAGTCAGTTTGAAAGTATATACAGACAGTTGGCCAACCGGTAACGAATTCTGCATATTCCATTGGTTCACTAATCGATATGAACTTGTCTAAGATTTTCTTTCCCTGAATATATTATTTTTCATAGGAACAAAAAATCCAGACAAAAACAACTGCTTTTTCTTACCATTGTATCAATATTAATATTTATTTTCTTGTGCTCTTACTTATTTAAAATACCTTCAATCGCATTCATAGCACTCCATATACGTCAACATTATCGTACTTCAGCAGAGTTCGTAACGACCACTTCTGACGACAAACACCTGATCATATTCTCTAAATTTGACTCCTCCGATCAAATCTCAAATGTAAGATCAATCGCAACCTTCCTTTCGTCCTACGTCCTTCTCTTCTGTACTTTCAGCATTCACTCGATGTTATTCTTTTTCTTGTCGCAAGCTACTCCGGCGATGTTCGCACTGCTTTCAATCCCTATCCAAGGTTACACAAGAGAATTGCTCAACTCAGCCAACGTCTCAACGACAGCAACGTCACCGACATCATCATCTTTCACACCGGCTATCCATTTCGATCGGACTATGTTCCGATTTTCGATGTCACTCCTCGTCACGTCGAGTTCGTGAATATCGATCATTTGTTCAACAAGTTTCCACGAGGATTCGAACCTCATCGTCGCGAACCGACATGGTCGCAGCGAGGTAAGTGGAACTATCATCACATGTGTTACTTTTGGTTCAAACAAGTATTCGAACTGAAGATCGTCCATCGATATCGATACATGATGCGACTCGACGATGATTCTCAGCTACTAGGTAAATTCAAGAATAAGTAAAAGATGTGGACGAGTATGTGTTTGTTTTCAGAACCGTGGCCAAATGTGTTTGAGATAATGGCTAAAGAACGAGCGATATACATGGCAAATCAGAAGGAGACAGACTTCGAGATGACTCTGCGCGGTACAACACTTATACGCGAATTGCTCACAATTTATGTAAATAATAGTGGAATAGCACCTCAAAATCCTACGATGTTCGGTGATATCTACAAGCGTCGATGGGAAGTACCAGTTTTTTGGAATAACTTCGAAATAGTCGAAACTTCGTTCATGCGACGAAAAGAAGTTATCGATTTTATTCGTACTGTTGACGAATCTCAAGGAATATTTCTTTATCGGTGGGGTGATGCGCTTCTTCGTTTTGTTACCTTAGCACTTTTCACTAATGAAAGTCAAATATTGCATCGAGTTCGGCTGAACCTCTCATATTGCCACCCCTGTTGAATAAATTTTATATAATTTTGAGGAAAACAAATCAAATGCAACTCAAAATTCAGATGATGTTTTATATCTCGGATAGTGAGAAAAGACGTATACGAACTCGTCTGATAGTGTGTCGTTCTTTCTTATCATTTGTCTTTCGTACGCATGCACAATCTGCCGAAATCAAAATACAGGCCTTTGCCCCTCAAGTTAAGCGACAGAAGCGAAAAAAAAACGAAGAAGAAAAAATCAAATTCTGCGTGTCTACACTCCGTTTATTTCTCCCGTCTACAAAATCAACGACCTCTATATATATTCATACGCTTTTCTGGTTCGTATTTTCACAAAAAAGAATGATGGCGATGATCCTGATTCTTATTATCGTTGTTTATGGAAGTTATCGTTTGTATCAACACTTATATCCGACGCCAGAGGTTACTCCTCATGGTAAATACGTTTTGATCACTGGATGTGATACGGGGTTCGGTCGTACATTAGCTATTGAACTTGATAGACAAGGTTTTCACATACTGGCTGGTATTTACAATTCTGACAATCAAAAAGCACTTGAAAATGAGCTTTCGTCGCGTGCAACTGTCTTCTCTTTGGATATAACTCAACCGGCACAGGTCGACGCAGCTTATCAACTGGTGAAAACGAAAACTGATACATTACATGCGCTCGTTAACAATGCTGGTATCGATCAGGATGGTCTCATCGATTGGATAAGCCTTGATTTTATGAGAAGAATGATGGAAGTGAATTATTTTGGGCACGTGAACATGACGAAAACTTTCTTACCTTTATTAATAAAGAAACGGAATTCACGCGTGATCAACATATGTTCGGTCGCAGGTTATATAGTCGCACCTAGTATGTCGTCTTATTGCGCATCAAAATATGCTTTAGAAGCCTTTTCTGATTGTCTTCGTCGTGAAATGCATCCGTGGGGTTTACGCGTTAGCATCATCGAACCAGGTTACATGCGAACACCTATTATTGAAGGACAGGTTGAAATCATGCGAAAAATGTGGAATGGTTTGAGAGAAGATGTCAGAGAGCGATGGGGTGAAGATTATTTGAAGAATATAATGAATAAACGAACGAACAGTTTTTTCATTCGTTTGGCGGAAGATCCTCGAAAGGTTGTACGTGCTCTTCAACATGCTGTTGCGAATACAGTTCCACACATTCGTTATCGACCAGGTTGGCAATCAAGTTTACTGTTTTTTCCCTTGTCGATGATTCCGGCTGGAATCACTGATTTCGTCTTATACAGAGGACAGGGACGAAATGTTACACCGAGCGGTGTTTATCAACAAATCAAGGAATAGCATCGCTATCGCATGCAGGCAACGTTTTTTTTATTGAAATAATTTTTCGAATAAATTGAAGATTGTTAAAACGGAAACAAGACTGATCACTAAAGCAAAGCTATTGAGCTGATTAGAACCGTTTAGAAAATAAGCAAAATCAAAGTCGATTTCACTGTTCTGTCGTATTAGATTACCGGTTTCTATTGCATTACAATCTTTCTGTTGACATTCAATCATCCAGATATCATGACGTTCACGCTCTTTCATAAAAAATTTCACTTGACGCGTGATGAAATTCTCAATGATATCGTCCATCACACAATTCAAGCACACTTCTACCGGCTTTGACTGAATATATTCTTGCGTAGCGCATTGTCTACAATTATTTCGGTCCATTTCTGTATCACATGACACACTGCTATTGGCAAAAAAGGTACAAAGATTGCCATGGAATTGTGTATTCATGTCGAGTAAAGACGAAAGAGTTTGGAAATTATCTTTTGATGTTAATGATCTTAATAAGCGTTTTACCATTGCTGGGCTATTACATTGATCAGTCGAACAGGTGTAATCCATTGTTTTTCTCCATTGAGTTCTTGTCCCGTTGTTAGTCAGCGTGATTGCATTTTCAAGATTATGTCGACCGGATGCGTCCTGTCGTTCGCTATCAGACAGAAGCACGATTGATGTTCGATTGGGATTTTGAGTCCATTCGATGTGAACAGAGCATTGCGTTTGATCCTGCTGACGTGAACAGTCCTTTAAATCATTTGGAACGGTATCAGCAGTGATAATCGAATCGAAAACATTTGCCTGCATCGGACAATTGTAACAGGATAGTTGGCATGTTACAGCGTAGAACAATTGAACGGTGACGAGTAGTAAAAGGAACATTTTGTAAATCTGCTTTCTGTCTGCTGTCTTTGCAAACTCATTCTTTTATCTAGGAGTTTGCAACAGAAGATAAGCAGGCTTTCTTATATCATTATCTGAAATTGTTTCTTTATTTATGCTTGTTTATTGATATCATCTGTTTAACTATTTTCAACGAGTCTTTCGTTTATAGACTTTTGATAAAAATTACAAAAAAAAGTAAGAAGAGTCTACTAGCTGACGTTAAAACGTTCGATTTGTTCGTGTCGCCCAAAAATTTCGCAAAATCAAATGCAGCGCTCACTTTTCTACGAATCAGATTGCCATTTTCAATTGTATTACAGTTTCGAAACTGGCATTCAAGGGCCCAATGATCAGTCATTGATCTCTCCGTTATATTAAAATCGACTTCATACGACATGAGAGTTTCAGAAAGTGCATTTGTCCAACAATTTGAGCAATATTCCATACCTTGACCAGATCCTTTTCCTTGAAACGAACACGCATAACAAGACGTCTCCGGCATTCCTGTATTACATTCACCATCAGTCATGTTTGTTCGTATTTGACAGCCAGCTCCAACAACTGTCTCTTCTTTCCGTAAAAGGTCTTTATTATCATCGAGATTGTCGTTGAATATTAATGAAGACAGTATAAGTTTCAATGTTGATAAACTGTTACAGTTGTCCGTCGAACATGTGTATGACAGGCTTTTGGTGAAAGTATAGACTGAGTTTTGGTTTTCTAAGCTAACTGATGTGATCAGTGTATGTTCAACGTAAGCTTTTCGTTCAGGTTGCCTAGCACTCAAGCCTATTTGACTTTTATCTGGATCTCGTCCCCATACAAGATCGATAAGACATGTATCACTGGTATTGACTATGGAACAGTTATTAAGAATCGATGGTAGATTATCCAATGAAACTATATAATTGAATTCATTGAGGGTCAATGGACATTCGTGACAAACTGTTGCAGATGAAATTGAATACAGAAGAGGCAAAGTTATGAATAAAGTGAATAACATGTTGTCTTGCAGGATAGGTGTTAATAGAAAATGAGAAACAAGGTGTGTTCGAGTATTACTAATCCTTCAAAATAAATATTTACATTTTAACTATTCTCTTATCCTTATCTTTTCGTATTTCGTTAGAAGTCAAACATTTTCAAGGGAAAAACATTGTTTAAAAAGAGAACTTCATTGTCCAAAATATGTAAAATAAAACCATACTTTTCATCGATAAAATCGAACTGAAAACGTATCCGTTGTTGAAAAATTTAGCAAAATCAAAATCAACTTGAGCGTTTTGTTTTATGCGTTCTCCATTACTCTGCGAATTGCATTGATCTGATTGACATTCTATTTGCCAGATATCAGTACGTGTTCGTTCTGTCATATTGAATATTGCACTTCGTGACAGGTAATAGTTTTCTTCGTCACCAGTTCTACATGTAGCACATACTTCTGTTCCTGTTTGGTTTGTCTCTGCACCTAATGAACATCTTCTACAATCCGTGTCAGGAATTGTATTATCGCATTTGTCAAATGTTGCATTCGATCGTCGATCACACCATTTGCTTTGAAATGGTTTTTGAGGAATGATCATATTCGTTATTTGATCAAGTGTATCAGTCACAGTTAATGCATTCATCACCCGTTTGATTTCACTATAACTATTACATTCATTGGTTGTACAAGTATAGATAATAACTTTTTCCCAACGCAAGATGGAGTTTTCGTATTCAATACCAACAGATATATCGAGTGCATGATTGTTGGGAATGACCCGTGGATCATTTGCACAGTTGACTGTTATTTGCGTTGAATCACGATTCTTTTGCAACAGTATCGTCATACCGCACAGTACCATATCTGTTTTCAATGTGCAATTATTGAGTTGTTCAGGCATATGGCTCGCACTAATAACATAATCGAATGTGTTCACTTCTCCTGGACAATCATAACCAGATATGCGAGCTGAACTTGAGTACAGCATATGAAAGGTTATGAATACAAAGAATAACATTGTCTTTGTTAAATGAGTATGCCACTGAAAGGATTCGTTTGAAAGGCAAAGTGAAGGAGACCATCTCAGATAAATAGTCGCTCTCGTTTCCTATGTTTTATTCACGTTATCTTTATCAAACACGCATAGATGACAAGTTGATTTTTTATCACGTATGATTAATAAGCCTAGTAAAACATATTTTGCCATGACCGACAAAGATACTTAAAAGAGTTTAGACGCAGATGGATTAGGACTTTCATCGCTAAATGTTTTATTTGCATTACTTTTCCATATAAGGTATAACTTCTGACATGACCTATAGTTAGATAGTTTGTTTTTTTCACTTCATAATTACAACTCAATCTTGTAATTGATTCGCTGTTATAGGAAGAAAATGAACTATGAAAAATCTTCAAATGAAAACGTGTTGAACATCTTTCTTTGTGTTAAATGACAAATGGGTGCAATACGCTTATTGAAGCGTGGTACCGCGACCATCTACGGAATTTCAAACACGCAATTTCTACCGTTCGATCATATACTTTGTACAGATCTCACGCGAAACAATTATTTACGCAATTACGCCTTTTCTCTCATACGAAAACGGCCTATATCGTATATAGCTTCCGTTCGGAAATCTTATTCGTCCAGAACAATGGTGACGATTCTTCTCATTTTCTTCTATTTCTTCAGGGAGATAATATTCTTTTTTTACTTGGCAAACTTTAGAATCTCATTTCCTTTTCCACGGTTGCTCTGGACTGTGACACGATATCATTATATTCACTTATTCATGAAAGATCCTAAGCAAGAAAACTGTGACATTCTTTCCGGAAGCTTCAACCCACGACTTCCCTCTATTTGGCGGGCAGTTGACCTCTACAACATAGAAAATTATTACAATTTTCTTCGATTAGTTTTGACACCAGAACCTGCGTTTGCATCTTCCAAACTTCACACGATTAACGTCAGTTGCTTCTAGTTTCTACTCGCTCAGCTACTATCTTTCTTTAGATTATAATCCGATAAAAACTTAGAAAAAGAACACTTCTGGGTAAACGGCAGTTCGTTCAAATATCTTTCAAAATTTTCTTTTCTTCAAGAAGTTCCTTAGTACATAAAAACTATATGGTGATCCTTGTGTTTCCAAGTACATGACAATTATTAATCACGCGGTAATAAGAATCTTAATGTGTGTGTATATATATACATACGCAGATTAGAGCGTGAGAAAAAATGCTTCACTCGGATTTTTCTGAGAATTTGTTCAAACGTATATAAAAGAGACTTTCTTTGGGAAATCTCAGCTATTGAAGATAGCCTTCATTTGTTGCAGATTGTATCAATCATCATTTAGAATAATGTTGAACTCGTCCGACGTCGATTTATTGATGAAATTGAATACAATTTCAATACAATTCAATCGCTATTTCTCAATATTTATTTTCCTTTTCGGTTCTGTTGGAAATCTTTTAAACTGTTTGGTCCTTTCTCAACCTTCACTCCGATCCAATCCATGTGTGTTTTATTTTCTCATTTCATCTATTGCCAATATGATTTCGATATGTTCTGGTTTAACAACCAGAATCCTATCAGGATGGGATATGGACTACACCGATACTAATGTCTATATGTGTAAAATTCGTGCATTTTTCATGTTTGTTTCTCGATCAGTTGCTTTCTGGCTTATCGCATTGGCAGCAGCCGATCGTTACCTTTCGTCCTCTCATCTATATCACCGACGACAATTGAGTTCACTCGAGAACGCTCAGCACGGAACAATATTTGTTATCATCTTTTCGTTATTGATCTATTGTCAAATACTTTATTGTTACGATATCAACATCATATCAGCACCGTTACATTGCTATGGTAAAACAGTCATCTGTCGGCTAACTACCGACTTAACTTATGGTATTATTACAATAGCATGCCCATTATTAATAATGTTCGTTTGCGGATTATTAACTATAAGAAATGTGCGTAATCAGTATGATGCTGCATCCGGAAGGAAACATTTGATTGATGTTAATTATAGCGCGACAAAACGAACATTGAGTTATCAATATCGACGTCGAAAACGAATCAATCGATATTTATGTCATGTTCTCTTTGTTCAAATTGTCTTTCTCGTCGTTTTGACGACTCCACAAGCAATTGAAAAATTTTACACAACACTAACGATTTATCAGATTAAATCAGATTTACATGTTGCTATAAATAATTTCATATATAATTTTGCCCTTCTACTGACTTATCTAGCTAGTGGAATGACGTTTTATATATACACATTAAGTGGTGGAAATACATTTCGTAATGCGCTTTTTGATTTGTTCAAATAAAATTCCATATTGATTGATTTCTGTCAGGAATACTACAATACACTTTTTGTGAAGTTTAATATGCGAGTCATTATGTATATGTTTACCTCTCTCTTAATGTTCTATTTTAAATTAAACTATTGAGTTAATCAAGATTATCATTAACGCGATAAGAAATCCTCTTATGCGGTTCTAGCTGGTTATTTTAGATCTCACATCGGACATACGACGATAATTAATGTTTCGAAATACCCGACAAAAATTAACTTTGATCTTTGACATCAGACGATATGCAACAGGTAAGCCGAGTCTGGCTTACTTACCTACTCAATTTCTTAAGAGACAGAGAGAGATTAGCATCGACACTGTTATATGTTCGTTCATTCCTTCCTTCTTAAGAAGAACATGTTTATACGCCTCTTTATCAGAGAAGGATACAACGGATGGGTAAATCACTGGCCACTATGACTATTAGATTGTGTAAAATTATGGCACCGAAAAACTAATCTATCAAACGGAAATCACTAAGAATGAAAGAATAAATGTCGTGTTCACAGTTACACACGAAAATCAGTAGTCACGAAAACGTTTTTTATAGAAAAATAGCGAGTTACGACGTTGATGTTAATTGAAAATAATATGAATTTTGTCGACCTTTCTTCGTTTCTCTTGGGGGTGGAATTGCATGTGCATACATATCTGGGTACTACATTTGAATTAAATTTCACTTCAAGGCGCAGTTTTTGGAAGTATGACGGCTACATCTATATTATCTGAGTTGACATATGTTCTCGAGGCTATTATATCATTAGATGTATCCGCTAGCGATAATTCTAAGATAATTGACATCGAAATCAATTTAAATTTCTGAAGTCTTAACTTTCGAATATAATAAGGTAATTTACATTAGAGAATCGATATTGTGAATTATTCTTATTCTCAAATTCCTCATGCAGACATAAGCATAATCCAATTTCTTGTAATACTGCAGGTCTTAGAAGAGTCGTGTATCTAACATAGTTTGTTCCTATTTCAAAGTCTGTGAATGTAAAAAAGTTCGAAGCAAGAATAGTTCGTCGTCGCTTTTTCAATCTTACTGGAATCTATTGGGAGAATAGCATTCAGAAGTTAAACTTTCTCTATCAGTTTTATCTGTCTTCTGATTGATTGTATCAGCTAAAAGAGCTGCCGATCCAAATGCAAGTGTCCATCCTTTACTACCATGACCACAATTAATGAACAGATTATCGAAATTGCTACATCGTCCGATTAATGGCACATCATCAGCAGATACTGGACGAGAACAGCTATGAAATACTTTTTCGTAAGAAGCTACATGTGGCAGCCAAGCAATTGTCTGTTCATACAAATATTGAGCTCGATCCGGTTCACTGAGAACGCCAATGTCCTATAGAACACAAGTGATTATTCATATTTAGACAATTGACAAAGATAACAATCGATGTATATTAACCTTCCATCCGGCAAATTCAGCCAGGCCGCTGACTCGCACTATGCCTTGTTGAGCCGTTGGTTTCAATGCGGATATATAAAGTTTGTTCACGTCATCGACCAGATTTACCTTCGGTAGTGGAATACTTGGGGCAGTTTTAATTTCTACCGTATAGCCCTAATGTATAAGCGACACAAATCGTTACAGATTTCATTTTGACCTTTGCGTTGCTTTACCTTCACAGGATAAACAGGTACATAGATGTTTAGTTTTTCAGTTAAAGGCATAACATAATTACCATTTGCTAAGATGATATTATCTGCATTTTCAAATTTTTTGTTATTAGTAGTTACAACTCCTGATACATGTCGTAGTTGATGACCTGTATGACTTTGAACTGTTGATGATACAATAAAATCTTGAATTTCTTCATTGAATACGAACTGAACGTTGTATTTCTCGATTAGGATTCGTTTCAATTCACAACAAAATTCGTAAATATTTCCATTTGTATCCGAAGAACTGAACACTCCGCCATAGATTCGATTTTTCACAGATATTAGTATTGGCTCGTGTTTAATCACTTCTTCTGGCGATGAGAAAATTTGAATATCGTCAATATGTTTCGATTCTTCGACTAATTGTTCAAAGATAACTGGATCGACTGCTAACTGCAATGAGCCAGTCGTGTAACGGGAAAATGATATCGCATTCTATAAAATTGCAATGAAATTCATAAAGACGATTATATTCGTCAGAAAACGCACTTCTTTGAGAATATCATCTAAACATTGCCGAGAATACATGCTAAGCGTTAATAGATTAGCTGCATTTCTGACTTGTGCCTTCGTCGTACAATTTTTCAGATACTCGTACATCCACCGATAGAATTTCATTGAGAAAAACGTACTTGGCCAAATTTTCGTCGACGTCGGTGTTGGCGAAGACCATGAAAATATCGACTTGAAATATTTCTTCGGAACATCCGAATTTGCCCATGGTGTTAATAGAGATGGACAAATCAACGCACCATTTTTATAACTAATCACAAGAATTCGTCAGTATTTGCTCGTCTACGTCAATGAAAGATCTTACCTAGTTTCTAACGCGACGTCTTCACGCTTTTCGATACATATCACTTTATGTCCACTTTTTGCTAGATAATAAGCGCTTGTTAAACCGATAATACCTGCGCCAATGATGATACTCGTAGGATGATCAGAGACCGACCGAATAGGTTGAAATTTCTCATTTTTGGCTTTAGAAGTCACGTATTTATAGATTCCCTGTGGTTAACAGTGGATAGAAATACTTTCTCTGTAAAGTTCGAGACTTACAAATGATGTTGCTACGCTACTTAAAACTACGATGCTTCGAGATGTTCGATTCATTCCGGTTTCTTTTCGAGGAGAGGGGAGTGTGATATTTAGCTAAATGCACTGTACATTTACGTCTCATTCTTTATTTTAGCTTCAAAAGCAGATAAGAACAGCAAAAAATGGAGCATGTATTTCATTCCGGTGACATTTTGTGATTGTTTTCATCCTTTCTCTCGTTCTTCATCCAATATTTGTTCTATCTCTTTGCTATTACTCAAGTATGATGAAACATGCGAGGATTGTTATTTCTTCGAGCGTTCTTGTCACATGTTGCATCATAAAATCAGACTCGGAATGTATATTTAAATGATCGATATAGTTTGACTTCAACAACAGTACATCATGGCATCATCAATCCAGAAAAATTCTACACGTCCTCGTTTACTCCATGTTGGATTTATGGTTCCACTGAATGAGATTATGTCTGAAAGTCCAGTATTGGAACGTGAACTAGGCCGTTTGAATTTACGCGTTAATATTTACGCTGCTGTTCTCTTCTACAAAGATTCATCTCCAGACACTCTTCAAATGTGGTTTGATCAAAGAAAACGTTCCAGCCGTAATGGATATTTACGAGCATATTATACGAAAAAAAACGGTGATAGTATTATCGAAATGGATGTCGACGGAAAACAATTTTATCTCATTGCATCATCGGGAACATCACAACCGCTGATCGAAATGAAGAAGGATATTACAAGAGGTTTATTTGGTGAACGCCGTGAGTTTGCCGAGCGCATTCAAGTACCTTGTTTCCCATATAAATACGACACAAATAATGGATTCACTGAATGTGAAGCATTTCATGCTTTTAAAGATGAACATAGACAAAAACTCGAGAACAAAGCAACTGGCGATGCATAAATTTAGCATCAGATAAATAGTCGAAAATTGTATAACCATTTGTACTTTGGAAGTTTCATCAAATTAATTGAATAAAAAACCAGGTATCGTGGAGGCTAACTGTCAAAACGAAGAGTGAAAGAAAATGATAAAGATTTGTTATCGAAGCTGTGAGGATACATTAGGCGGTCTCTGAAATAACGAATATCATTTTTATCTTGCTGATTCATCGTAAGAAGATGATGCACTTTTAACGAAAACACTTTAGAGACGATGCTATTCCTAACCATATTCTTTCTTCTTCTGCTAAGTGTAAAAAACTCCTTAGGGAATGATACGATCGTTTTTACACGAGGTGAAGCTGGCTATTTCTGTATTAAAATTCCCTATATCTTAACAACAGCAAAAGGAACTTTGCTCGCATTTGGTGAAGCACGACTATTCTCATGCAGCGATTATACTGAAACTGATATTGTTTACAAACGAAGTCTGGATAATGGACAAACTTGGTCGAATCTACAAGTTCTGTATCGAGGCAATTCTTCGAATAGTAAATATCATCGTGTTGGAAACATCGCACCTGTTCAACTGAGATACAATCAGCGAATATTGATTCCATTCTGTCAAGATAATCTGATCGTCATGCAAACCTACACAGATGACGATGGTTTAACATTTGCTCCGCCACAAGTTATTCCCAACGTCACCCGACCGGAATGGAAATGGGTAGGTCTCGGACCACCTGGCGGTATTTTACTACAATCAAATCGAATATTAATTCCAGCTTATTATTCTGTGCATCCAAATGACAACGGTCTGTTGTCGACAGGTTATGTGATGTTAAACGACTTGAATGGACAAATTGATAAATGGTATCTCGGTGGCCAATACAATCTGGACAATTATTACCCAAACGAGTGCCAAGCTGTTGAATTGCTGCCTACTACTAACTCGATATTTATTAATTCACGTTCATTAGGAACGAAACGTATCGGTGCGTATAGTACCGATGGAGGAATAACGTTCAACAGAGTTAAGGTGTTGAAGACACTCGTTCAACCACTGACTGGTTGTCAAGGTTCAACCATATATGATGCAAATACTCGACAGCTATTCTATTCAGGTTTAGCTGAAACATCTTATATTCGCAGCAATTTGTCACTTTATATAAGTGATGACAATGGCGAAAGTTGGACCTATATGAAGACAATCTTTCCAGGTTCCTCTGCGTATTCATCATTGACTATGATGAATGATGGATCAATTGGTTTATTGTATGAATGGGCGAAGAAAAGCGATCGGGTTTTTCAACCGGATTACATGACATTTACTGTAGTATATAATCAAAGTAAAGACAATGTAGATTAATAAATAAATAAATATAAAAATATGTTGGGAGTTTGTTATCGTGTACTTGAGATATTAAAAGAACGGTAACCAAGCAGAGAGTATCTCTGAGATTTGATAATAGTTCTTTTTATTGTTGTTGTTGTTGTCGTTGCATTCAACCACATTTTGAATCGATGTTTAAAGATTGAATGTTACTGTTAATTGTGCTTTTGTTACTTGCTAATTCAAACACTTCCTTTGAGCAGGAAACCATTGTCTTTGCACGTGGCGAAGGTAACTACTATTGTGTACGAATTCCATCCGTTATGACCACTGTCAAGGGAACTTTGATAGCATTTGGTGAAGCACGAATGTTCACTTGTCAAGACAATACTGATATTGATATTGTTTACAAAAGAAGTCTAGATAACGGAAGAACTTGGTCGGATCTACAAGTTCTCTATCGAGGAAATTCGTCTGGTGAAAATTTCAACTGGGTAGGAAATTTTGCTCCCGTTCAATTGAAGTACAATCAGCGAATCTTAGTACCATTCTGTCGAAATAATCTTGTTCCTATGCAAACCTATTCAGATGATGATGGCTTAACATTTGCGCCACCGCAAATCATTCCAAATATCGCTAAACCGAATTGGAAGTGGCTCGCTTTAGGTCCGCCCAGCGGCATTCTATTACAATCAAATCGTATCCTGGTTCCCGGTGATTATTCTATCAACTCGAACGTCAGAGCCGGTTCTCTATCTACTGGCTTTGTCATGTTAAACGATTTCAACGGACAAATTGATAAATGGTATCTCGGTGGTGAATATAATCTAGACAACTATTACCCAAACGAAGGTCAAGCTGTTGAATTATTACCTTCGAATAATTCGATATTCATAAATGCTCGCTCCCATACAACGAAACGCATTGGTGCATATAGTACAAATGGTGGAATCACATTCGATAAAGTTACAGTACTTAATACATTAGTAGAACCTTTGCATGGTTGCGAAGGTTCAACGCTGTATCATCCATCGACTCGTCAACTGTTCTATTCAGGATTAGCTGTCACATCTAACATTCGTGCGAATCTATCTTTACATATCAGCAATGATAATGGTGAAACCTGGAGCTATATAAAAGCCATCTGTCCAGGTCCATCAGGCTACTCGTCATTAACAACATTGACTGATCAATCCATTGGCATGTTGTACGAAAAAGGCAGTACAATGGGTTCACCGGATTCATTGACATTCACCATAGTATATAATCAAACGAAAAAAGGAACGATTTGAACAAAATTAATACTAAAAGTATTCTATTCATTTAAACTTCCAGATCAAAATCTTTTTTTGTTTTGATCATTTTTAAAAGTTTTCGTTTGCCCACATCGGACAGATTACAATTGTTTATATAAAGTGTTTTCAACGTACAATTTCGCTTAAACATATTCAGTAATACATCCACACTTCCATCCGTAATTGATCTATTTGAATTTAAAAATAACCATTCGATATTCGTATTGAAATTCGCAAGTGTATTCGATAAAATTTCCACGCCATGATCACTGATTTCATTGCCAGTCAACCACAACCATGTCAGCGTTCGATTCGACTGCAACATATTCGATAGATACTTCAAGCCATCATCAGTAATATCATTCTGGCCGAGATAAAGATGCTGTAGAGTTGATGAGTATCTTGCACATATCTAAACAAGTAAGATAAGTCTGGCTTTTTCGTGGGCCTTACATTCTCTGATAGATAGATAATGGTTTCGTCAGACAACAGAATGCACAAGAATAGATCGATATCTGATATTCACGTATCCCGTAACGTCTATGACGAACATTGTATTATTGGGCGTGTAGCAAGAGGAAAAGTCGAGCAGAATCACGCAAAGAGTGGGGGAGTGAAAATATTTACTTGATTATTTGTTTGCTCTGAGACAGTTTCCGGCACATTCATTAGTGCACTGGCAATCAGTTCGATTCCCCGATCACCTAAATGATTCTTCGATAAATATAATTCTGTTATCGTTCGATTCTCTTTTAATAACTGTGCTAAATATTGTGCACCAATGTGAGTAATTTGGTTGGACTCCAAATTCAACGTTTTAATATTCGAATTGGCAATTGCTGCTGTTAAACATTGAAGTCCAAAATCCGATATTTGATTATTTCGGAGGTCTATGAACTCTAGCGTAGAATTATTATTCAAACCTGTGGAGAGTACTGAAAGTCCTTGACATGTAATGTTATTATCGCATAGTCGAACACGCTTACAACGATTTTTGATCAAAGCATGTTTAACTACGGTGTTCATATCTCGATCCGTTAAGTTTTGTTTGCCTAAATCGATTGTCCACGAATGTCCATATTGAACAATGCGATGTTCCAGAGATATATTACGATAGATGTTATCGAATATCAGTGGCGAATTTCGAGAATGAATCAAGGAAAGCCAGAATCTAAAATCGATATGGAAGAACACTTCCACTGAAATTTTTCAAGGCAATGATCTTGATTTACTTGTGAAAAGGAGTTGATTTGGTCTGATCAATGGAATGTAGAAACAATGATGGTTGAATTTCTTTCAATACTATCCAATGTAAATGATCATTAGTCGAATAATAGCAATCGACAACTTGAAATTTCGTTGCGGGTAAAACAACTGCAAATGTATTTTCTGACGAATAGCAACATTTCTGTATATCTTTCACAGTCGAGGATTCAATTTTGAATACTGTCCGTAACTCATGCTCATCTAAACATGTTTCCGATCGAAGATCGTTCATCAATGTTGTGCACAATGGTAAATCCTTCCAAAGGATAACTTCTTCGAGATGATAATGTTTGCTTAAATCTAATTTACTTCCTCGATAGATTATTGAATGAGTTGATGGCAGATGTGAAAGCGCAGTGAATAGAAGTTTGAAATAGTATAACCATGGTTCGTATTTATGCATGCTTGATTCAGATAGGATGAAATTGACCATAGCATGAAGACACTGATCGTACGGTTGCCATTGTATAGAGTAAAGCATAATAGATGCAGATTCGTCAGCTGTCAATCCGTTGATAGGGTCATGCCGTTTTTCTTTGATTAATTGACTGTAAGTTTTGATTGTTGGTAAGATTGAAATCAATGGTTCAACGGCTTGTTCGAATGAAACAAGAGGAATTCGTTGAAATTCTTCGATAGAGAATACGAAATCCTCTTTCATCATTTTCCGTCCAATTGGTTTACTAATAGACACACCCATTACTTGGATTCCTAAAACATACCATTTCTTTCGACAGTAGAAAAACTATGCAATTCTCATATCTTGTATCCCTCAACAATATTCTCGGTAACCAAACATTTTCAAGATACTGCCATGTATTCCCTCAGGAAATACTACAAATATGGCAACGGTTACAGTCTGTCTAGATAATATACAAGTACCTGTTTACGCATGATCTTTCGCTTTCTCCGTTATATTTTCTTTTCCGCTGCTCTCGCTCTCTCTCTCTTTATCTTTTTAGATTGACATACATGACATATGTGTTCGGTGTATTTTCCTTTTCTTTCTTCGTCTTTCCTTTTTATGTACTTGCTATTCTCCTTATACAACAGAAAGTTGTCTAAAGGCCAAACGATGATATTATCATCGGTCATGTGTTGACATCCTCTAGAGTCAATTGCGCATAGGAAAATATGCATGTTGTATGATATATTCGATGATAAAAAGATGATTGTTATGCCACTTGTAGACATACTAGATTGCTACTTATCGTTGCACTTTTTGTTGGTTTGAGCAGTTTAGCAAATCAATGTATTATGGTTTTAGACAGATATTTACATCACTGAAAACAAGCCGAAATAAACCGGTAAATGAACACAAGAGGTCACATTACAAAATATCTGAGAGAAAAAAACCACGGAAAATGACACGAAAATGTGCAATCATTCCAATTTCATTATTAAGCTGAAAATGGACAAGTTTCAATAAGATTTTCAGTCGTCGTTGTACTATTTCGATGCTTTTTAGCGCTAGTTTTCAATTCTTCCATACTTTCTTTCAACATCGGATCATCATGATCATAAGTGACAATATTCAAACCAGGAAAGTTGAACATCAACAAGTCTTTCAGATTATTCAACAGATTCACATCAGGTGCATATGTTCCAGACCCGTTGTCGAATACCAGTTCCCACTCATCATCACATCGGTCCCAGCCGTGTTTTGGTCGAGGATGGAATTCACCAGCATAGCGAACATATTCAGAACAATTGGCTAATAATGCATGTTTACTTGCAAAATCTGCGAAGAATTTGTCATCTGTTTCGCTGAATCGCCATGTGTTATCGTCGATAACATAGGAATATATACACGGTCTAATCTTTTTACCCGTTCGATCAGCAAATATTGTTGTCCAAAGATCGTCAGTATCAGTGACGATTCCTGTTTCGGAATGTTTGATTGTTTGGCCAAAAAGAATTTTATGAGCTATTTTGATCGTACTTTGAGATGCTAATGTTAAAGGACAGCTGCCGAATATCGCTTGAGCAGCTCGATACTTTCGATTCCAGTGTTGCCGGTCATGCGGGCTGAAAAACACGGAAATTCGCCGCATGCGAATTTTCCATGTTGAATAAACGCAATCTGGATTGAGCATCGTTAAACGACCAACGGTCAATGAATCGTGACGAAAATATCGACAAGGACCATCGAATGTGTATCGAGGTAGAAGCTTTGTCTCATTGGAAGACGGCATTGAATGTACAGATAAATGAAAGTATCCATGTATATGTTCGAATTTCGCAAGAATTTCATGGCCTTTCGGCGGAGCATGATAATTGATCAAATTTAAAACTTCAAATTGTCCGATATAATCGTCACTCACTGTGTCATCGTCTTTGTCATAGACTTTGACAGTTAGTTTTGCGTTAATAGGAATATTCCGAACGATCCATTTCTCATCTTCCCATTTAGGCGTCGCCGTATTAGGAATAATACTAGAGCTAACAAGATTAGATGGAAAATAAATTCAATTATACTGAACCGACTTTTGTCGATCAAGAAATACTTACGTAAACGTAATTTGATCATCGATATTTGCAATGAAATATGGATCAGCGTGTCCAACAACATCCATTTTCGGTATGTCCTTTAATGGAAAAACGTAACGACATTGAATATTTACACTGAATGTACTGCGATTTACCTCAGCACAGAGAAATTGGATAACGACGTCATAGTGCTCTTGGAATTCATCCAGTAGAGAGAATGTTTTTTCCAACAACGTACTCTCAAGGCCAGATGGTACTGAGTGCAACGACATTACTTCAATAGTTTATATTCGTATAGGATAAGCACTAAAGAATTTCGCTGCTAAGCTCGAATACTCTTAGTCATACATAGCTACGTACCTGACATTGTTTAAAATGAAACAGAAAACATCCAGAAGCGTCGTCTTTGTTGCACTTTTTTTTGTGTATAATTCTGAAGCCATTTGATGAAGAGACAGTTTGTCACGTTGTAAGTTGTGTTTTTTTCTCTTTTATTCTGTGTCGTTCTTTCACTATTTCTTCTTTTTTTTCTACGTAAGACTGGGCGGTTTCATCTCCTATCGTCTTGCACACTCCCCTGACGTAACTTTCTTTCTCTCGATTCTTTTGGAAGGAAGAAAGAAAAGATGAAAACAACTTTCAAGATGTTAATGTTAAAAGTAAAGAAAACAGTCCTGGTTCGATATAGACAAAAACAATCGTCGTTTCACATTGCCTTTACAAGAGAAAACACAAGGACAGAAGAAGATATAGGTTTTAATTAATGATGATAGATATAGAAAGGAGAAAAAAAATCATTTGTATGAACAAGACATGAAGTAAGATTGATTCGATCATTATAATTTCTATAATTAAATCATCTTGCTGTCGTTGTGAACAAAACATATCAGATTATCGACGCACGACTCATGGAATTGTTGAAATAACGCGTTCTCTTATAATATATTGACAGATGAAGTCTTTTTTTTTTGAACCTGATGTTCTTTTTTTTTTATTGATGTCAAAACTAGAATCTCTGTATAGAAAAAGAATTTAACAGTTCAAACACTGACTTATGAACATGTACTCAAGAGTATGCCTGCCGAATTCTTTCCTGAATTCGCAGATATAATATCTAATCGACCGTCCGAATTGAAATCAGCAATCGTAATATCATGTGGATGGGAAACATAACCTGTTGAATAAACTCTCTGTATTTTAAAGTTTCCATGACCATTGCCAAGAAATACGCCAATATTGTTTTTACCGTAATTAGCAACAATAATATCAACATTCTTATCATTATTCAAATCCCCAGAAGACACTGAAATAGGAGTGGAACCTAATCCTGTGGAAAACGTTTTTCGCTTCTTAAAAGTACCACCTTTATTACCGAGTAGTACACTTATTGTATTTGCTTTGTAATTCGCGGTTACAAGATCGAATATACCATCTTTATTCAAGTCAACAGCCATTAGCGAGACAGGCATCGAGTCAGTGGGATATGTTGATTGATCACTAAAATGACCGCTACCATTATTGAGAAATATTCCAGCATTATATGTTCCATTGTTTACAACCGCTATATCAGATCGACCGTCTCTATTAAAATCTTTGATAGCTACTCTGCAAGGTATTGAGCCGTTGCCCGTGAAGAGCGTTTGATTTAACGTAAAGCTTCCCGAACTGTCTCCAAAGTATACTAGCACAACATGGTTGTTGCTATCAGAAGCAACCAGATCAAGATTATCATCGTCATCCAAATAGTCAAGAGCAAGATCTAATGGTGTGGAACCAATTCCCGTGGAAAATAATGTTTGAGGCGTTATAGTTCCGTCTCCATTACCATGGAAAGTTATAACTGTACCTGTACCACTGTTTGCTACGACTATATCCAGTTTTCCGTCTTTATTAATATCACCGATAGCGAACGCATTTGGTTGAGTACGAATTCCTCCGGTAGACGACGTCGTTGGACTTTGAAAGCTACCATCGGTATTTCCAAGAAAAGTACTTATCGTACCGTCTTTAAAATTAGCCACAATCAGATCCGATATAGTATCATTGTTCAAGTCTGCATTGTCAATGTAGAATGGCGAGGCGCCGGTACTCTGAGAAATTATGGGTTCAAATGACAGCGTGCATATTGGTACTACGTAAAACAAATAAATTAGTTAAAGCTTTCTTGCAAAATTTATGAGAAAGAGATATTTAAAGAAAACGCATACTGACATGACGCTAAGTTATCGCCTTTGTTTGGTAAGAACACACTTATTAAAGAAAACAAAATGGTGCCTGATATAGCCAGAGCAGAGAGGAAAACCAGACCTAATGCTGCTGCTACACTAGGAAAAGTTTAAGATGTTAACTAAAAAACTATTGTGATAAATGTATATAACTTACAACGTCACACTATCGTCTGCAAACGACATTCGTAAACAGTTTGTCGATATATGTTACCAATGCCTAACTGTATATCTATATATGATGGGCTTCAAACAAGCATACAGACATGTATATAACTAAAATTAATGATCTGATTGTATCTTTTTTTACAAACATAGGTGTATATTTATGTCGTCAGATTCATTTTGTCATAACCAAATCAAACAAATTGAACAATATGAGAACGATATAACGACAACAATTATTTTATTGAGAGTTACACTTGTTTAGATCTTTTCCTTCGATCAATATAGCTTACATAGTGAATCAATTCGCAATTAAAAATATAGCTAACTACTATGACAATGAACTTTACAATAGGTCGATCAGACACAAAATAGTCTGTTCGTGACTGTTACGGTACTTGAATGGTCGTCCATGAATTTTATCAGCTTCTTTACACTTTCCTTTAACAGCGGATCGTTATGATCATAAGTGACAATATTCAAACCAGGAAAGTTGAATATCAACAAGTCTTTTAGATTATTCAACAGATTCACATCAGGTGCATATGTTCCAGACCCGTTGTCGAATACCAGTTCCCACTCATCATCACATCGGTCCCAGCCGTATTTTGGTCGAGGATGGAATTCACCAGCATAGCGAACATATTCAGAACAATTGGCTAATAATGCATGTTTACTCACAAAATCGGTGAAAAACTGAGCACCTGTTTGACTAAATCGCCATGTGCGGTCGTCTATGATGTATGTATAGATACATGGCTTGATCTGATTTGTTGTGCGGTCAGTAAAAATGTTCAGCCATAAATCATCAGCATCAATAACGAATCCAGCTTCGCTATTTTTCAGCGTTTGACTATGCAATGCTTTATGTGCTAGCTTTATCGTGCTCTGAGATGCTAATGTTAAAGGACAGCTGCCGAATATTGCTTGTGCAGCTGTATAATCCTTGTTCCAATACTGGCGATCGTGTGGATTGAAAAACGCAGAAATTCGTCGCATTTCTACTTTCCACGTTGAGTAAACACGATTCGCATTGACCATTGTTAAACGACCAACGGTCAATGAATCGTGACGAAAATATCGACAAGGACCATCGAATGTGTATCGAGGTAGAAGCTTTGTCTCATCGGACGATGGTATTGAACGAATAGATAAATAAAAAATACCATTGTGTTGACCGAATGGACCTGTAATTTTATGACCTTGTGCGGAACTTTCATAATTAATAAGATCAAGAATATCGAAAAAGCCAATATAATTATCGACAGGCTTATCGTCGTCTTTGTCGTAAATCTTAACAGTTAATTTTGCATTGTGAGGAATATTACGAACAATCCATTCTTCATGATGCCAAGTAGGTGACAATGTGTTGGATACGATAGTTGAGCTAGAAGAAAGTGAACGAATGTTGTTGTTTTTTTTCGGAGATATAATTCAAAACTTTTACGTGTAGGAAAGTTGGCTGTCGAGTTTAGCAGTAAAATACGGATCTGTGTGTCCGACTAGAAAGGTTTTCGGCAAATTCTACAATGACAGAAAAACATTAAGAATCTGAAAGCAAACACATTTTCAAAAAACAAACTTTTGCTGAATGAAATTTGATGAACAAATCATAACTAGCTGGTGGATCACTATATGCCACAAATGTTGTCTGAACCAGTGTTTGTTTCAAACCAAAAGCGACCGAATGTGTGTACATAGTCATCTCACTACTAACCGGTTATTGTCGTACGACAATGTTTTCTACATCGTATATATACAAGGTAACATTTCCGTTTTTTCTCTTATTGTAATTAGATTCTTTATCGTAGTTCCTTTCATTCTGTTTATAGTCACTACCCAACTGACGTTTTATGTAGAAAAAAAACCTGACTAATTTCTCAAAATCATTATAAATGCGGCACTCACCCACTTTTTTCAGTCGTATGATCGTGAATTAAAACTTTAATTTTACAATATAAATAATAATTTCGTCAGTAATTTAAAATACTATTATCACGTTCACTCAGCATTTAGTCGAAAGCACTTCAAAACTTATATCTTCCTAACAATTCAAGTAACCAACAAAAGAGGTGTATATCATTTCTTCGAATGTTGCACCTTGTGTTACTGTACACTTCATGACAAGAAAAAAGTTTAGATGAAAGTCGACTATAACACACGAAGACCTTTAATTCATCTCTGCAAACTAATTTCGATTATCTATGAGAGAAAAATAAGTCTATTTTCTTAGTTACAAGATGAAAAAAGCATTTATCGAAACCGTTCTTTGTCTTTACATTCCACGTGATCAATGCGTTTCGAAGGCGAAAACAAACGCTTCGTAATCTCGTACATACGTGTGCGTTATGTTTTTCTTTCTGTATCACAAGTATGTATAATAACAAATCCAACCTGGGAAGTTTTCATCTTATTTAAGTTTTGTCAACTCTCACCAATCCGTTATAACGACAATGGATGATTTATCTAAACAAATTGCTGGAATCACACTCGAACAAGAATCCAATGACGATCAATCCGAAGCCAATGATTTCTATGAAACAAGACGAGTATCGAGAAACGTCAATTTTGCACGCTTAGAAAAAGGTCTCCTTCTATTTATCTATATTCATGAAACAACGAAGTATACACTTCACTTGGAAACAACATTGTGGGATCGTCGTGCATGTTTCAATGTGATAAACAGCGGAAATTGCTCGAAACCCCGTGATCAATGCCGTCGAGAGCATGAAATTCTCTATCGCCAACCAAATTTGTGTATGTTCTGGTATACGCAATCATGCAAACACAACAACTGTCGATATTCTCATCGTTTCGAAAACTTATCTCAATATCATCATTATATTTTCACGAATACGGACAATATGATATTTAAATTGATTCGATTTGTTCGAAATTTTGCCGGACATTACATCGATTCTGCAATCGAAGATGCCACTGATGTTCAAGAACTTCAAAGAGAAGTTGTGGTGTTAATGACACATCTTGTACATAGTCTGAGTCGAAAACGAGACAATTCGATTGAGCATTTGAATCTGTTTCTTGAAGCAACTACAATCAAACAAATGATTTCCATAGGGGATCTGTTACAAAAACTCGAAAAACCGTACAGAGTACCGGAGATCTTTTTCCAATCGAGTATAAATTTTACAACACATTGGTACAAATGTGGAAGTAGCAAACGTTCGATTGATTTCAAACAAATATCTCCTGAGTGTCAAACATATTTCAATAACATCTTTGTTGGATTTTACCACGGTCGACTTCGGTCACGCGGTGCGTCAGCAGCGTGGGATTGATCGTCATACAACGATTCAATATACCGGATTTTTTCATATGACAATAATTTATTTGAAAAGAAATACAGTAACATTATTGTCTGTTTGTAGAAGTAGTTGCTCGATCTAGCCAAATGCTCAATACTGAATTTTCATACTTTAATGTTGAACTCGGCCTTGTCTCTGCCAACCAATTCGATAAATCTATCTTTAGATCTTCTGCACTAAAAGCTTCAAATGTAATACTCCATAAATATACCATTTGTTCAATAAGCAGTTTCATATCCTGAATACTGTTCGTCGTCACTTGGAAATGTCTGACATGATGTGGTACTAATGAACAGATAGTTTCGGCACTGATTTCCGAGTTATCGATTACTAGGGATTGTAGATGTGACGTCTGGTCGAAGAAGTGCGTGATATGAAGAAGTTGATCGAAATCATATTTGATACTTAAATTGAGCCTAATAGTCAAGTTAACAATGTGTGATAGATTAATGAACGAGGAGAGAAATTCAACAGAATTCATCGGCCATTCATCATCGATGTCGATCAACAGTTTAGTAAGATTCCGAAAATATGGATAGATTGCCGCTTGATTACCGTCGTCCTTATCGCCAGCCATGAGCTTTGTTAAATTCAGTTGCATTTCGTTAATATTGTCGGTCATTGATATGTCCTGGGAAAAATACGAATAGGTCGAATAGGAAAGCTTATCTTTGTTTGCAAATAATTTCACATTTGATTTGCATATAGGTAACGAATACAGACAGTAACTCGAAGAGCTCTTGAAATAGTAACAAGTTACAAACCATTGCTTAACTTCAAGCCAGAATGCCGTTCGAAAGGATGCGATCAATTTTTGAATTTCACTCGAATCATTCAGAAGAAGTGGCGCCTCACCGGGTAGCCCAAACTCAAATTTAGTTAATTTAAGTAGGTTTTTTTTAATCAAATTCTCCCAGAACAAACCATCACATAACTGCGAACCTCCAATGATACGGAAATGTTCTAATGAAGGTACTACTGACAATAATGATTCACAGCCATTCATATCCAATTCACTATCATTTAATGTGAGTGAAATTAATTGTGTGTACGCCATTGACAAGTCGGTATCACGATTGATTGCAACGATACAATCTTGAAGGACGATTTTCTTCAATTGTAATGCGCTTGAGAGGATTGTACAAAGCTGTGTGAAACCTATGCTTTGAGACATTGTTAAAGATTGAAGCAGGCACTCTTTTGACCATGATATTTGGTTGATATTATCAGTAGAAAGATCAAACGTTAGCGAGCGAAGCTTTGGACCGGAAATAATGGAAGAGAGTAACGACAATGTTTCGAAATTTTGAAAATTACTGTTTGAAAAGGTGACTGATAGAGATGAAAGCGTGCTTAGAGCCTGCAAGATGGTGTGAAAATCCTGATAATCGATCTTTAAGAGTATCAGTGATCGTAATCGTGTCATTTGTTGGAATGGAAACGAAGAGAGAAAACATTTGATTTGATCCACAGTTTGATTTTCGTTGGACAAAGTTAATGAGACGATATGTCCAGGATGAATCGAGCGACATATTGAACGAAAGTTTGGTTTAGACACAGATCGAAAATCAAGTTGATAGTGATTGTAGGTTTGAGCAATTGAATAGAATCGTCTGCATGTAAGCCTAAATGAGAATAGAATGGTTTGATTGTCCAAGATGCCTAAAATACGATAAAGAAGTTCATTGGGAAGTGTGCTGAGTGTGAAGCTGTGGCTGTTGCTCGTCATAATGTAATTCAAAACGTGTTTTTTTGTCTAGTTGCAAAGTTTATTATGAAAAGAAAACAAGAAAAAACACGATTTTTCTCTTTCGTTCTGTACAAAGATAAATCAGAGTACTGACAAATAAAAAGAGAAAGTTGCGTAGAGCAATTGTATTTTTATGAGAACTGCGCACATGCTTGTATAAATATCAAGATGTAAGAGACGAGATAATGGTTTTTCACTTGCCTGTGTATCAGATATAAATATCATTGTTCAGTGAATTCAACTTCATACCTTTTCCCATCCATCACTTCCGCCATCGTTTTTGAATTGACGCCAACAAATGATTTCATTTGCGTCAGTATTCCACTATTTTCGGCTCTTTATATTTCCTTCTTTCTCTTCTCTCTCTCTCTCTCTTTCATCCATTCATATCTCAACATAAGATGGCCTATACGCATACCTCGTGGTTGCGTACTGCGCTGGAAAAAGTTTACGTTTCCAAGACAGGATTGTGCTTTCTATTGAAATCCTTTCTCTTTCATTCCGTCGACGATTGCGACACCCACACCCACCCTCGAATAGTACATATTTCTTCCATCAGATTCACGATACCTGAGCGATCTTCCATCCTATATCCAATATGTATTCCTCATCACGCTTAACAGACACGCAAAACACTTCATTCTGTGTATTTCGCTTTTATTTTCATTCTGTCATATCACACACGGACAGGACATTTCCTCGCTATCATATCATCATCCGTCCAAAAACAAGTGTCGAAATGATGATCTCACGAACTGAGACCACTTGTTCACATCGATCGACGAAGATTTCGATCGATCTGATGCACTTAATCGTTTCAACTTCACTTTTCCGTCGATCCAGATTTGTACACGTGACATAAACCGCGGGTCTCGTCGAATCAAATATCGCGATGGAAGATGTTCTCTCAGCCATCCAATTAGGTCATCTTTCCAACAAAGTGATGACGATGATGACAAACGACTGACATCATCTTTGTCCTCTTCACATTCAACAATCAACAAACGTAGAATAGGAACTTTTGCAATGATATCCACGATACTGATTCGACTTTTCACTGCGATCAAAAGAACTTCACATCCCGCCATCATGGACGTTGACGACGAGTCGACGATCGTCGAGCATTCTTCTTTCGAATGATAGTATCGTCGATCGACTCGACTATTCAGTAAGTCAATTCGTCGAATCAACTGTTTCACTTTGATTTGAAATAATCTTGTCGAGAAACAATTAGTCATCAACGATTCGCATCGAAATGAGCGGAGACAAGTTTGTGCACGACATCGATCGAATATAGTTTGCAATTGATCATAAGCGGATAATTTGTAAATACAAACATTCAATGATTTCAAATGGTCGAACGATGCAAAATGGAATAAGAAATGATCGTCGACGAATGGAAGACAAATGTTCAGAAAAGTGATATGACGAAAGCGTACAGGAAATAAATAAAAACTAGCCAATGCTATTGTTTCAATGTTTGCACAATCCACTATTTTCACTCTGTCATATAATAAATACTGCTCATCTTCACGCTGGTGTCGGTAGAGAGAAGGAAGCGTCGATCTTGTTGATAACTTATCTGTAAAATCAAAATCATGAAAGGCGTAAGGCAGTGTATATAATGTTACACATTTGTACGGATCTGATTGATTCCAATGACATCGAACGTACCAACTATGGTCAGTGCACCAATATGCACTTTCATAAGTTGCCAAAAGTTTTGCAACAATATCATCAATATCTTCATGATCTTCACGGTAATCCATTTTCATCTTCATCTCGAATCTGTTCAGTTGACCGAGATTTGTTGCGATCAAATCTTGCCAATTATTTCCGTCGAGATGCAGCCGTAAGGTTGTGATTGTGAGATGATTAAGATTGGGAAGATGTTCGAATAGTGCCACTAACGATTGCAATGATCCACCATAGATCAGTGTCATTCTTGTCAGTGATGAACTCGTCGATGTCATATGATCATTGGATGAATATGAATAGATTGTGGTGCGGAGACGGTGAAGATGAGGTGTACAATAGAGAAGATGAGAAAGACAATGTAAATTGTGAGAAATATTGTTCAGAGAAAGATGTTCCATTGATGAAGATGATGGAAGAAGCGAGAGAGTATCGTCATTTATCTGAACACCATCCAGATGACAGTGTCGAAGTTTGGACAAATTCCAAATGTGAGCCCAGAAATGGTTTATTTTGTCTCTCATGTCATGCGTTTCATTGTTGTTGTTTGTCCAATAATGATATTTGCTGAGAATGGTTAAATGAGTGAGACAAGCGAGAGAGTGGCATTGCCAGACGATGTCATACTGGAGATCGAACGAAGAGATGTTCGAAAGTGAAAGCGATCGTAGATGAACGAATTGGTTAAGAGTCAAAATGATCGACGAATGCGGATGGTTACGAAGGCGAAGAAGTAGAAGAGGGAGATGAGGTGTTTCATCATCATCTGACAGATCGAGCGAAGTCAGTCGATCGATAATTGATGGAAGATATCGATGAGTAAGATCATCGAAATCTGCTTTTGAAATGGATCGCAGATCGAGTGAATGAGATTGAAAATGATAGAAAATCAAATGATTGAAACGAATATTCAAATTGAAAAATGCTCGAAGAAGATCCACAGAATGAATATAAGTGAATAGATCGAGAAGTAATTCATTGGCTAATAGTTCTAGGTGCATATTTTGAATTATTTTGTACTTGATTCGAGAAAGGATTAGATTGAGAGTTTAAAATATTTGATTTGTTTTTCTTTTGTAGCGATGTAAAAGCTTGAGTGTGAATCCTATTGAAGTATGCCTATTGATGTGTGACAGAATTTTTTTCGTTCTCTCTTTTCACAACGTTCGAAAATCGATATTAAGAGACACATGCTATTGTGTCTTCGTCTTTGGCCTCTCTTTGTAAATTATATATTAGATTTACTGTCAATCAGTACATAGCGATAGCAAAATGTTGTGCTGCAATTTGCATCGAAATGTCCTTCGGATAAATTGAACATTTGGATAATTTGGAAAGTAGTGTTCAGAATAGGTGGACATGATAGTAGGTTTTTCGTTTTGTACTCTGAGACCAATTCGTGAGTCAATTCGATTCGCTGTTCTCGTTTTACATACTCGGTTCGAGGAATGATGACGTATATAGACAGCACAGAGGAAGAAAGAGAATCTTTTTTTGCTATGTCATGCCTCGCCATCATGATAAAGGAGAAAAGGTTAGAATAAATGCAAAAATTCAATGCACGTTTTGCGCTCGTCAGCAATCTTTTTAACGTACTGTTTTAAAGAATTTATTGGAAGGTGAAGTACAATTATTTTCGTCATCATATCGGTTAGAGTGAACCAGAGTTTCTAAATATCAACTTCCTAATATGCGTCTAACTGGCTATCAGTTTTCCTGTGAAACGATATGACCTCGTTCGTCGCTGTTCCTCTCTATGTATATACGTGTGTATCCAGTTTTAATGGATAAATCTTCGTCTATTTTCTTTTCTTCTTTCATTTCATCTCCCAGGTGTTCTCAATAGTTTCTAACCGCTAAACACTAGAGGTTAGTGACCACTTCACCACTTCGTTCTTTGGGTTCGCTCTCCAAGCAAATTTGACAACTTCGTAATGTAAAAAGAATAGCTGTGTGCTGTGTTGTGGATCTAAGCATAAAACTTTGAATATACATTGCTGACTTCTTTTGTAGACATGTCTTCTTCTGTCTTTGTCATTGGTGCTAATGGTTACATTGGTCTAGGCGTCGCTTTGGCATTCCGTCGTGCTGGTTATCGAGTTTATGGATTGATTCGAAATGAAAAACTCGCTAATACTTTATTAAAAAATGAAATTGAACCACTCGTCGCGCAAGCATTCGATGATGTGCAACAGTTCACCGATATACTCAACACATGTTCAATTATAATTGATGCAGTTGGCTATCAGCCCAAACTCTCACGTGCTCTACTCGATGCAGCTGTTCGAATTGGAAACAATAGAACTCAAGATGGTAAATTAGCGCATTATGCTCCTCTTTATATTTTTACCTCGGGAATTATGACTTGTAAGTTCATTCAACTTAATATAACATTCATATCTTTTTACGATTTGCTGGTATAGATGGTGATACATCGTCAACAGGTCGTCGACCAGTCGATGAGATGGTGAAACCTCGACCTCCGCCACCGGCAACTGGGCGCAGTAGTGGCTCATCCACGTCCGATGTCACAGCAATGAAAGACAGAGAAGATTTCGAGAATCTTGTTCTCGCTACGTCTTCTACTGCACTGAAAACGACCGTTGTTCGCCCGGGTTTTGTCTATGGCGGGCAAGGTGGCTTCGTTGCTGATTTGTTTTATTCGGAATCGGAACCGTTGGTATTCCAAGGAAGACGAGACATGCGTTGGAGTTGGATACATATCGACGATCTCGGTGAAGGATATGTCGCTATTGGCAGAGCTCCACATGTCGTGGTTGACAAACAAAGTAGGATATTTTGTTTCACGATGATATTCGTTGCTTATGATTTCAATATGTATGTTTTAGTATACAACTTGGCTGCTCCGAATGACAATCCAACATATGAGGAATTGAGAATTGCAATGGCTAAAGCTCAGGGTCGAAAAGAAAAATTCGAATACAAAGAAGCTGAACCAGGTGTACCAACACGTTGGGACACAGATTCGTAAGTGATACATTGTAATAGTGTAAAATATCAAATCAATTTGCTTGTTTAGTATTATCAATCCAGCAAAAGCCATGAATGAGTTAGGTTGGCGGCCACGACATGTCGGTTTTGTTGAAGAGATTGAAACATATTACAAATCATGGGTTGCACATAGATCGAATGCTAAATGATGTGAATTTCAATTTACAAAGAGACTAAATAGTGAAAACAAGCGTATATTTTTTGTGCGTAAACTACAACGAACGTTGCACATATAAAGAGCTTTTATTCTGGTAGATCGCTTTTTCTTTGTTATGCATAAATAAAATTTGAGTACATAATGTATGACACGTAATCTTGAGAAAGGAAAATATTTATTTATCTATGAAAGATAACAATTGTGAACTGTCATAGTGTAAAGCTAAGCTCGTGTCTTCGTTTTCTGTTTAATACTTAGTTTTAAACGAATATTACTTGTATTCTTCTAGTCGAACTATTCCTGTCGAATTAACAAAATGGATGATTTTGTTTCAACTGAATTCACCTCAATTTATGAAGACGAGGAAAACCGGAGAAAGACTAGTTCTTTTATTTACAGTATTCCGGTTCACTCTCATTCTTCTATACCCAGTGTTGATCCAACAATCATTAACGATGCGACTGAGACTAACATCAAAGAGAAAGATGAAGTTCCCATACTTTCAATTCGACAAATTTATAAAAATCTTGCTATTCTTTCGATTGCGTTCGTATTACTATTTACAGCCTATAACGGTATAGCTGCACTCCAATCGAGTCTAAACACAAAAGGTAATGTTGGAATCAATTCTCTCCTAGTAAATACGATTTTCATCGCAGTATGTACACCAAATAATTAAAGTGTTTAATAACGAAACAAAAACCCGTACATTTCAGTTTAGTTCAATATTTCTGACTGGTATCGCGATGGACATATTTGGATTGAAATGGACTATCCTTATCGGAGAAATCACCTACATTTCCTATATTGCTGTTAATGTTCGACCTACACCGGCATTGATGTACACCAGTAGGTCATTTGTTAGCAAAAATTAATTGATGAGAAAATGTACTATGTCCGTGTAGCTGCAACTCTGTGTGGTCTGGTGTCTGCTCCACTATGGACTTCACAGGCCACTTATGTAAATTGTATTGCACGATATCATGCACGTCATACACAGAAGAAAGCTGAATTAATCATCAGTTTATTTTTCGGCATATTTTTTGCGGTATTTAGTATGAGTACCATCTGGGGCAATGCAGTTGCATATTTTGTGCTCAATGATTCGAATAATCCTCAACGAGTTAATTGTGGAATCTACTTCAATCCATTGACAAAAAATGGCACTGAAAAGTCCTCCAACATTGATGATACAAAAGTACGCTACATCGATTAGTCCAAGCTTTCACATATGATCTATTATTTCTCTTTTATACAGCGTTATATACTCTGTGGAATATATGCTGGCATGGGTGTAGTTTCAGTATTACTTCTGATTTTATTCCTTGATCCAATCCATTTGACTGAACGACGTAGAGAAGTGATCTGTGAAGACATTGCAAAATGCGTTTGATATTACGTTCATAGAACCGATTAAGCAATCACTAAAGAAAGCCATCGAAGTGCTCCGATCGTTGGTACAATGGAAATTTCTTGATCAATTATTGCTCGTACCAATAACCATATGGGCAATGATTGAGCATACATTTTTAACTGCACAATTTACTCGAGTAAAATCGCTATACCTGACGAATTTAATGTATTATATCTTATGTTTACTTCTACAGGCGTTTATCACTTGTCTCGTTGGTATTCGGTAAGAGTTGATTTGTTATATAAAATGTGATGATCTTTTGATTAATTATCTGAAACAGACGAGATGTAATTCGGCATTGATCTTCTTTTTGATTTTATTTAAATAGTTTCATCGGTTTGATATTGATTGGTAATGGTATATGTACTGCTTTGAGTAGCTACATATTCGGTAGGCTTGTGAAATGTATTGGTCGAATTGGATGTATTTCAATCGCTGCTATTATTAATTACTCGATGATCATCTTCATGTATTTCTGGGAGCCGAAGGACAATCAAATGTATATTCTTTTCATGGTGGCTGGTTTATGGGGAGTTGCTGATGCTGTTTGGCAGTCACAGATCATCGGTACGGTGATATATGCTTGTCTTATCAAGACGATCGTTTGTTTTTTTTCTAGCCACTTACATAGTTCACCATTCTGAACGCGACCCGACAGTTTTAGCAAAATACCGTCTTTGGAAAGCGATTGGTTCTCTTATAACTTATAGCGTATGATTATCAGATTACCGCATACTCTTTATGCGTATATGGATCTACGTTGTTTTTATTTAGTATGCCAGTTATGCGACAATTGAAGTGACAATATTTATTCTATTTAGCTTTCTTACAATTAGTATGATTCTCTATGGCATAGGAGAGATTCATGTCCGACGGCAAAGAATCAAATCAACTGACTAGTCATCGTTGATTTGTTTTTATAAATAAAATCCAATTAATAATAACTCTACAAGATCGTTGAGATTGAGTAAAACACTATGATATAACTCATATACAAAGATTTGAATAAAAAGTATCAATAACTGATAGCTGTTTTACTACATGTCATATGAAAATTGATAGTGCGCGCCAAGGACTATCAATTTTAACACATTGGTCCATATTTTTTCTTGTTGTGTGAACCTATGATTAATAACCGAATGACGTTTGCATGACATCCGTGAACTTCTAAAGACAGCAGATGAGTAATCTGATAAAAATCTACTCCCGAAGTCATGCCGTATAACGACAATATCCATTTATCATGAGCGGTTTGTCAGAATGTTCACTATAATATAAATATTTGTCAAGCATTTAAAAGTGTCGGAGGATAAGTCATCGATATTTTATTAGTGTATGATTCATGTTAGAAAACACCTCATTTTGTCGCCACTATAAATATCTATCATCCATTCATTCAATCTATAACTCTTACTCTATTGAGCACATCACATTAAAAACATCATAGTACGATGATGTACTTAATTTACACTCTCACAGGTAGAAAATTCAGATACATATTCTATAAAGTACCTATTTGTTCGTACAGGTTTATTGATTACTTTGATCTGCTGTTCCTGTAGCAACGATTCTCCATCAACATATAGAAATCTTGACACACGTTATACAACGAATTCAGATGTTGTCAACTCTTCATTGTCAATTGTGATTACAGAAAGTATGATTGTATTAGAGATGTCGATGCTATTCCTATAGAACTCGTTACAGGTCCTACAAAAATGAATGAAACATCTTTTACAACAGATGTGACAGTAACAATCGGCAATGTTACTCTGGAGTTCAATCCACCTTCGAGTAAATAACAAGAATAGATCCGTGTTCAAATAGAGTTCTAATCAATTTCTCGATTTTTTAGAGAAAAACCAGTTGCCTCTGGTCCTTGGTCTTTCGCTCGGACTTGGGATCCCGATACTTACAATTTTGATACTAATTGTCGTTTATCGCTATAAAAAAAAACGTCACCCATCACCAGTAAATGCAGCAAAGCGTAATGTTTTCTGAAAACCTATCATTATAAATTTCCTCCGTTGTTTTTTGTTTTTGTTTGATACGTGCTCGCGATAAATAAACTTCTCCTATCCAGAATTTTCAAAACGTATAACATGAGAAATTATGTTCGTCAATCGACTTCCATTGGAAACTTGATCTGATGTCGAAGTCTAACATTGTCTTGAAATTAAATACCTTCACGAAGAGCTTTTTCGTGCATGTAAGTATCACATGCACGTTGTTTTTTCAAACTTGCACAATAAATCTCTCTACACATACACAGTTGTCATCTGGCAACGGCAAGAAAGTACAGTATATACTGGAATGATAGATTAGGCTGCATATAAAAGTAGAATTTGGATGAAAATGAGATACATATCGGGATGACTATATGTTAGTTTTTACGAGATTTTAGTAAAATATTGACAAACAGATTCATTTAACCATTCAATGCCACTCAAGCGACGCCTTTGAATTCTCTAGATTATATTGGATTATTAGTGTTGACGAACTGCCAGACAAGTATTAATCTGCTATCACGGAAAATAGTCCCAAGATAAATTAAATAATTGTTCTCCGTGGGAAATCATAAGATTACTAGAGTCTATAATAGTAGATGCCCATCAATTTCATCTGACTGGAAAACAAGGAAACTATCTGCATTTGAAGATGCACAACAAGAACCAACAACAGCAACAGCACTCGCTCGACGAGCATGTGTACGAACCAGCAGATGATGTCAAGAGAGCTTCAAAGAGAAAACGGTAAAAATTGCATTCTATTCGACAGTTGTTTTTTTTTTCTATAAAATCGACACTACTCTCGATACTGACTAGAAATTTTCTAATGTGGATATTGCTGCTGCCGTGTCTCTTATTGTTATTGATACTAGCGATTGTTCTTCCTATTGTACTCGTGGCACAACAATCATCACCGAATGCATCAGGTCAGTGAGTAAAGCGCTCATTTGTCTATAAGTTTGCCTTTTGCAGCATCAACGTCCGAAACCACAGTCATCACTGCGTCTCGTAAGTTCACGCACAAACCTAAAGCTTATGCAATAGAGGGTGCAAAAATTATACTACATATTCCGTATCTGCCTTTCATGTCCTCCTCTTTAGTTACTTTCGTATCAACTTCAACACAAGCAACAACGAAAAGTAAGATTTCGATTCTGTCATCTGTCAGACTAATTTTCTCTGAATAGAATTATTTTTAAACAAGAGCGAGAAATCTTTTTGTATCTATTTTTAGCTACAGTGAATTGTGTGTATCCATTTGAACCAACACCTTCTGGACAATGCGTAAATATTTTGATTGACTTTAACAACTGTGGTTCAGTTGGTTATGTATGTCCAACTAATTATACAAGTTGTTCTGCTGGCGAGTGCAGTTCTGCTCCTAGTATGGTGCTAACGAATGCAATACCTATTTTTACTGCTGCATTGAATGGATCTATCGATGATATATATTATAACGTAACTCTTCCATTGAATATTACCCTTTACAATACAACAACAAATTTTGTTCAAGTGTCAACAAATGGTGTAAGAAGCTTCTGATCTACTTTCCTTCAAGAATATCCAAATAAAACTTGAAATGTGTGATCTCACTCATATTTATATATGTTTTTTAGGTTCTCTGTCTCGATAACTGCTCAACAATATACACTGAAACGACTCTCCCTAGTTCTAATTTTTCTGGTGCAACAGCTTTTCCATATTGGGATGATCTCTATGTGTATGCAAATACATCGCAAGGAATATATTACGAAGTCCAAGGCAACACGCCCAATCGTACGGTTATTTTTGAATACTACTGCAGTCATTACCGGAAACCCGAAGAATATTATCATTTTCAAGTTGTATTCTTTGAACAAAAGCCTGGTGTTGTTAAATACATTTACTATGATGTAAGTGACCGAGGTATTAGCTGCACCATTGGTATACAAGGTAAACATCTATAGAATAATTCGATTTTTAACTATAATTCTATTCTCATTAATTCAAGCTTCTTGTACTGGTCCATTTATGCAACATGCTTTTCATCAAATGAACTCTGCAGTACCAAACATGACATTAACTTATGATACCAATAAGGGAGCGTTTGATCTTTCAAGTATTAGCTAGAACATTTGAAGACTTCAGAACGCTCTTTTTTCTTTTTGATGTGATCGAAAGCGAAAAAAATTTCAAGAAAACTGAACAAATGTTAAGACTTAATACTGAAAATTGTTTCAATGGCTAAATGGTCAGAAGGATACTCATTCGATGGGAGACCATTAGGACCAATAGCTTCTTTGCTTGGCAGTTTCAAAATAGCCACTGGTGCAAAACCTCCCGGTTTATAAAAGATGTAATCGATAGTTCCGCATTGATCAATCTCGACTCCATCGCGTTCTCGAAATTTCCACGTGGTAAATGGAGGTTCTTGGTCGTTCAAGAACGTTCGGTAAGCACTAGAGAAACCAGCTTGACGAATAGCATCATAAAAAGGCTCATTGGAGCCGCCATTAAAATCACCTGCAATGATTACATGCGACTGTTGTGAATAATGTTCGGATAAATATTGAAGAATCGCCTGTGTTTGCGATGCTCGTAGATGAGCAAATGGTATCTTTGCTTTTAAATGTGTTCCAACAAAAACAATACTCGTTGATGATGGTTTATGCTTCAACTCAAGAGCAGCAAAGAACTATTCCAATGGTGAATTATATCGTACAGGTTGCCAAAGAAATATAGTTGACTACTAACCGGTTTGCCTGTAGTGTCGTCTTTAGATTGTTCATACTGATAACGTTGAATTTCTTCGAATAAGTGTGTTTTGTAACACAGAAGAACACCGTCCGCACCTTTGAAATTCGCAACATCATTTTGAAAAACTAAACATGGTGATTTCGGTTTTGGTGTAAAAAAACACGTGTAACTAAATCGAATTAAAATTTCGAACAAGGGAAACGATTCAAGTCTTGATTTACCCATAATTCGGTAGACGATGTTTCAAAAAACATTCATACGTATCTACTTCTTCCAATGAACATAAATCAGGTTGATTAACAAGAATTTGTTCCAAAATGCGCCATTTACGAGTAGCGAACGCTACTGTTTCATCTTTCACTCGGACAAAATTTCGATGGGGATTTGATAAGCCTAAATCAAATCTCGGTGAACGTCTTAAATATAAGAAATTTTATCACCGGATATACCTTGTGCAAGAATATTCCATTGAAGAACGTGAAGAGTTCGTTCGTTTGCTGAAGCATCACCTTGAAATTCTCGTTTCAAACTAGCTGGTGATATGTGTTCAGTAATTCTTTTTTAGCGAAAAAAAAACACATACACACATGACAGTTTCATTTTCTTTGCTATACATACTCGCTTAAACACGCAGCAGGTTTTCTTGCTGTTGCCATTCTCGTTATGTGATGTGTAGTCTAAAACAGTAAAAGAGATGTCAACGAAGTTTTTCTCTACTCAATTTTATTGTCGCAATATTTCGGCGAATAAGTACGACAACTATTTTTACCTACATATACAGACTCTTATGAAAGGATTTATGATTGACTAACATCGTACTTCAGTCGTGATATGCTTTAGAACGTGAGGTGTTTTGTCAAGAAAAGTTACCGGCAAAAAACAAAGTACTATTTAGTATAGTTTTTCCAGTTCCGTTTACATTATTGTGAAAAATTCTCTCACTAAAGTCACGCTTTGAAAAAAAATTTATCTTTCCTCTGTTCCTTTGCTTCTCAAGGAACATACATTCAAAGCAAGCTTTTCTATATACTTATCTGTTGGTGAATGTGCTTCAGTAATAATGTCGATATATTATTCATTTTATATATATAAAGACTGATAATTGCTGCTTTGAATCGCGATTATTGAATAAAACTATTTGTACGCGTCGACAATATTCGTCGCCAGTATTTATCGTAAATCCACATGTCTTGACTTAGAATGGAAAGAAAACAAACACTAAAAGAATGACGGCGTGATGCAGAGAAGAACGAAAAATACTTCTCTCCTTGATTCATTCATCGTACAGTTGAAACTTCACTTTATATCAAGTTCGCATGATATTTACTCGCTTTTATTTTGTATAATCTTTTTATCGAAAGAAAGATTTCTCAATGAGACGTTCTTTTAATTGCATAGCCGCGGAAGAATTTTCAGCAATTGGTATGCATAAGTTGTTCCAGTTTGTAAGATCACCATTTCGCCACTTGCGTTTCAGCAGATGACGATTTAGTACAAAGGAGACGCCCTTGTATGATATGCAAAGAGCAGTATTTATTTTGTGTCTATACTTTTACTGTACTGATTGAAACGTGTCGACACGAATATTCGACGAAGTAGATGACGAATGATGAATGATACACAAATATTATTGTGACTGCATGCTGAATAAAAAGAAAAAAAAAGAGACACAAGGAAAGAACAAAAAATATAAAATAAATAAGTTAGGTTTTTGCATGCTATAATAATGTCAACGGACCTTGAAACTTTGCCCAATGAGCTGCTCTTACAAGTCTTTTCGTTTATCGATGTTGTTCATCTTCTTCGAGCATTCATTCGACTTAACAATCGCTTCACCAGCCTCCTATCTGTTCATTTACAAATTCATCAGTTGAATCTTCGGCGTATCTCAAAGAATAACTTTGATCTGTTGTGTGACAAATGTCTTCCAATTTTTGTTCACTCTATTCGATCGATTTATTTATCAAATGAAGAAACACCATCACTCTACGGACAACTTCGAAATCGTGGATACAGCATGGACCGATTCATTTATCTCCAGTCACTTTCGTTAAATGACATATCTTGTATTGGTACATTGACATCAACGATCTCTTCTTGTCAAAGTCTTCGTCATTTCACTCATCTATTCATCAGCGATTGTTCTCTAGATGAAAATCAAAGGCGACAGATCGTGAACTTGTTCAATAATATTTGGTCGATCCCATCGTTGATTTATTGTGATCTGGACGGGATCGAAGTCTACCACATCTCGTTTACCAATTGTATTCTCTATTCACAACCATCGCCGATTCGCTATTTGTTCATGAAGAATATTCCATGTGATTTCCATAGTTTGTCAGCTTTGCTCACTCTCTTCACTCCACATGTTGAACAACTATCGACAAAAATCTATTGTCAATCAGTTCAGGACACATTTAGATCTGTAGTACCATCGCTACGATCATTGCAATTGTTCTTTCGAGGCGGTCACAAATCGTTGAGAAGTCTCCTGTCACATTTTCCTAATCTTCGACAACTGACAATTGAAACATTGGATCTACATTTGGATGGAGATCAATGGCAAGAGATTCTTTGTGCAGATGCTTACAATGTTGAAGAGTTTCATCTAAAAATGCAAATGGAACTGGCTGGGAATGATGAAGAAGTCGAAGATAAAGTTGATCAGCTGGTCGATAGCTTTCGTAAAAAGTACTGGATCGATGAACGTCGATGGTTTGTTCGATGTGATTGGCAATCATATGAGATCACGACACATGCTTACTTGTATACACTTCCATATGCATTCGCAGGTATTGACTACTGGAATGAGTATCATACAAAATCAACATGTTCCGATGAAGAGACGAAGAACTATCGTTCATATGACCGTGTCGAAATGTTTACAAACAATCATCGACAAAGTATGAGTTTGTATGACATTAGGTTGATATGTGATCGATATCGACGTCTTCGTCTTCTTGACGTTGTTCTTCCGTGTGAAATGGAGTGGCCAAACGCGAAAGACATGCAGTTTGATGAGTTAGTTTCGCTGACAGTGAGAATACAGATCTCATCTGGTTATGAACAGCTGCAGCGTTTGTGTGATGCATCACGTCGACTGTATTGTTTGCGAATCGTATTTTGGCGCAAATGTGTGGCGAAGTTATGTGACCTTAAGAGTGCATCGGTTCGTCGTGTTGAGCTGAGTGGGATGATGAACTGGAGTGGTGCTTTCGATCGAGATGAATGTATGTTATTTTGTCATTCATCACTTGGTCAACAGTGTGAAGTGTTGAAGATCGAAGTAGAAGATCGCCGAGGTATCCTTGATCTGGTGGAAGAAATGAGTAATATTCGACTGCTGAGCATTCGATGTCGTGATGATCGATGGAACGGAAGAAAAGAGAGCCCAACAGAAAGCGAAATGATCTCTTGGTTGACGAAGCATCTTCGAGCGAAAAGTTTTATCACGAGAAATGTGCATTGGTCATCATATATTGATATATGGATTGATGAAGAAGACAAAAGAGAACGGAGAAAGTACCAGGAGACAAAATCATGGGAAGGATGGCATAAAGTGGGGCAATTTCTGACATCAATTCAAAATTTGTTACGAAAGAAATAAAGACGAATAAGTTATATTCAGTACATAGAAGACAGTGAGCTTTGTGATTTTGTAGTTTGTTTTTTCTCGATTAAAAATTATTCGACAAAAGAATATATTTTAGGTCTGTAGTTATATAACTCTGCACGCTGCTAGTGGAAATCATGCGATGTATATGATTTTAAGATATGGCATTGCTTGTCCATATCGATAAACGATATATTCATCAGAATATGGTAGTCCGGAAAATGTTGCATGTACTGAATGATGATCTTTAGGAGCAGATACGAGATTTGAATTTGTTGTTGCTAAAGGAAATTCTTTTCCTAGTATCACCTTATTAAAGTACATGATACGTGTTTGATCACTTGGATTCGACTCAGTATATATATGTGAAACACTTGGATTATCAGCAAAGTAAGCACCGTGACCTGCGCATAGAAAAACGAATTTAGATTGATAAGTTGTTATTCAATGAACGTTGTGCGCAAACTCACCGAATTTACCGCTGCCGAAGTTTGTTCCCCAATATCGGTCATCGTATCCGTCATTCAATATACCATCAATAGCTATACCTTTAGTTCCATGGAATAATTCTTTTTCATTTGGATTTCTTCCTGGACATTGCTTTGCAATGATTTTTTTCATCGATAAATACATATCTTCTATGGATGGATTTCGAATTTGTTCAATCGACTTAATATTTGCTTGATTTCCAATATGAACTTTCATCTGCTGAACTATATGCTGGTATAAACACGTATTTTCGGGTAGCGGAACAAGTATTGCGTGATATTTCGGCGGCGGATCAGGTACAATAAGCATTGCTTGTCCAAGCTGTGTCCATCCTCGGCTTTGCATTTTTTGTATTCGCATTTGAATTTGCCCTTCAATAGGACGAAGAACTTGGAATCGTTTGTTTTTGATATTGTCAACGATAGCTTCTATATTAATCGAGTACGGCTTTTGCTGAATATCAACTCTCATTCCAAGTTCTTTTGTATAATTTTTTTCCAATGAAAGATTACTAACATCGAAATCGATCCGATCATGCGTAAGAGCAACATGAGGTTCGATTAAATCCATTGTGAATGCGCCTGTTTTCGTAGTTTTATCAAATAACAACACATAACGCCAATCTTCTCGTACGACTTCGCATTCAATTTGGTATCGATGTAAATGATCAAGAAATTTATCAATATCAAAGTATTTATCTGATGGAAGATGACAGTCGAGATCTGAAGGTATCAAACTTTTATCCAGATAAGGCACTTTAACTCCAGCCTTGTTTGTATTAAAAGTGACCCATGTTGACGGATCTGTGCTAGGCCGACCAGTATAATTTCCAACAATCCAATCGCGAATGAATCCACCTTCTAATCGACATTCGAATTGGGTGACAGCTATCCAAGCGACGACTTCCATTCGTGTTTCACGCGTTGCTTTCGAACCTTTCAAGCTTTTCCACAAATCAATAGATGTACGTTTACTGTCAGTGACATGTGAAATCTTTTCTTCGATATCTAAACAATTCTTTCGCATTTGTGGTTTCAGAATACGTGGTGACACACCTAAACAAACAATAGACGAATCTATATCATGTACTACTTGTGCTGATCTTCGCTTACCAGCATTTGGATGTCGAATAACAGCACAGACTTTAAGCCATCCAAGAAATGATTGAAACTCATTGTAAATCAGTTGATTCTGGGAATCTCTTCCAGTTATCGTTACTTCGCTTTCGTCCTTGAGAAAACTTTTAGCGACATGAATTTTCACTTGCCGTTGGGCTTCCCATCGCCAAATCATGGGTCGAAATATCCAAGTCATATTCGAGACACTTTCCAAGTTTCTTGCCATTCTCTTGTGATCAGCAGATGCGCTGGGTAGGTATGGATTCGTTAATTGAAATTTCATTTCAACGATCGATTGTCGCAGAACAAATAATTCAGCTTGAAGTACTTGGCCAGCTTTTCCTACAAGGAGAAGCACATGGTTGTTGAGCTGTGCTACAACTTGAGGATATCTTTGCTGTACTAAAGCAAGAATACTGTTTGAAACTAAGCTAGATTCTTCAGCAATATTGAGAGTTATTTTTCTGCTGATTCTCTGATCATCGATCCATTGTGAATAGATTTCACCAACGAAGGAAAGAACAGCGGTTGAACGGATCGATGATGAGAAACGAACATCGCGTGCTAGAATCAACGCAACAGGCGCAGCCGAAATACTACGAGTCAATGTCGATTGAAGATCAAGTACAGCGAAATCTTCTTTTCCGGCAGATGTATATCGAGTGAAAAGGTGAGTTTTGCCTTGTAGTTCTTTCATTGATACGAATACATTGTCACCATATCCATCTATTAACGCGCGAGCAATCAACGACCAGTCACCACTAGAAATAAATGCTTTTGTTCGATATTCAGTAGATCTTTTGAAAGCTCTCTCAAGATTCTCATATCTCTTTAATGCGTGTCTTATCACATGTGTTATTTTGTCAAGTTGTTTAGCCTGACAGACTTTATGTAATTTGAATTGACTGGATGGAACGCTTTCTCTGACTAAGAGAACCTCATACATTGCTACCAATATACTCATGAAATCACCTTCCGGTCGTTTCATTCGATCAGGAAGATCTCTTAAAATAGACGATGTGTTGAGAACACCAAGAATGGAAGAAAGCACAATAAGGTCATAACCACAATTATATTTGTCTAAAGCAGATAGCACGGCTTTCGACATTGCCAGTGAGCCGAAATCAGGTAGGCGAGAAATTCCAACTCCAATTGGTGTCAGATTTTCTTGTGCATTTAAAATATCTGCAGTAGACAGAGGAAAAGATCGCGATGTTGAGAAGTTGATGAACAAAAGACTTACTCAATCGTTTGAGCTCGTTCATTGCAGCATTGATGGCTTGAGGAGACGGCGAATCTGGTAAGAATTTTTTCATATAATTCAGTCCTTGTTTGATCAGTGATCGTCTCAACGAGAATTCAACGTTCGATAATTCTGATTGACAAATTTGCGGTTTTGGAAATCGTTTTTCTTCGACTTTGAAGTCATACAAAGCGTAATATTCACCGGGCTTTGTTCTACCCAAGCGTCCAAGGCGTTGTTTAATTGTTGACTCAGCCGCTCGAACTTCTTGAAGCATTGTTTGTTTCGTACTGAAATCATAAACAGGAACATTGACCATGCCCGTGTCGATGACGTATGTTAACGATGGAAATGTCAGAGATGTCTCGGCAACCGTTGTCGAAAAGAAGATACTTCCATGTTCGATAAAGTCTTGTTGTTCGTTGGCAGATTGTGCCTGAATAAGCGGGTAAGCAACAAGCGTTTGTCGACTTATTTCATGAAGAAGTTTGCAGCATTGATGAACTTCACTGACACTACTAACAAAGCATAAGATTTGATCATGCCGTTGTCGTCTTTTGCATAATTCCTGGACAAGGTCGAGAATATTTTGATTTGGTCTGGAAATTTTTGTGACATGATATAATGTGCCGAGGTTGGTCATTTGAAATTGATCAACTTTTAGTTGAGGAATATTAGTAAACAAAGTTGGAACGGATGTGTCGAGCGTAGCTGACGAAATAATGATTTTTATCTTTGATTTCAGTTGTGGCTTTTCAGTTAAAAGGCGAGCAATCAATGCTAAACACAAATCGATATTAACCGATCTTTCGTGAACTTCGTCGATGAAGAAAACAATAGATTTGTTCACTTTTGTCTTTTCGGTGATCAACTGTTTATCGTGCAGTAATCGTTCTTTTAGTAGTCCATCTGTCAGGTATAGAATTGGAGAATTAGTGGAATATTCCTCACCACTAACAGCCCATCCGGCTATTTTGAACGTTCCGTTGTTTCCCATCATTGTTTGATTGACTCGGTCACAAATTGCTCTGCATGGCAGTCGACGTGGCTGAGTGACGAGGACTTTATCGTAACCTTCAGCGATGAGAAGAGCAGGTAACAAACTTGATTTCCCTGATCCTGTGGATGTGGCTATTGTTACAACTGTGCTTCTTTGTATTTTAGCTAACAATTCTTTCGATGCGTCGTAAAGAGGTAATTGGAGAAGAAAACATCGATAATATAACATGATTCGGTGCAATAGTTTTGGAATATGTTTTAACTGAGCCAGTTCAAATCCATGATATTTCGTATCAGTTTGAAATTCCTTTTTTGCTTGATCAATGAATTGATTCAAAGTCTGAATCGACATTCCTGATGGCTTTTTCTCGAATTTCGTTCTTTCGGATAGTACTTGCTGCTTGACAAATTCATTCAGTGCTTGCACCTTGAGAATTTCAAGTTCAGGTAGCAATTGTTTCCTTTGAGTATATCTCGCTGACAGTTTTAGTAACTGCAATGATGGTTGAAATGCAGCATCAGTAATCGATTGTTCAATCATATTCTTTGATTCGTGAGAGATATATTCATCGAATGCGTGAGCAAATTCTTCGATTTTATGTTGTACTGATTCCTGAAAATATTTTGTATAGTATCGCCAATTAGTGGAGGTCTGAACTGATTGAGTCATAATTTGATGGATTGATGAAAACGTTCGATCGAGCTGTTGTCGATAATAAGTCTTAGTTGATTGAACAACAGTAAATAAGATTTTTAAACGACGTATGATTAGTCGAAACTCATCGTGATGTGCTTGTACACCTGTTAATGACACACAATAAGACGTTGCATTTTCCGTCATTGTCATAGCAGGAATCCCGACAAAATATTTATCGAGTTTAAATTTAGATTGAAGATGTATAATGATAAGTTTTTGGTTAGGAGCAAGGAATAGTTTAACAAGAAGTGCATCTATATCGACGTAGTCTACCGCTTTGATCTTTTTGCTTAGATGTTGAAGTTTCTGTTCGCGAGCTTCTTTAGTATCTAACTGTTGTTGAAGTCGTGCAAGCTTCTCATTAGTTTGCTGCAGCTGAACATCTTTTTCTTTGGATTGCTTCTTTTGTGTCTGTTTGCATTGTTTTGCTCTCAACTTTTCTTGCTCAATTTGATTTCTTAAATCTTGAAGTTCTAATGCTAACTGTTCTCTAATTTTGTTTGCTTCTTCCTCTCGTAAGAGTGCATTTTCTCTTTCTACTAGTACTGCTGGTTTCATGTCTTCTATCGCTTTGTTCAAAAATTGTTCAGCAGACACCGCAGTGTCTTTCCGATCCATCGGCGATGTCGTAATAGTAGTAGTAGCGGAATCTGATGCTGTGGGCGTCGAATTCGTAGAAACAGTTGCGTCGGTAAGATCACTAAGACTCCATGTTCCATTGTTATCGTCTTCAGTCTAAATAGAAACTCTTGTACGAATTGAAGCAAAAACAGTTGGAAAAGTAAGGACAAAAGAACGTACTATTCTATAGTTAACTCCGAATCCAGTATCATCATCATCATCGCCGGTATAGTCATCGTTTGAAAATTGAAGCGAAGCAGCCATGTCGATACTACTCTCATCATTTTCATTGTCGGAAGTATCACCTTCATCGTCGACATTTGTAGCAGTTGTCTTACTTCGCTTTTTTCTTGACTTAGACACTTTTTCTAAACGTTCGATTGTTAATGGCACTGGATCGTCAGTGGCCTTCGGCTGATAATTATCAACAATGACAATTTTCTTTCCATCGCTATCATCATTTGATACGAGCTTGGGAATCCATCGTATATAGCCAGTAATCGTTTTGTCTTTGTTTGCAAATTGAAATGTCTCAAGGTTGACTACCAGTTGATCAGCAATATAAGGAAAATTAGCTTGAATAACTCTTCGGCGATAGTTCATTGCTTGATCTAAACATCTACTTACATCTTCCACACAGCTATACCAAGTATTCAAATGAAGTTTGAAACACTTGTCATCCATGGGAGGAAATTGTTGCACATTCAATGAAGTCGTCGTGTCGGCCTCAATTCTGTCAGCTTTATCAAATGCAATGACCATGATTTGCCAAAGTGGAACACAATCAAAATTGAGAACGCTTGAACCACGACATCGAACCCATGCCATATTCTTCTGCGGATCTTGGGAATGTCTTCCTGATCGACAAAATTCCATAAAGGATACAGTATACAAACCTTTCTTTACGTTGAGATAGACTTGTTTTTGAAACTTTTCCGATGGTAGGAGATTTTTGTGTAGTTCCGTTGCTTCTGGCGCTGAAAATTTGTACCATTTTGAATCTTGAAACGGTTTGTATTCCCACATACAATCTCGAAGTGGTCGTTGACTTTCGTCCAGAATTGGATAAATAGGTAACTGATCAGAACCGTTCATCGAATAGTTAAGAAGAAGATACTCTTGAAAGAATTTTTTAATCTCAGGATGAAGTAAACCATTTTCGATTGGCGTTTCATGGGCTTGATTATGACTGAAATAATCAGCACCATGTTGGACAAGATACTTAACAATCCGTAGATGATTATTGAAACAAGCGCCATGCAGTGCTGTTGAACCAGCAGCTGGTTGAGGACTATAATCTTTTAGATCTGCACCTAATGCGAATGCCATGTCACGCTGATTTTGAGCGTTGACTGAACAATGTGCTTCTTCAATCAAATACTTGACAATATCGAAATGATTGGTTTTCGCTGCTGAATACAGCATAGTTGTTTGCCAGAGACCCGGTTTATTTCTATATCGTGGGTGCTGATCAATAAACGCTTTAACTTTATCGATTTCACCATTCAGTGCCGCTGGATATGCTTCTATTGAAGCTAAGAGACCTTGTAATTCTTGATGTAAGGGATTCAAGAGTTCAATAGACAATGATGATCTGAATAGTTTCTTCTCATTGTCATATGTGTACGCGTGAAGAGAATCAATAAGATACTGCGAAGACTCTCTTGAGAGTTTTGGAGGACTTTGCTCGAGAATAGTTTGAATTTTGGATGTTAAAGTGGCGAGACAATCGTTTTCCTCATCGTTTAATGTAAATGTACGGCTATCTTCGCCTATACTTGAGCTTTCGTCAATACTCTTGTCTCGTAATTGCTCTTTGTATTTATTCATTTCTCTTATACTCTTATCAACCGTTTCGATAAGTTTTGTCAAACATTCTTCTAATTCTCTTGTGTTATTCACTTCGGGCATCTTCAAAGAAAAGTATTATGAATCGAAAAGAATAAACAATAACTTGAATGAAATCACTACTACCTATTGCGGAATTCTTCTTTCACACATCGTAGACAATTCTTTATAGAGTAACGTAAAAAATATGTTTAGTTTAGAGAAAAAAAGAATAGCTTTTTAGTTGGAATTTTCCAAGTGATAAAAAAATTCAGAGGCAAACATCATATGATATTCTTACAAATCTTTTCAATAACTTAAACTAATTAAGTGTAAGAAAAGTACATTAATAACTGTATTTCAAAGAAATTTGAGTATCAAGATTTTCACTTACTTCTGAATCACTGCTGAGAAGGCGTAGCTTTGAAAAAGTTCTTCACTCACCGTCTGTATTTATTATCCTGTTTATTTCTCTTCTTCCTTTCTCTTTTTTCTGCTTGTCGCAGAAATCTTCGAAATTTACATTGACTGAAAAGCAAACTAAGTAGAAGTTGTGTTAAGGGTATTCATTATGATACGGATACTCATCTGTTGATCTTAATAGATGTACTGATCGCGTATTCAGCATATTTGATTGTCGAATAAAATAGCAAAGAGAGAGAGAGAAACTAAATCAATTTATTTGTCCTGTTCAGAAAAATCGAAATCCAATACAACTGGTCGATGATCTGAGGATAACGTTGAAGGAACTTGTATTTCGCAGTTGAACTTAATCTGAGTAGGAAAATTTTCACTTTTGAAAAAGAAAAAATAATCAATACGTTTCGAGGGATTCAATGCATCAAATGTATATCCATTTAAATTCGATGGATCAATTATTTTTCGACAAATTTCGTCCGCAGTCCAAAGATCAGTGAATAATGAAAGCATTACATCCTTAATTGAATCATCTGTCGGAATTGTATTAAAATCACCTGTCATGAAAATGACATATGGATTATGAGTAACATTAATTATGCTATCAGTCATCCATCGAACTATTTGTTTCGCTTCAGTTAATTGCTGCAAACCACCTAAACCAATACCCAAATGAGTCGTACCGAAATAGATCGATAGTTGAGTTTTGTCTTGTAATTCAAATGGAATTTCGAATAGAACGAGACCTTGACAATAATCCCCTTCTTTTGACACTTCACATTGCTCAGGTGTTGTGTTATTATAATGATATGTCAATACACGATTCACGGTTGATTTCTTCGAGAGAATCGATACTCCGTAACCACCATTTTGAAAGTTTCGCATTTTTTCAAAATGATATGACTGAAACGGTTGTTCGTGATCATACTGAGCAATGAATGTCGTCTGATCAACGGGATGTCGTGTTGTCTTATTGTCGACTTCTTGTAACGCAAGAAAATCAAAATTGAAATGTTGAATTGTTTCCGCCGTTTCAGTTAGATTATAAACATGTTCGAAATTACTTCCAGCTTGAATATTGTACGTGCCGAATCGAAATGAAAATGTCGATGAAATTAAATTAATAAAGATAGATAAGAGAATATACTTCAAATGCTTCATTATTTTCGAAACAAGAAAACAAAACAAAACGATTAAAGCGACACACACGTCTTCGACACGTTTCTCTTATAAATGTAAAGCGAACTTAAGATAAGATAAAACGTTTTTCCTATATAGATATCTTGTAAAAACCTGAATTCAACTATTCATAATGAAAAGTACAGAGATAGTAACGACTGAAACAATCGGATAACTAAACGAGTACTTGGACTCACCTTCCGAATCTGACGCTATTGCTTGGTTTGCGGTTAATTTACGCATTCTGTCTATCGATTTATTATATTATCATAGTGAATCATGAGCTTTATACAGTTGTTTTTTAAAACTTTGATTCCCTTACACGCTCTTTCAGACTCTACTCTATTCGATCAACTGTGGTACAGTTCGTGGTAGTAAATTCAGGAAGAGAAATCAGTGTATCCTGTAGCACATGAATATTTTCAGTTTATTGAAATCGTGGCATTTTGCTATTAATCACATGAAAATAAGATATTGCTTATTTTCATATTCAATCTTACATTCGCGTTAGGTAACACATTTCTATTTGATTGATATATTTTTTTGATTTGCTACACCATTAGAAATATTTCTTTTATATTCATATACAAATGAATCAGATGAAAATATCAATCTACGCACAAACACGATGTTGAAGTATGTAAGCACATGAAAAATACATAAAAAAAAAAGAAAATGAATATCGGCATAGTCAATGATTGATCATTAGCACATTAACAGTAGACGTTATAAATTCAACTATCAGCTAAGTTTACAACAATGTCTCGATTTGAAAAGGTGCCTATGTATTTAAGCTACCAAACGGAACAAGTACATAAGGCGACGTAGACGTTTCTTCACATGAGAAAGTCGCGTAAGCCTTCATGCATGAATTACTATAATCGTAATAATAATGCCTTTCTTTCTCACATGTATACAGATTGTTACCTTTTCCTTTTATTTACATGTGAGTAACATGTGTTTGGCTACTTTTTTTTATTCTGGATAGAGAAATCTCTAGCCATCATATCTATCATGTCATAATTGATACGGTGAGTTTAGTGTGTCACGCTTCGTGAGGAATGAACAGCATTTTAGTATAATTACACTATTTTGACTCGAGTTTCTCTTTTTGGTATAAGCACTAACGGTCTTTTGATAAAATGTGGTAGATGTCATTTTCAGATGCAGCTCGCTCTCATTCATTCAATTCTTGTCGATCTGAGTTTTTGTGCAATATTCAATCTGACGAAACGTCGTTACCTACATCAACATCTCTTTTCTTGCCCAATTCGAAGTCCACGACAAATACTCTTTCGTCGTTGAAAACATCTGAAAATCAACATAATTCACAATCGAATGCCAAAATAAAGGATACGTCCAATGTCATGCTTGATATCAGTCGTCGATTACTTAAACGGAAAGCACTTTTTGGTCATCTGTAAGATCTATTCATTTGCATAAATATTCTATCGTGTACTTTTCTAGTTCAATTATCAGTAATATTATGTGTTTTCTTGGTTTATTAGGCATAGTTCTTATGATTATGGAAAATGAGATTCGATTTTTAAATAAATATGAAAATAGTATCTATCTTTGTTGGTTTATCAAATTAATAATTACCATAACAACGATAATTCTTGTTCTCTTGGTCTTCTATTATCATAAAGTAGATTTAGATTTATATGGTGTAAGTAATGCTATTGATAATTGGAGAATCGGACTCACAGCAAGAAAAATCATTCTGATAATCGTCGAAGTATTGATTTGTATAATACATCCTATTCCAATTGAGCTCTTCTCTGTATCAAGCATGTCACCAATTTATACTAATGTTACTATTAATGCTACTATCAGTGATTTGGTTCCATTAGACAATACTCAGTTGAATGTTCTACTCGGTTTACCAAGTATGTACGAGCGAATTTTTTTTGTATAAAAGACCGAATAATTCGTTTCTATCTTTATTCAATTAGTGTTTGCACGCTTGTACCTAGTTTGTCGTTTTATTATGTTTCATTCCCATTTGGTGCGTGATGCATTTTCACAGTCATTGGGTTCCCTTAATCAAGTATCTCTTAATTTTCTCTTTCTTTTGAAAACATATTTACATCTATGGCCGACACGTTGTGTATTATTTTTCTGTGCATTACTTTTCATTATCGGGAGTTGGTCATTACGAGTCTGCAGTTATCGATCATCGATAGAATTTATGTCAATGCTTGATTGCATGTGGTTATTTATTGTTACATTTACTACTGTTGGTAAGTTAACCTGTGAGAATTATCGACATCTTCACGATTTGATTGATTGATAGGATACGGAGATTTAACACCAGCAAATTATTGTGGAAGAGGTATGATCTTATATTAGTTTTACCTCAAGGATGGTATAATCTCTTTTTTTTGTAACCGCCCAGGTGTTGCCGCGATTACAGCGCTCATTGGTGTGTTATCAACAGCACTTTTAATTTCAGTTCTTTCTCAAAAATTAGAATTTAGCCGATCAGAAAATTATGTCCATAATTTCGTTGTCAATTTAGAATTAACTAAAGCACGAAAAAATCAAGCAGCAGATGTGATTAAATTTTTCTTCAAAACTTGGGTTTTAAAGCGTCGACATCGAATGCACACATCGACATATTTAACAGCACAACGAAAATTATATCGAGCACTTCATTTCAGCAAGCAATTGAAAGTGGAACAAAAACGCTTGGTTGATGTCTGCGTTGGCCTACCTGAATTGATAACGATGCAACGGCAATTGAGTGCAAAATTTCAAGAGTATGGTGCTACACTAGCGACAACGACTATGAAAGTGGAAAAGATCGAAAACAGACTTGTTAATATCGAACAAAAACTGACGAATATACAAGAAACGCTCCAGTCGTTGCTGGAAAAACTATGAAAGTGAATTTTAGGAAAATTTCTGTGTTTGAAACGGTGGATTTACGCCTCCATAGAAAATGAAGATTTAATCTAAAAAACACGGTCTTTTATTGTTATTTTTTTGTATCGTACATATTTAGTTGCAGAACGAAATCATGTTTTATTTCGAATCTCAAAAGATACACAAACAGCTGATTACATATGTTTCATAATTGTTCAATTTTGTTACCTAGTCTTCCTGATATACATTTCAATACTCAACTGGAGTGAACTTATACAGAAAGAGTAACAACAGCAACACTCCAAGACGGAATAGTCATTGACCAAACACCGTTCGTTACTGATATTGGTGTTGTAGCAATCGATGCCGCATTGGGATTAGTGAATGTGTTCTGTACTTTCGAAGGATTGACGCCTGAACCAGCTGTTAGAATGTAAGCAACATCTGTATTTGAGATTGTCGAACCCTGAATCTGAGCTTTAACAAGAATATCGTTTTCATCTACACTAGCTAATTTAACAATAAGTTTGTTGTCACTGATGCGCTTTGTTGCAACAAAATAAAGATTGCCGAGTTTACCATCGCCCCCCTGTCCACTCCGGATCGATTGATGTTCCATAGTATTATTTGCAGCGGTAGAGTGCAGTATAAAATTTCCAAGATTTTCACCAAACATTTTTTGTGCGAGATATGAAGTTGATTTGATCACTACTCCAGCGAGTACTTTGGGTCCTGGTCGTGGCACAGTTTCATAGCGACGAAATCTTTCTAAAAAATATAACGGCACTTGATAGTCATGATCATCGACAGTTGGTGGCGGACTGATGTAGCCAGTTGTTGTTGCAATAAATGTGATATAGGAATATCGTTGAGAGAGAGCATTATGAAAAGCAGTCCATCGGTAACCATACGAACTCGGTACAGGACCAAGAAAGTCTTCATTACCAATCTCAACATATCGAATGTCAAACGGTTGACTTCGACCTAAACGTTTGCGTAGAGCACCCATTTGATCATCATCTGCTGACGCAGTTAGAAAGTCTAGTTCTTTGATTACTTCGTCGGTGTAAGGTTGTAGCTGATCCCGCGGTACGGGTTTACCATCGAGTGAGTAACCAGCATAAACCGCTAGAACTGGTGTTGCGCCAATAGCTTCAGCGAAAGCTAATATTTCTATCAGTCCAAGATCCTGGTCGCCCTGGTCGGTTCTCCAAAAACCCAATTGTGTTATTCCAAATAAAGCGTTCAGATATTGTTGGGCCTTCAAGGTCGTTTCCGCCGGGAAGTCGAATAAAACCAGGTTTGAGATCCGCCAATGCTTGTGCAATGTCTACACGAGCTCCGTTTGGTCGATTATTGAATGTTGATGGAAAGCAAGATATCAGATTGAATTCAAAGTCACCTTGAGTACCTTCTGGAAATTCGATAAAGAAAAAATTCTTTGTAGTCGGAGCAGCAGTGGAAACCGTTATAACGAATGTAAGATAAAACCAAGTATTCACAGGTGCTTTGATTGCATCTATCGTAGTTTGACCATAAATAGTTTGACCGCTCGAATCGCTAAAGCCGAAGTTCACTTTGCCGCCTGACACTTCTGAACCTGTCAATGATCGAGCGAAGAGGGTTGTTGTATAATTTTGAGCTAGAAGATTTATTCCATAGAAACCACCGTTTCTAATACCAGATGCTGCAGCTGAAGGAGTATTGATTGAAAACTCCATTTGAACTGGTAGAGCGCTAGTTAACGGTTGATCGTTACTGAGAGATATCGATGATTGACTATCCATCCAAAGATCGACCCTGTTCTAAAATAGAAATTCTCTGTAATTCAAAGAATTGCATTTTCAAAAATATGAAATAACCTTGAAAAGCACGATTGTAAATAAGCTCGGCATACAAACCACCATCATCGTCTCGATTAATATTTGTTTCCAGAATAATACCATGCATTGTTGATGGAATAGCTTGACCAGTTTCGGCATTTTCAATTTTCAATGATATCACATTTCCATTGTTCATACGATCATTAATTGATAATGGTGCAGCTGTTATGAAAGAGTCAATGTAGAGAACGACGAACACCAGAATAATCTGTGCATACATTATGCAAAAGAAGGTAAACGAAGTTAATGGTACGAAAAGATAAACATTCTTTTACTACCTGTCTGATAGGAAACATCTTGTAGATAGAAATAAAACCAAAACTGAGCGATCTCAACTATATTAAGCTGTAAGATAAGTCGTCATCTAATGATAACTGAGTAAAAGGTACGCACTGCCGAAATACGATATAATGATCCGAAAAAGAATCTCGCGATACTTTTACTTCAAAGGGTAGAATCAGTAATATTGCATACCAGTATTTTATATTTTAATATGTTAATCACTCTCATATACTTCAAAATACAGTATTTATGAAACAATCAATGTTTTTCGACAAATTCAATCAACGACGTATGAATTTTATCATGATACGGAATCCTATTCCTTTGAATAAATCTGGCACAGAAACATTTTAAACTAAGGTTAATTTTCAATTTAAGTAATTGTCTAGTAGTTGAATTCAAAACGACATCCATCGGTGTTTCTCCTAATGCATTGACACAATCCATATGTGCATGAGCAGAATGGAGAAGTTCGATAGTACCGTCATTGAATGTATTCGCATTGCTAACAAACACATGAAGAGGTGTATCTCGTACGGCATCCATTGCATTAGCATCTGCGCCACACCGTAAGAGTAATCGAGCGGTGTCGAAAGATGGGTATCTACAAGAAGAAAACATTGATTGCTATTGAAATATGGATTATTTCGATGTATACAAATCTGACCTGCAGTTTCGATCAATGAAGTAATCATTTGCTGATGACGTGCTGTTTAAACTCATATGTAATAGAGTAGATCCATTTGATTGACTAACAAATTGGCGTTGAACAATCGAATGAATATCCTTCTGCAATACTTTCTGATCACGTGTTGAGAGTTTTGTTTTGGATAACATCTACATATTTGAAATTTAACAAACAAAAGAATAGATCTTTTCCATTCATCTGTATTTTACCTGGCTGGCGACAGTAATCAAATAGAGTAAAGTATATAGATGGAAGTCAAAATCTGTTGTTGCATGATTTAATTCTTCTACGATGACACTGGTCACTGTTTGCCAAGCAGAGATGGGTATTATTGTCGATATGTATATCATATCGCTAAAAATAGAAGCCCATTGTCGTAATTCATCCCTATCCATTGGTATTGAATGGTGTCGTCGTAATTCAAGTTCATACAACCATAGCATAACGCCGTCATAGTGTTGAGCATTATCAGCTAGTGCAGCACCACGATATCGAAGTGATTGCAGGTATTTTGCATTTTTAACACCAAGCAAACGCTCACGGACAAGTAAAGCTTCGCTATAGATGTTATTGTGATTTGTTTGCAGAGCATGCAATTCATCGATTGTTTGACACTCCAGACGATGACAAAAAATGTCATTTGTCGATGGATGGATCGTTTTCGGAAGATCAAACTCAAGTCGATGTTGCATTGCTTGATGCAAATATCGGAGACATTTATCAAGATCAACACTTCCTTGTTCACCACACGCATATGCACTGCCAAGAAGCTCTTCTGCTTCGATTTGTTCTAGAAGCGAACAATGAGGAGCGATAGCATTAACGTAATCGGGAAGTCTCTTATCAGCTGCTAACATGATTGGAGACAATTGGTTGTCGACTGCTTGAAAATTACGCGCACCACGACTAAGTAGGAACAGCACTTGATCATACGATTCACGATCTACTGCGACATAAAGAGGCGATCGGCCATCATCAGTGTATTGATTAATATCATAACCTAATACATCTACTAGGTAAGTAGTCATAATTAAATCATCATTGAAGACACTTGCGATAAGATTCGTTTCGTTATGTATTTTCGTTATATGAGTATCAGCACCATGATCAACTAAATAACGTACCATTTCAAGATTACCATTACAGCACGCACAACGCAGTGCTGTGGAATTCGTTATGGTCGTATGATTGATTTTTGCTCCGTTTTCAACGAGTAATTTGACAATTTCGAAATTATTTATTGCTGCTGCTGCCCAAAGGACGGTAACATTATGGAATGTCCATGCATCATGATCATTCTCCATGAGTTCTATATCATTTAATACTTCAAGATCAACTTGAAAATAACTGAGTATTATTCGTATCATATCGGTATATCTTTTCAGACAGGCAATCATCAGCGGTGTACATTTTTGTTTGCTTGGTTTATCATAAACTTGATTGAAGTAGATCTCTGGATTTTGTACTGTTGAAAGATGAGTTTTCAGTGCTTTGATATTACCTTGATCGATTATAGCTAGAAGATAATAACTAAAGTTATCCTTGTACTTAGTCACTACTTCTACCATGGCTGTAGACAAATAAACAAGACTGACGATAATATGTCGCAAACTACACGTGTACCTTTGTGGAGTGGATTTTTCTTTGATTCTTTTTCTTCCCATCATTCTGTCGTATTTGTTGAAGTACGCGTCGTCTACCAAGAGAAAGAGAAACACCTTCTCTTATTGAAAGGTATACCGAACGGCCTAATTTATCATCAGCTACAAGGTTATATAATTTCTGCGCATGAAATTTCATACAAACCGGCAGTAATTCACTACCGATTCTCATCACAGATATTTCATGGGGATCTACTAATCAGATGAAATTTAAACTACTCATACGATCATTTTTATTGAGTGAAAAATTTAGTTGTTTGGTGCACTTTTTACTCAAATCTTTCTTTCTTGAATATCGACATAAACAGCACACATCACTGTTCTATTCTTCGTCTTCTGCCAGTTCAACTTCGATTTCCCATTTACACCCTAAGTAATGAACGCTCAACACCTTCATTCGACTTCCAACTGCTATTAACGCTTCCTTTTCGTCACGAAACGTGCTCCACTGCCAGATGTTAGCCAAGTTTATTTTCGCCTTGTCGCTACACGTGTCTGTTCTCACCATCATCACAGCATTACCAGAATACACAAGTAACCGATCCACTGTCACCGATGTGAACGAATTCGTATAATAGTAACCATTGCGTCGATCGAGATAGTACTGAATTTCACGATCACTCAGTGTCAAACCTCGATAGTACATGTGTTTGATATCGGTTTGTATAAGACCTCGTATCAGCGATCGAAGTTTGTTGACATAAGTCCAGTCGATGTCGTCGAAATTAGCACTCAGAAGATTGAGATTTGTTTTCATGTAGCACTCGTTGGACTGACTGTCAGTGTATGACTTGATGACATGGAGCATATCATGAGTGAGTTCATGTGGGTTGATAGACGATGGATAGAGTTGTTTGAAGTAGGAGTGATATGGATTTTTGGTGAGAAGTTTACAGTCGAGTGAGTTCTTGGTGTAATCGAAGTAGTAGTCGTTGGTGTCAAGATCGGCTTTTGACGAAGCGATATTTTTTGGTAAATACAAGCTTGTTCGAGCATTCACGACGCAATTCATCATAGGTCGTGTATGTGTGCAAGAGAAAATGTAATTACAACATCGGTCGAAATGAGAAACATATGATTCATCAATTTCTGTAGAGTGGTACCAACCAAAACCAAACTATCTCTTTCATCCTGGTTATTGAATATTAGAAAATGTCAGTTATTTTGTCAGTCATTCTTTTCAGATTTCATCAAATGGACGGAAACTTATCCAATACGGTTAATCGTGCTTAACCAGCAGATGTCATTTATTATTCAGTGGTGTTTGCTGCTTCGAAATATGTGTCATATAGAACGTACTCATCTAGCTTGTTCCTTGTTCGCTATAAAATAAAAATGAGGAATGTTACACACTGTAACCAATCTAAGACTGTCTACAAGCTATATTTATTCGTAACAAACATGTTTTCATTATGAAATTAATAAGTAAAAAAGAGAAAGAAAGAAAAAGATCTCTCGTTTAATAACCATCAACTTCAACAGGGACAAATTTATAACTTTTAAATACAGCAGAACACGATGTATATCATGTTGGGTGAAGTATAGAAGGATTTCACATATAAATATTCTTGGATTTTTCATTTGCGAGAGAACATTATGCAATATATTAGAGTCAAACCCATGCTCACTAGTCCATTCTTATACACAGAAACTAGTCGAGTGAGTCGACGATACTTTCCCTTTCATTTCTATACAGAGCATTTTGTCTTATGGTTGGTATACATCATAATGCCCAATGCTGAAAAGTCACGGTGAGCTATTACTAAAAGAATCCTATAAAAAGTATAACTGGATAAAATTTTTTACACAAGTTGATTAGTTTGCTGCACCTGTATATCTAGAGCAGTTTTTTTAAAATAGAAAAAAACAAAATTCACTCGAATCACCCTGTAAAAAAACAGTTGTGCAATTATATGATAACACTTTTTTCGTAAAAAATAGAAATAGAAAATGCGTTGAGCAGTTAGTTCGTGTCTTCCTCCTCTGCCAGTTCAACTTCGATTTCCCATTTACACCCTAAGTAATGAACGCTCAACACCTTCATTCGACTTCCAACTGCTATTAACGCTTCCTTTTCGTCACGAAACGTGCTCCACTGCCAGATGTTAGCCAAGTTTATTTTCGCCTTGTCGCTACACGTGTCTGTTCTCACCATCATCACAGCATTACCAGAATACACAAGTAACCGATCCACTGTCACCGATGTGAACGAATTCGTATAATAGTAACCATTGCGTCGATCGAGATAGTACTGAATTTCACGATCACTCAGTGTCAAACCTCGATAGTACATGTGTTTGATATCGGTTTGTATAAGACCTCGTATCAGCGATCGAAGTTTGTTGACATAAGTCCAGTCGATGTCGTCGAAATTAGCACTCAGAAGATTGAGATTTGTTTTCATGTAGCACTCGTTGGACTGACTGTCAGTGTATGACTTGATGACATGGAGCATATCATGAGTGAGTTCATGTGGGTTGATAGACGATGGATAGAGTTGTTTGAAGTAGGAGTGATATGGATTTTTGGTGAGAAGTTTACAGTCGAGTGAGTTCTTGGTGTAATCGAAGTAGTAGTCGTTGGTGTCAAGATCGGCTTTTGACGAAGCGATATTTTTTGGTAAATACAAGCTTGTTCGAGCATTCACGATACAATCCATCATTGGCTGTGTATGTGAGCGAGAGAAAATGTAATTACAATGTGTGTCGCAACACAAAAAAAATCACATTGCCAGAATGACTCATACTTATGCAGAATGCTAGCTACATTGATAAAAAAACTGGTCGAAAAAGAATATATGACAAGCTTTTCCTAACTGCTCTTGTTGGGCGTGTATCCAAACTAGAAAACTTCTTTCGTATAAGTCAATGCTTTTGATCAGCGACGTGACTGACATTAAGTTAAAAGGACACTGAAATTAAAAACTAGATTTTTAGATTAAATGTGTTTCGCAAAATGCATTAATTCTTTTTATAAAGAATGACGTTTGCTGACTTTCCAAACAGATAAGAAAACGAATAATTTTGATGAGGTCAAAAAGAATCATTCATTCAATAAGTTTTTGATTTTCTACTTTTGCGGGCTATCGCAACCATTCACATCGTCACAATTTTCCTGATCAGCTCATATCTCGTGCATGTGTTACGATATATTGATGAAAAAGAGCAACTATGCATACAAATCGCTTGATTCGATCGGTTCTTTACAACTAAATGTGCGTAAATTCAAGGTGAAACGTAAAACTTTATCTTGGCACTATGCATTATTCACGTATAAATATAATCGTTTATGCTCAAATTTTTTTGAAATTGCACGCGTTCGGTAATCGGATTTTCTTTTGTTTATCGATCTGCGGTGAGAACAATCGAACATCATCGACTTCTTCTCTTGTTACTCGAAGACGAACGTGATGAGAAAGTTATAACGTCTAAATCGATATAGACTGTGATCAAGATCAGAAGCTCGTTGAGAAGTAAGTGATTCAGATGAAAAAAATGCCACATTGAGATTTTGTTTAACATGTGTTTCGAACTAATATCCAAATCAGTATGCATATACGATCAAGTTTAGTTTTCTTGAAAGACGAGTATAGAAGGACCTTCTGTTGTTGAAAAACAGATTAAAATAAATGATACTATCGAATCGAATGCGAGAGATGTGTACAGGTCGACGATTTCAGTGATAATTGACTATATTCATGTCAGTATACGAGCTTCCGTCGCATTTTACGACATGCATCTATTCTCTGTTGACGCAGTGCAAATAACGCATAAAAAAAAGAAAGATTGCAAAGAGAAATAAGACACAACGTTGAAGTTGACAAAGGTTCTCTCTCGTCTTCTCTGATTACGACAGTTTGATAAAGAACATCACTTATATGAATATTTTGTCTATATGCGCTCTTTTGTCATGAATCATCGTATGCAGCAACTTTAAATCGATGCTTGTTCTAGAGTCAACACGAATCTGCCGATGCTCGTTACGAGCGACGACATCTTATGTAAATGTTCATTGACACAGTGCTAATATACCGCTTTTCATCACAAGTATCTTCGCACCTATTACGACGTGACAAATGCGACGGAAAACATTGATTTTAACATTCGTTATCATCATCTTTTCTTTCATTATACTAAATCGACTTTTCATCTCTCGTCTGCCAATTTGCCGCAAGTTACCGTCAAATACTCCGTCATTGTCTACACTTACTTGGAAAGATAATCACGATGAACTGTGGAAAATACCCGAATGGGTTGAACAATATAACGTTAGTCATTTATTTGATTGGACTTGGCATAAAAATAGCGATTACAAACGATGTCGACCACCAATCACTCGTTCACCACAAGCAGAAACGTGCTCTGCAGGCTCCCCAATCGTTGTCAACAATGCTCTTGAATTCTTTCGTTCTCATCCCGAACACGGTTGCGTCGTTGATGACATTGCACGTTTACCTAATTTGATACCTCATCCATTACCTCGCACACGTTCATTGTCTGATACGTGTTCTGCACTGAATATCAAGCGTGATTGGATCCTATGCAATAAACCACAAGTCGAACTTGATCGTTGGCTTCCAACTACGACACGATTTATCACCGTTGCAATATTTAACGCATACGTTGATACAGGCCATTGCCATCCAGATGTACCAGGAACTATTTTTACGGAATACGCTACCTATCATCTCCAACGTTGGACAAATAAATGGTGCAATAATGACCCTATTCGTCAGATACCAATTGTTGAAGCTCAATATCAGCATTCCGAATTAATTGATACAATTGGAAATTATTTAAGTGCACCTGGTCATTTTGGACCTCAGCAGTTGCCACGTTTATTACGTCTACTTGCAACTGCACCAAAAACAGCAAAAGTTCTCGTTGCCAAAGGCGGTGTAGCGGACGGTCTAATCGATATTCTTGTTGACCGTGGTGTTGTCACGCATGATCGTATCGTTCCATATGAGAAACAAAACCCTTCTTACCATTACGCTCATATCGTTTATCGTAGTGAGGCTTGGCCTTATTTGAGTGATGCTAGGAATTCTCATTATGTTCATGATCGTACAGATATGCAACTTATTCATCGTGTCTTAGCTGCTGATAAACAAGGATCACATACGAAAAGGAATCTTGTTATACTGATAAAACGAAAGATTGGTGGAACACGATCGATTATTGAACATTCAAACGTAGCGTTATTCATTGAGTCTGCTTTGAACAAATCTAAGTTAGCAAATGACTTGCATTTAGCAATTTTTGAAGCGCATGGACATATGCGTGAACATATCGACTTATTTCGTCGAGCTCGTATTATTGTTGGTCCTCATGGTGCTGGAATGATGAATATTCTCTGGGCACCGCCTGGAACACATGTCGTCGAAGTTGGATACACAGATGGAATGAGATTTCCGGACATGTACGCAGAAATGAGCCTCCATTTGGATCATCATTATTGGATTTGTAAAGGATATGGAAATTA